CAGTTCAAAACTGTTGTCAACCAAGGTGAGCTCTAGGCTAGAACTTTCAGTGGCGACAACAAAGAGACAAACCGATTCTGATTCACTTTCTCGTAGAAATACACCATGTATGTTACACTTACAGTACATATTCCCTTTTCAAAAGAAGTTAAAGTTTCAAGCGCTTCATAAACTGGTCAATCAAGCTCGTCGTAAAGTCCTCCACCATTTGGAACCTCGCGATTCCACACGCTTCGCTTTCAATGTGCTGCATCAGGCCTGAAACCAACTTGTACTTCCTCTTGCACTTTGGGCACTTGAACTCATCCGCGTCATGCGCCGGAGAGTTGATGTGGGAGTTCAGAGCCCCCAAGGTACGGAAAGTACGGTGGCAGAGATAACACTCGTAAGCAGTCCCGTTGAATGCGCGCTCTGTCACATAGTAAGACACAATGCGAGTCGATCCGCCTTCTATGCGGCGAGAGACCGAAATCGTAGGCACTATATTGAGTGCATGGACTGCCGCGGTTACTTGGGCTCGTGAGATATTGTGACAAGTCCCCGACTCAATGTGAAGGGCGATCGAGGAAGGGGTCTTAAACCTCTTTGAGCACAAAGGACACTCGAAATCCAGGCCCCTGTGCACAGGGGAGGATGAGTGCTGTGTGGCAGTATTTTTATCAACATACTATGAAGTGTAAAAGCGAAAGCCGGACTTACTTGATCCAATGAGGTCGGGGTGGCAAAATCGCGTGAGCACACAAAGCACCAGTTGTGCTTTGAGCTGGTAGCAAGGTGCTGATAAAGGCTTGCCAAGTCAACAAACCACCTGTTGCATCCCGCACAGAACGGTTCTTCGTCATCCGAGTCATCGTCATCCGAGTCATCGTCATCATCATCATCATCGCTCTCGAACGCATACTCGTCTGATTCACTGTCGCTGCGATGTACCGCAGCGTTTTGCATGTGCTGGCATAAAAGAAGCGTGAGTTGGGTGAAAAATGGCAACAAGCGCCTCCCCGCACCAGATCCAATCCAGTAAAAGTAGAGAATAGTCTATCGCAATCCTCGCAGAAGGGGTGGTCAGCTTTGTCGCGACAGTGGGCAAACAATGCCTGAGTAGAACGAAATGAACGGTCGCATTGATTACACTCTGCCATGATAGTAGAAGTCAAGACGAAGGTCGCCACAAGGTTGTCGAAGTATTTATTCGAATATGAACGTAACGTAACCATGAGGCTGTAACGAAGCAGCTTGAAAGGGGCACGAATATTTGCCAATTGTTCAAGGCGGCCCTGATTCTGTGACAAGCATTAATGCTATACGACAATCCTTGTGCCAGATACGTATGACCCTAAGTTAGTATCATGATGATTCTGTTGTCGTGAAACATGACACGCGTATCAAGCAAGGTCGTGACATGCTAGACAATTTTTGGCTCAGCAGCCTCAGCCAGCCATCTAGTTGCTACTGGCTTGCAGGCGGCCAATGGTCGAGAAGGAGACCTCTAACCATTAGCTTTCAAGAACAATGTTTACCTGCTTAAGTGGTAGCTGGCGTCGGCCGCCGGTGGTAAATACTAATAATAGTCACGGGGCAGGCACTTTGGGACGGATATAGCCGAGGTCCCCATAGGTACCCGATAACCTTATACCCAGCACCTTATACTGCTCCAAAGGTCGACCTTTATTGAAGAATTATTCATTTGGGTGCCTACAGCAAAACACTAGTCGAATTAGACCCGCCATCAGGCCCAGCTGTCACGTCTAATTAGCCTGGTTATGTGGGAGCCACAGGTGTGATAAAGGCTTGCCAAGTCAACAAACCACCTATTGCCGCGGGGCGGTTCTTCAAACTCGTCTGATTCACCACTGCGATGTACCGCAGCGCTTTGCATGTGCCGGCATAAAAGAAGCGTGAGTTGGGTGAAAAATCGCAACAAGTGCCTCCCCGCACCTGATCCAGTCCATTAAAAGTATAGAATAGTCTGTCGCAATCCTCGCAGAAGGGATGATCAGCTCTGTCGCGACAGTGGGCAAACAATGCCTGAGTGGAACGAAATAAACGGTCGCATTGATCACACTGTAATATCATGATAGTGGAAGTCAAGACGAAGGTCGCCACAAGGTTGTCGAAGCATTTATTCGAATTTCCAAGTATGAACTTAACGTGACCACGAGGCTGCAACGTTGTAACGAAAAAGCTTGAAAGGGGCACGAATGTTTCCCTGACTCTGTGACAAGCATTACTATACGAATCCCTGTGCCAGATATGTACAGTGTCCCTAAGTTATCATGATGATTCTAGTTGTCGTGAAACATCTGACAATGGGACACCCGTATCAAGCAAGGTCGTGACATGCTAGACAAAATTTGGCTCGGCAGCCTCAGCTAGCCAGCCATCTAGCAAGTTGCTACTGGCTTGCAGGCGGCCGTATGGAACAGAGTGCTGCGCAGGTATCATCATGGTAAGAAAATGAGTAAGAAGGCGAGAAACAATAATCGAGTAGGAGACCTGTGACCATTAGCTTTCAAGAACAATGTTTACCTGGAACACTGGCAACACAATTCAATGACCACAAAACAAACTTGTAAGTGGTCGGGAAGACGAGAAGAAGGAAGTTTGTTCTGGTTTGGAGTTGTGGCTGTGTTTTCAAGCTCAAGGCTACTGCGTGTTTCGCAGCTCAAGTCACGGTCTAGCCTCGTTCATTTCTGTAATTCTTTGCCCTTGTCCATCATCTAGTCTGCCCATCATGTCCACAGGTCTCGGTTCAGAAATCGTGTCTGTCATTAACAAACTGCAAGACGTATTCTCCGCCGTCGGTTCCTCAGCATCCCAAATAGACCTACCACAGATTTGCGTGCTTGGAAGTCAAAGTAGTGGTAAGAGTAGTGTGCTTGAGGTTCGTACCGCGACATTCGATGTGTATGAAGTGCACTCCTTACATTAATGCATTAGAACATCGTTGGAAGAGATTTTCTTCCTCGTGGTACTGGTATCGTGACACGGCGACCACTAGTCCTTCAACTCATTAATCGTCCCGCAACTGCGCCTCAAGCGAATGGGACACCAAATCGTAGGCCTCCTTCCTTGGCTCTATTTACCTAGCTGACTTGTGTTACAGCACAACTAAATGGCAGTGATAAGCAGGCGAACGAATCGGAGTGGGGTGAATTCCTGCACCTTCCTGGCGAAAAGTTCTATGACTTCAACAAAATTCGTGCCGAAATCGTTCGAGATACAGAAGCTAAGACTGGTCGTAATGCAGGCATCTCACCACAACCCATCAACCTACGCATATTCTCTCCCAACGTCCTTACTCTCACTCTCGTCGACTTGCCCGGTCTAACCAAAGTCCCTGTCGGGGACCAACCCAAAGATATTGAAAAGCAAATCAAGGACATGCTGGTCAAGTATATCTCGCGGCCAGCATGTATCGTCTTGGCTGTCACCGCTGCCAATACAGACTTGGCGAACTCCGATGGTTTGAAGCTAGCTCGGGAGGTTGACCCAGAAGGAACGAGAACGATCGGTGTTTTGACCAAGGTTGACCTTATGTAGGTCCATGCTTTCACAACGGTGTAGTTCTTGAAACTAACGCGCCAAAAGGGACCAAGGAACGGACGTTGTGGACATCCTTGCAGGGCGCGTCATTCCATTACGTTTGGGATACGTGCCAGTGGTAAATCGAGGGCAACGCGACATTGACACATCCAAGACAATTGGCGCTGCATTAGACGCGGAGCGCAGCTTCTTTGAGTTGCACCCTTCATATAAAGGGAAAGCTCAGTATTGCGGGACTCCTTTCCTTGCCCGTAAGCTCAACATGGTGTGCCTCGATTGCTCTCCACGCACTGCAGATTTATCACTAACGTCTTCCTCCCATCTTAGATTCTCATGCAACACATCCGTGCCACTCTGCCCGACATCAAAGCCCGTATAAGCCAGCAGCTTCAGAAATATAGTGCCGAGCTGGCAACCCTGGGTGGTCCCTTGGGTGATGCATCCTCCGGCAACATAGTCCTTTCGGTCATTACGGAGTTCACAAATGAATTCCGAACGGTCATCGACGGTAACACCAACGACCTCTCGCTGAATGAATTAAGCGGTGGTGCACGAATCAGCTTCGTCTTCCACGAGTTGTTCAATACTGGTGTGAAGAGTATCGACCCCTTTGATCAGGTCAAAGATGGGGATATCCGAACTATCTTGTACAATTCTTCGGTGGGTTTGTTACCCGCGTAACCGGAAATTGTTGAACTAGACTTTTCCACAATGCAGGGTCAAACACCGTCACTCTTTGTTGGCACACAAGCCTTTGAAATCATTGTCAAGCAACAGATCAAACGACTAGAAGAGCCGAGTGTTAAATGCTGTCAGCTTGTATATGACGAACTTATTCGCATTCTCGGACAACTGCTACAGAAAATCGTACGTATTCACGCGACTGACGAACGTAATAAAGCGCTAACGGCATCATACAGCAAGCCTTCAGACGTTTCCCTGCGCTCCGGGAGCGCTTCAATTCCGTTGTAATTAATTTCTTCAAGACTGCGATGAATCCCACTACGAAGCTTGTCATTGATATGGTTTCGTGCGTCCATAACGGCAGATTTCATCTTTTTTCTACATTCTTATGCACTTGGTGACTAGGATGCAAGCATGTTATGTCAACACGACTCACCCCGACTTCCTTAACGGACACAGGGCAAGTACATATGACTTCGATGATCTTTCATGAGCTCATGCATCATGCACAGGCTATGTCAATAGTGCAAGATAGACTGAACGCCAACAAGCCTCCGACACCAGTTCCAGACGCCAAGTCAGGAAAACTTCCCCCGGGTCAAATCAACAACAACCGTGACTTGGATGTTGATATCAAGAAGGAAGAGCCGAGTTTCTTTGGCTCATTCTTCTCGTCTGCTAAGAAGGGGCAACCTAAAAAGGCTGGTCCCATCATGGAGGCGGTACGTCTTTCTCATATACCTGAATATGAATATATCGCATCTTATATTCGCATTTCTTAGCCTCCGGCAGTGATTAGGCCCCTGTCCGCTCTCAGCGAGAGGGAAACAATGGAGACTGAAGTTATTAGTGTGTCTTCTTTACGCGTTTCTTCACTCGCACAATTAATTTGACCTCCCTATTCAGAGCTACTGATCCATTCATATTTCAACATTGTCAAACGTGAAATGATCGACATGGTTCCAAAGGCTATTGTGCTAACGCTCGTCAATCACTCGAAAGAGAACTTGCAACGCGAGCTTCTCCAAGAGTTGTATAAACCTGAAGTGCTCGATGACTTGATGAAGGAGAGTGACTTTGTCGTCAATCGCCGGAAAGAGGTTGTTAGTATGGTTACGGCATTGAACAAGGCTGAAGAGTACGTGGAATCTTCTTACACCAGACTTGATACTGTACTGATCAATTGCCGTGTAGGATCGTTGCTGGTGTTTAGACACGTGAAATATGGAGGCGGTTTCTTGCAGGTTCTTTGCATGACCTCAGCTGTTGTGCTTATGGACTGACTACTACTATTATGTAATACCCTCTACACGATATGTTCTACCAGGTGTTAGACTTTATACTTCCTATTGTTACGGTTTTTCGCATTTATTGCCAGTGAGCACTCGAGCACCAGTTCAACGTTATGTAAAGTTGATCGGTTTAGCGCGCTTATCCTGCTGATCCTCCTTGGAGTTGTTCGATACGACGATCTTTCCAAAACTAACAGTCCGATCTACTTTCGATGGAATAAGCTACGAGGTACAAACGTTAGAAGCTTCCGTCCTCCATTACACTTCCGGGGATCTTCGTCTCATCTACCAGATTTATAATATGCTGTGCTTCAGCACTTCAGCCGAGGTTGAGCCGGAACATGTCATTCAGCCTGCAAATGATTTTTAAGCGAGGTCTCAGCACCAAGTTGATGAACATACACGTAGAATGATTCGCCCTCCTTTGCCAGCACAAATACCTGGGAGAATTGCAACTCTTGGTCTCCGTCCACCTACATCGTCTTCAGTGGCCAGATCACGCGATTGATCAACAAAAAGACGAACCCTTAGTAGCCCTGTCACGCTAATCAAGAGAGTACTCATGTCGAGGGATGACGGCTGCGCGTCAAATGTGCTGATCTTGTGGGCAACCTTTTCAAAAGGCAGTTCCTGAACCATGCAAAAAAAACGGTGAACGATATGTACCAAAATATAATCAGACTTACGGCCAGATGCTGTACGATGTTATCTCCACCCTGGAACTGTTTGCCCTCCCATGTCATCATGGAGTGCGGCCGCTAGAAGTTGTTAAAAAGTTGAATACCAGAAAGTTGCAAATACACGAAGCGCTTACATACAAAGGGGCCAGGTTCAACCGGCCTAGTGCAAACTGTGAGTAGTAGAACTCGGTGAAATTCTTTGCTATAGCAGTAATATCCATTGTGTTCAAGAGCCAGGACACAAACGATTAGAGAGATGGTGGTAGTAGGGCAAAGTAAGCAACTTGCCAAGTATAAGTTGCAATCGATAACCCTAATTGGGTTATCAACGTTTCGGCTGCAACACTCACGAGATGACGGCTGTTTTCCAGGCTGCGCTTCCGCCAAGCAGTCCGCCAATGACAGAAATATCTCGTCCAACCATGCGCAGGAAGAGCTCTGCGCAGAACTTGTTGTCGTCGTTTAAGACTACGAACGGCGCTGGCAATGCAGCAACGGTGGGCAGCATATCATCGGCTACCAGCGTCGCTTATACAGTTTCAACACCGACTGCGATTTCTACATCCGGCAGGGAATGGGATGGTCAGTCTGTTCACTCTGACACGCTTTCATCTAGTGCTACGTTGGTTGGCAACGGCACACCGGTCGTCGCGCAGGGAACCTCTGTCGAATATCTCCGAGATTTGGTGCAGAAACGGATTATCACGTTAACTTACATGCGAAATGTTCATGAAGGGTGTGTTCGGTCTGCCCTTATATTTCTTCCCAGAGCTCATGGATACCCACAGGAGAAGTCATTGGTTCCATACGATCATGATGTCCAGGACTGAACTCGACAAAGCATTCAATAACTTAGTTATGCGCAAACGGTGCGGCCAGCCCCGGGATCCATTGCTTATAGCGACTTTACTGAGGTATCATCAAACAGGACATATCGATTTGCTATCCTTGCAATGTCGCTCTCAAATTTGTTAGATATACCTCAAGTTCAAGACTTTCTTCGCGGGCTAATGAATACCATGAACGAATATGACCAGGCAAGGGAGGAGCCCGACCGTCAGCCAAAGATCGTAAGCTTTTGTCTGATAACCGTGGGTCGTTCACCACTTACTGTGGGTCCAGCGGTTGTTCCGGTCCAAAGTAGCGAAACGGCAAGCTGGTGGCGGCTTCGCTGAGTATACTGTACCGTATGCGGACGGATCGGAAACATCATACCTTGTTTCACCTCATATAGTGCGTTCCCTACTGGTTTGATAGTGTTTCAGTCATGAGCTGAAACGTTCACAGCCATTTCCTTTAGACTATCACCAGACGCTTCTCTCCCTCCTGGATGTCATTTCGGAAGTATACAATAAAATATCGCGAATACTGGGCCCCTCACCGTTTCCAAACTCTGGGCAACACATGATGGGACCTCTCGGGCTTCTCGCGCCACATCCTGGTGTTTCGTATCTATTCTCTGGCGCCGACTCTAATGTGAAGCAAATGGATGACGGTGACTCTAGTCTGTGGGGTATTGCAAACGTACACGGTGGTTATGGTGGTGCCCTTGGAAGCCCACCGCCTAGCTGGACTCCCGGGATGGGAGACATGCTCCTAAAAGTGGACACGAAATTCAAGGTAATAAATTCAGGATGACATGGAAATACGGATGTTGAAAAAAAATTCTACAGAAAATCACGTCAGCATTATTGAAGGAGTTAGACGAAGTCGCTCGAAACGGAATCAAGGATGAGTTAACGTCTCTTGACCCACTCCTTCGGAATGTTGCTTCGCCCGACGATGGAAAAGAGATGTACGATTTTGAAGGCATTTTCTGACTCACTGGAATCATTCGCGGATTTAAATTGTACTTCTATATACCCACCCAATTTGCATGTAGAATAGTGTATCAGACATTCGTATTTCGTAGTTGTTGTCGGTGCAGTAAGTACGTGACGTCAAAACGCGAAAAGTCACACAGGTCACATGTGGGATTACGCGACCACAACGCGCTTGTAGTGTCAAAACCTTTTTGCCTCTTTCTCTTTGGAACATTTGGACGAGTTCTTTAAATTTTAGCATCCTTCTATTCTTGAGATAATATTTTCCTTGCGACAAAGTTCAAACTCGTCCAACCGATCTTCATGCCCACAAATAACGTTCAAGCTCTCCTTTCCACGAATATCCCGGATCCGAGCGATTTCCCTATGACAGACTTACGACAACTGGATGCGAGTCTGCGATGCACAATTTGCGGCGAATTGTACGACGCACCCATAACGCTTGCCTGTGGGCACTGCTTCTGCTCACTCGTGGGTATTTCACCCCTTTCTCATATGTTGTCATCTGAATGTTACTGATAGTGTATTCGGGAACACATTGTCAAAGAATCGGAGTGCCCGAGCTGTAGGAAGTCGACGAGTGAAGGACAATTTAGGACAAATCCAATTCTTGAGGCAGCAGTGAGTGCATGGAAAACTGCACGGTGAGTCTTGCACCCTCTCTTGTGCAGACGCAGTTTGAGCAAGTACAGGTCAACTATCCTCCGGCTCTCCCGTGAAGAACAAGATCGCATCAGAAGAAGGCAAAAAGAGCGAACACCCCGTCGGTCCCAAACCCCATTGACCAACGGTAAGAAGCGCAAGCGAAGTACCAGTACAGTGTCTTCCGATTCGGATGTCGTCATGGTTCCGGGTCCTTCTAATTCAAGCCAATTTCCCTCGTCCCCGGTGCCAAGTAAGTCCAAGCGTTCGAGAAGGCAAGACATGGAGCCTTCATCGGATCCCCAAGAGGAAGAGATGATGCAAGGTTTGGGCATTCTATTATATTATGGCACAGCAATGCTTAATTTGTACACAGGGGGTCAGATGGTAAACTGTCCCGTCTGCAACGTGTCTATTGTCATGGGGGATATCAATACTCATTTAGACTCGGGATGCCAGAAAAAATCATTTAATACATCCGGTGCTGCGACATCAGGCGCCAAAGATGAATGGACAAAATTATTTTTGAAAAAGGGAAAGAACAGGGAAAACGGGTAAGCGTCAATTTATTTCTGATCATAACGAACTGACGGGAACGTGGAGGCAGGATTGATGCGAACAGTGCAACGGAGCGTATACCCAAGGCCTCGTACGATCTATTGAAGGATAAACAAGTCAAAGATTTGTTGCACGCTCACAATTTACCCACCCTCGGTGACAGGAAAATGTGGATTGCTCGACATCAGCGGTGCGTTACTTCTTGGTTCCAAATTAATTCAGCAGTTTTCAACGGATCCTAGCTGGGTCATGATTTTCAATGCCAATTTGGATAAGTCCGTATCTAACAGGAAGAACACGAAAGAATTACGCGCCGAATTAAAGAATTGGGAAGATAGCAGAAAGCGAAGACATCTTGTGGATAATACGACAACTCACGTAGTAGGTCTTCCGCTCCTTCCATTGCTGAGAATGCTTATCGCAAGTTGTAGTTGAATAATCAAGGAGAGTTTGTACGACTAATTGCCGAAGCGCGGAATAGCAAGACTAGAAAAGAATCTAGTCCGACAGTCATGTGGCAACATTCTCAAGATGATGACGTAGTCGCAGATTCTGAAGAAGAGGATCAACCACTTTCGTAAGCCAACTATTCCTATCTAAAAATCTACTACAGATATGTATTGTACGTTGTGTTTTGTCATGCTATTCGGCAGCGAGAGCATGATGCGAAGACACCCTTGCGTTCCCGCCGGCTAGTCCAGAAGCTGTGTGGATTTCCTTTTTTTTTTGACCCCTCGGATTTGGGTACACAATCCCTCCCCGTTCAAGTGGTTCACTCAGTTTCGTGGGTGGTGTGTGTAGTTCAAAACAAGGTACCTCCGTGGACCACCCTCATGGAGCAGTTTTCCAACACGTGTCAAGAAAACCCGAAGTTTCTCGTTTGTGTTGTTACAGAGCCCCGCTAAGCGCCAGGTGCCACTGTAGCCTTTGTCCCAGTGGCGATCGGTCCACAGTACTACACAATCTAAGTGCTTTGTCTAACGGGGAGATGAGTCTGAGTGGCAAAGTATTGTATATAAACCTGATGGACCCGTACGGTACTACCACGATACTATTCGGAACATGAGCAAGCTGACCCCACAGCTGTCGGTAAGCAATTTCACATGAGGTAGGAAATCTGGAACTAACGGAATATTATACAGCTTCTTAGTAATTTAAGCGCTCTGTCGGCATCAACCACAAGAGAGGTAAGTTAGAATGGAACATTCCAAGTGTCGCAATTGCATGACTTGACTTGTGATTCAGGAAGAGAACACTGCGTTTGTCACTGAGCAGTTTCTCCCCCGCAAGCAAGACGCCGTGTTTGGTGATCCATTTGTGTTCCAAACGTCAGCAACCAATCAACATATCCGGGCGAGGTTGATCTTGCTCTCACCATCATTCCCATCTGATACTGCTCCGTTGGCCAAATCGGTAGCATATCTTTCTAGTCGTTTTGGATCCATCAAGGCCGAAGTTGTAAGTGCCTCCCACCAGGTGGTCACTTGTGTGACCGACCAATGATGAAACGAGTGTATTTGGTAATTTTGGCTTCTTTAGTTTCGTACACATGGCGCAGAGAACCACTTCTTTCGCCTCCATATTTTCGCATGCTCAGCCGGTGTGAAAATCACATTACCCCCCGCTTTCCGGGGCATCGTCTCTATCAACGACTACGAGGGCCTACGTCGTCGGAGGCAGATTCGTTGTGGTCGAACTTTCAACGAGCGAATGCGCCGGGGATTTATCAGGCTTGGTTCGTGTGCGCTTGAAAATGATGATGAAATTTTCATTCATGCCGAGGGAAAGATCGAGTTAATGCTGAGAACGGAGTGTGATGTCAATGATAGGGTTTGGACTCGGATGGATCGTGGCATGCGGAAGATTTGGGAACGGCGGCTGGGCTCTGGACTGAGCTCTGGGCACTGCAGGTAGATGTATTGGTAGTGAATGTTTAGCGCTGTGTCCGATATGTCCAACATGAAACATCATGGTAGATCTAGCAAGTGATGGGCCACGTGTTCCCGAAGGGCGAGGCACGCGGACAACATTGTCGAACCGAAGTGGGAAGAATTGTTCTCGCCTTCGGGTGGCCAAGCTAAGAATCAAGATTTCAAGCGCGCTTTTTGTTTACGAATACAAGACTACCCAAATAAGGCATAAGGGAAACGATTGTTCACGACTCCGTCTCGGTGACGTATAGGTGACCGCCTTCCCAAACCCTTAAATATGCAGAGCCTTGAGACTCTTTCCACAACTACTTCGTATCCTTGTCCCCCCGCTCCTATTCGTTCCTTACTAAACTGGCTCGCCCGTTATGTCAATTTATTCGAATTGTTCAATGGGATCAGACTCGGAGGTCAGTTTCATCCTTCTAAACAGTGAAATCGAGCTAAGGTCTGCCTTAGAGTTCATTATCAATCGAAAAGACTCGTTTATTGGTACATCACAATCCTCCCTTTGTTTACGTCCAAGTAGCTGATTCATTACACAGAGGGTTCAGCCATCTGGCACCCATAAGATTCACTACAACGCTCTAAGCGACTATGATTTTATGCTCAAGACATCAAAGCCCATCGATATCTCTCTGGCGCTACCACACTATCGTGCGCGCAATCAGCCAGTAGACCATCGTTTGGCCATGTTTATCAGTACCGAGACGTCACCGATCAAGCTTAAAGTTGTAAGTGTCACATCTTCACTTGCTGCATCGTGTCTCAACATCTTTTCACAATCACAGTGCCGTGCCATACCTCGTTGCAAGTTTTTCCTTGATATCCGAACCACCGCTTCCAACGTGACCGTTTGGTTGCCCTCGGATTTTCGAGGTCACATTCGTTGCTCGGGCACACCATCTTTCTCAGCTGGTTTCGTCAACCGCATGATTGCAAATGTCCGCGTGAATGAAGCAATGTCAATGGATGACAATTGGGATGGTGACGAAGTATGGGTCGATACCCGTGGCCTGGTGACGTTCAGGATGTGGGATGTTCACACAAACGCTCCAGAAAGCCAGCCCAAAGAAACTTTGAAACGCATTTTTGGTTCGACTTCTAAGAAATTACCGGAGAGAAATTTTAATTGGGATTTTCTTCTTGAGGATTGAGAGTTGGGTTGTGTTGATTATTTCGTCGCTCTTTTCGATTTCTGACTTCATTCGAATCCTACACACTTCTTACACGCTGACTGTTAATGGATTGGTCTTTAGGTTACCACTCTTTTATATCCCCAATGTAGCATGCTTCCATTCACTCAGGACAAATGTAGCCAAAAATTTATACCTTACTGCAAATACCACTGTATCCATATGATCCTCTTCGAACTCGCAGACTGTTAGTACACATACAACATTATAATCGATTCAATTTTTGATGTATAAACTATTTGGCTGTCATGATCATACCGAGATGGCTTGGGAAATGCGACTATTCACAATCGTTTGCCGCCGGTACTAGAAGACGTTCTGGTGGCGGTAAGATAATCACATGGCCTTACGCACAATAACATTGATGCGGCACTTGCCTTGTACTAGTTTTGATTAAAATTAGCCACCCCGTTGAACGTAGTTGAATGTACTTTTATGTACTTTTGTAGACGCATGGAGGTCGAAAGGCTAGCCCATTACTCCACCTGTTGTCCTTTCAAGGAAAGGCTGATCCAACGCGTTACGTTACGTGTTCGCTTGCGAAGGCATAATCAGCCTGAAGGCAGCCTGCCACTGGCTGAAATTTGAAGCGTTAATGTGACTCGTTAGAATGCTCGGCTACCTCTGTTGATCATGTCCGTGTTCGAAGTCGAGTTGTCGGAAACCCCTGGCGGCGCTCTCGGGATTCTTGTGATCAAATATATCTGAACGGCAGGAGTCCTCGAGCATTACCTAATTCTACTCGTCATCATTCGTTGCAGTGACGGAGATTCTGGTGGGAAGATGTTTGGTGGCCTGGCCAGGGCTTTCGACAGTTTATGCCTGCTCCAACAAAGGCGTCCTGTGACGGGATGAACTCGGTCAGGTTAACCCTGACCGACTTACACCGTAAAGGGTTTCCCGGGTATGTTTTTTTTTTTCGCAAGGCACATTACATCTCTGGAGAAACGACCTCGCCGTGCAGTCACCCGTGGTTGTCGCTTTGGCCGTGTGAAGGTTGACCCGCAAAGATGGATCCAGTTCGGCGTCGGCTTGGCATAACTCACCACGTCATAAATGTGGGTAAGTCGCATCATGAGCAAGCCAATCATCGTCCTGTACGGGTCTTGTCAGTGGTAGATGAATTTATAGCTGACTGCGATTCGGACCTGGTACTGATTCTTTTGCACCGCTCTAGCGTGTTAAATTTACGCGAAGACAGCGGTGAATAACATATGTCCTTTTCGTTAGCATGGTTGTTTCATGCGCATCCATTTTGGGGGCTGTTTGTCCAGTCCGCAGCATGTTACCATTGCCAACTCTTATCGGCATCACTTCAGATCCGGAGGTAAGTGACAACTATAGCTGGCCATGGCGGTCTCCAAAAGCTCTCCGTGTCTTTCGTAGTGTGCAATTTCGTTGTCGTCGTGGGTATTTGTTGCGATAAATTTGTGACGGACCACGAGATAACATGAGCGGTGATGATTATTATCTAACAGACCGTCTGTCGACAAAAAGCTTTGTGATATTCGACCCCTATTTTTGAACATGGTGAGGGAGCCCAAAGGAAACCTGATGGGGAAAGTGCGATGTGGGCTAGCAAGATTAGTCACGGACAATCGCGATTAGTCTCATACAGGAATATAATGGACTAACACGATCACAAATCACTTACAAGGAGCAAGAGAATTGATATTCTGAGAATAGTTGCACTGAAGTAGAACAAAGGCGCTACAATCCTGTAATATAAAGCTATGGATACATCTTGTCATGTCATCACTCGAGGGAATTCATACTTGCTACCGGCTGTTAGGTCCTCCAATAGGCTCTAGACACTTTTCTAGCGTCTCCAATAGGGCAGCGTTCTCCAAAGCAGCGGCAACACGCTCCTTATCATTCAACTGTTTATTTACTAAGGCATATTGTCAAAAGGGTATAGAAGGGACAAAAGATCGGCTGCTAACCTGCAAGTTCACTCTGATGTGATCCTGGTTTCACTCGAATATCCACTTTGAAACGCTGAGGCAAGCTTCGCATCAGTCGCACACGGATGGACAGCCCTGAGCAATTGGTCAAGAGAGATTTTTAAAACGTTGTAAAAGCACCTACCAATCAACGTCGACATCCCACAGTGAGGCACGGTGGGAGTAAATTCGACCATGATGTGATTGTCGCCGATTTTGATCTGCTCTGCAGATACTACCCTGAGTTCTTCAAGGGAATTAGGATGCTCAGGATCTGCAATAAAGCGGATCAAGTCTGTAACAATGTGTGTGATTTGAATGAGTTTAGGAGTTAAGAAGGCTTGAAACGCACCAAATATCTCATCCTCGTCAATAGGCTCCACTTCGGACTCGCCGCTGAGCTCGGGCTGGTACTGTTCGTCAATCCATAGTGACTGCCCTGCCTCGAACTTCGATTTCCTGGCAGAGCGTTTGGAAGCATAGACAGTTGGATTGGCGTTAAAGATTTCTCCGTTCATGGTAAGACGATTTATGAAAGATCTTGATCGAACGGTGGCATTCATTCACAATGTCACGTGTCGTCGTGACAAAGTGTGACGCGCCCAGAACGCGCTAATAATTCCCTTTGCCTTTACCCTTCGAACACTTGCTCTCTTCCGTTGTCTCTCCAATCTGGCTTTCTTACTGAGATATGCCACCTAAAGCAAGTCTTGTTCACTCTCAAACTCATTCGTCCTTGACACAGCCAAATATCAGCGAAAACGTGCGGATGCGGACACTCAAGGGGCTCCTGCAACTCGTTCAACGCGAAGTTCGACGCGGACCGGTAGGCTCCCATAATCCTAATGACTTCAGTCCGACGAATTGAAATGCAAGGTGGAGGTAAAGACGCCACGACAAGCATAGCCAGTGCTGGAGCTTCGTGCGTCCTGTCTTCCCACTACGTTCCGTCCCGATGATAATAAAGGCTATGAGCAGGGTTGGAAAAGGCATCCATGCGGATGATGTAGATGTGCGCCAGTTTGCCCGGGCACTCCTTTACCACTCACTGTTCCACAGGTGGCTTCACCTCAAAAGAAAACAAGAAACACCGGAACGAAAGCATCATCAAGAGCAACAAAATCAACTACCAAGGGCTGCGCAAATACGACGATTGCGTGAGTCTTCCGGCCCTTGCATGCTGTAGTGAACTCATAGAAGGCCTCCTTACGCCCAAATTGTTCGCCACGTTCACGAAAGAAGTAATGATGATGTAAGCCTGCAACAGACATCCTTTTCCCAACTTTATATAACGCCATTCCATCACTTGCAGAAACTCACCTCGATTAGGCTTCCATTGAACGAGTAAGTCTGCCTTTAGTTACACTTCAATCTTCACGGCCACGACGGATCAATCGTATCTCACGACTCAACCTTCACGTCGTTCACGACATTCCTTCATGCGCCTGTCGTCTTTGTTGTGCTGTGTCTCTAACACGCCCGCTCGCAGCGACGAAGTAGATGAGACAAACAAGGTGGCGGTACGTGCAACTGGTAACCATTGTTTATACTCTGCACGCCTCTGACGTCATTGTTACTTCTTTATTTCCTCAGCCCAAGGAATCTCAAGAAGCCTCCACCGAACCATACACCCCTCAGCGGGTGGAAGCTCTGTTTAATTCATTTGCCGATGAAGACGACCGCGATGTGATTGGACCAGAGGGACTGGAAAAATTATGTACGGAGGCTGACATACCGCTTGATGGTGCACAGCCCCTTATCCTTGCGTGGCAGCTAAAGGGTAGCGAAATGGCCAAGTTCACGAGAGTAGAATGGTCACATGGAATGGGCTTGCTTGAGTGAGTCGTCTCTATCGTGTATTTGTGCTTTGCAATTTCATAAATGAGTGCACCAGAATCTCCTCATTACCAGTTCTAGCTCAAGCCTTGAGAGAGCTTGAAGACCTTCTTATTCGTGATAAGGAGGCGCTTACTCGCTCGGCTTCTGCCTCGAGTCAAGCGAGGAAGCGTGGCGGTGCGAGCACAAAAGAGCCCTACAACCGAACTCGTTACAGAGAGTATGCTTCTGACCGCAAGGCTGCTTTCGCAGATCTCTATCAGTTTTGCTTCACACTTGCGAAGCCACCGTGAGTTCTTAGCTATCTCCGAAAGGCAATCCTTTCGATAATCCATATTAGACAAGCACGAAACATCGACTTAGAGGTCAGGAGCCTTACGTCCGCGGCGAAGCATGTATCTTATCATTACCAATATAGACAGCTATGGCGCTGTGGTCAGTACTCCTTGCTCCACGATATTCAATCATCAACGATTTGATCACCTTCTTGCCTGTACGTCGCCATCACCCCTGTCTTGGATGTCGCTAATCTTGATATGCAGGTGAAAGGCACATATAAAGGTGCAAACAAGGACATTTGGAATATGGTCAGTCCTTTCATCGTCAGGCATATGATGTACTGATACAAGATAGGTCCACGAGTTCTGCCGCGTTGTGGACCCTTCCTTGTCTAATTACGAGGCTGATGGGGTACGTTACATCAGATTCATACTACGTGGTAACCATGCGTATACTAAATCCCGTAGGCTTGGCCATCATTACTTGATGACTTCGTTGCATGGATGAAGAGCAAAACAGATGATGGCGCGGAGGCTGTTCCGGCTAAGGAGGAATAGTGGTAATCGCTGTCATACATTGTCGATCGTATAATGTCTACTCGATTGTTGGTACGATTGTCAACTGCGAGCATCATTTAGTCATTCGTGACAGTAGTCAATACGTCTTTTGCATTTGTTGGGTCCTGCCAGTCCTCAATACGTCTTTGAACCCGTACCTTCTGTCCCGACTTCTCATGTTTGCCTCGCATCTCTGCTATTTCTTTCTCAGCTGCTGCAATGCGGCGGAATGACGCAACTAGCGCTTGCACTGATACGCGGGGTGCATCTCTCACGTCAGTAGCGAGGTGAAGCCTGTTCTGACTCCGAAGGTCTGCTTCAGCACGCTTCCGACGGAGATCAAAGCGCGAGGGGAGCTTTCCTGTGCGATGTGATGTTGACGGGGGCAGAACAGCAGCCGGTTGGTTGATGGTGTCAGGAAGAGGAGGTAAGCCCAGTGACGTCCGCACGTCTTTCCAGCGTCCCTGGATCAAGGTATGAGGACTGCGCGCACGAGGGTGTTGATCACGAAGGGTTGCTTTCGAGAATAGCTGGCGTGCCAGCACAGCAGCGAACAGGATAACAATGATGATGATAGCAAGCCGAGAGAGTTGCTTTTGGCGTTGTGTGCTGTGGCCAGCCATGGTGTCAGTCGGCGGGTTGCCAATAAGCTGAAGTGGTGATTAATTACCTCGACACGATAACTTCGAGATGCATGGTCAGCCGCACAATACCAATACCATATTCTAGACGTGTCTGGGCGCGTTCGATGCACGTGACAGATATCACTCTGACACCTTTTTTACGTGCAAGCCAAATGCTCATCGTGTATTCAGTACGACCAAACTACCGCATGCTTTCCTGCTAGCCTACTCAGTAGTCAACTTCCACGGGCTTCACAGCTTGCATTTTCTCCATCGCCTCTCGGAACTCGGTCTCTGCGAATATGGCAGCTTCCTTGGCTACTTGCAGCTTCTTCTCCAACTCGTCCACTGTCATCGGCCTCATCTTGCCACTTTGCTCTATCATACCAATATTGTCGAAGCGACGGAGGGTATTGCCAACCCGAGGCATGAATATGTGACGATCCCAGCCACTGTCATTGAATGCAAGGACGGCACGTACCGCAGCTGTGTTGATGTCACGATGAAGTTCCTCGAGCTTGGACAGCTGCACTTCCATCCAGCGGGCTCGACGCTCAAGGGCGAGGGTCAATGCGGCAACTTCGTCTTCTTTGCCAGCTGCATCATCGCCGCCGTCGTCTAAGAAATCATCACCCTTGAGCATGTCACGAAGCACGCCATCAAATGAAGAGCTGTCGTCCCAGGTCGTCCGAGGAAGCAGGCGCAGGAGGTCGGAGATGGTCTGTGTCAGTGTCTCCAACAGTTGTTGGAATGAAGACACGGCATTATCGATGGAACCCGAAGGCATGTTGGTAGCGAATGATCCTCCGCCTACAGAAAGGGCAGACAATGCGTGCACTAGAGGACCATATTCAAGAGGCATCTTGGCAGCGGGATTGATCTTTGCTATGTCAAAGAAGGGATGGTTGGGAAGATCCATGCTCGGATTCCTCACGTCAATGTCGTCGAGCAAATCAGCAAGTGAGGCAGGTTCTACAGGAGAGGACGTGTCCACAGACTGTGCCCTCGAGCTGTTCGAGCTAGAGACGACTGTATTTGTGGTCTTGGAAGGTGGAAAATTCGCAGATTCTGAAACCGAAATCGATGGTGCAGCCGACGCATTTCCAAGAGCAATCTCATCCTCCTTCGGGACCTTGATTGGACGAGCGACGGGTTTGTTCTTCTTCGGCATCTTGGACAGTATGGGTGCTTGTTCCACGGGTTCAGATGCCTTAGATGGAGCGGGGGATTGCTTAGTAGTCGGAGTAGCAGGCACCTGGCCAGAGGAGCCTGCAGACTTCGTGGCTTTGATCGCCAATGCAGACTTGGCGGCTTTTTGAGCCTTGACCTGGGCTGCCCTTGCTTTTTCAGCTCGAGTCTTCTCAGCCAGGGCTTGCCTCTCCTTCTCTTTTATGAGAGCTCTCTCTGTCTCTTCCTCAGCCGCTTTCTCTTGTGCCTGCCTCTCCTTCTCCACCCTCTCTACTTCCGCCCTCTCCCGTACTAACTTCTCTCGCTCTTCTTTCTCCTTCGCCAGCTTCTCCTTCTCCACAGCCTTCTCTTGCGCAATCCGGGCCTTCTCAGTGGCCTTTGCAGCTGCTTTCTCTTGGGCTGCCTTCTGGCGCTCGAGCGCACGCTCCGCCGCCGCCGCCTTTTTTGCCGCCTTGCGCTCTGCTTTGGCCTGTTCCTTACTACCTTCGGCGGGGGATGATGTCTCGGAAGGCTGTGCATCAGGCGTAGGAAGTACATCGGCGTTCAAGGCGGGAAAATCAGCAGACGACAGTATTGGGACTGGCGAAGGCGAGGACGAAACTGAAGGAGTGACTAAAAGCGAAGTTGGCGAACGAACAGATGGTTGAAAGAAAAAGAGGAGGGAAACAACCGTTAGTCAGCATGCATCTAACCAAGGCTAAAACCATCGGGGGAGGGGAAAAGGAGGGGACAGAAGGGGAGAATCGAAATAATGTTGGCCGAATGCGAAGGTCCCGGAGGCTTTCATGGCCTGTGATAGAATTTGCGCACTGCAAGCACGGCTCTCGGTACTCTGACCTGGGACTCCCTCCCCTGAACAAAATAAAGGGACTCACTATTTGGATATGCTAGGCCCGGCGGGGGGCCGTGTGCAGCTGTAGTAGCTGGTGTTGTGGTCGCAATTACTGGTGTACCAGCATACGAGAGACTTGCGGAGGATAATACGGGCGAAGCGAAACGTGCTGACATGATTGCGGGGTCACTGAAAGGCGCAAACTGGTACTGAGGTTGATCTGAAACTGAAAACAAAAATGCAAAAAAAACAGACAGCATTGTCATACAAGAATCATACACGTGAACGACAATGAATCAAATTGAAGAGCAAAGTGAAGTGAAATGAAGAAAGACAAAATCGTCAATGCGCAGTCTAGCGGCTTACACAAACAGAAGTCTCCTACCAGCTATAGCGTTATGCATTTGCATCGAGCCAGCACGCTCCCTGCTCGACTGGATCAGCTCACGGAGCTGGGCTTCACTCACGCTCACACTCGTGTCGAATGGCTGAAAGCGTGTCGGTTGTGTCTGTGGCTGCGCGTGCTGCTGCGGGGGCGACTGCACTATCTGCGCTTGCTGCACAAGTGGAGAACTGGTGGCATATCCTGCATACTCTCCATGTCCTCCGTGACTCCAATGCGACGATGTCATAGCAGGAGTTTCCGAAGCCGTGAAAAACGAGTGATGACTATCACTCGCACTCAATGGCGATGCCACATGAACGGGCGAGCTCGCAGCTGTTGAGCCTTGCCTCCCCCGTGCGAATCCAAATCTTGAAACTTTCCGTTCTTCATCGGGGTACGACGGCGAACTGCGCGCACCACCACTAGTCGAGGATCCTTCTGTTTCTCCGAAGGGATTAAATGGCCCAAGATAGCTCTCACGCATCGTGAGGGGGTCATAAATGGAGCGGGCGGGATTATGAGGGTACATGGTTGGCACTTGATGTGTGTGAGAGTGTGCTTGTGGCTTGAGCGCAGGGAATGCGTCCATAAAGCCACCAGCGAAAGGTACGCGAGCCTCAGCTTCAAGCGCATTTAATACTGCCTCTCCCTCCGCATTTACATTTACGTCTGCAAGCTTTGGGTCCAGATTGAAACTGAACCCACCCTCGCTCCCCGAGAGCATACGTAGCGTGCGATCAAAATCGGGAAAGACGCTTACTTGTGTGCTTGAAAGCACCGCCTCGCGACGCGCTTTGACGTCATCAAGTAGCGCTTGTGCAGCGGTGGACATTTGATAGCTTCCCCCAGACATTTGTAGTGCTTGAAGACCTGACGCAGGAACGGACTCCGCCTTAGCTGTACGAGTCGGAGGCGGGAGACCAGGTGGGGCATCTGGTAAACCTGACGGCAGAGAAATAGGTACAGCCGGTATACTATCCACACTCTCCGTGGAGCGTGGGCGCGGCGGACTTTGTGGTACATCCTGACTACCGGAGCCTACATCATCCGAGTCGACTGCCATTGACGGTGAGGGCGAAGTCGGCGGAAGCGGTGCTGGTTCTTTGGCCCGGAGAGTTTTGACCTCAGGTGGCGTCGGGGGACGCGGGGAGACAGCGGGCGTCGGGGGCCGAGACGAAGACGCGATGGAGGGTGTTTTCGTACTCCCTCCACCGCCTGAGCCGACCTTGCGATCATGCTGTGGGCGTGGTGTACGCGCCTGTCGCTGACCACCACGCCGGGGACGCTGAGCAACTGTAGCAGTGGGCATCGTGCTGCTGGGCGTCGGAGTGGCAGGTTTAGCCCATGCTGCAGTGCGCGGGAGGCCTGAAAGAGATAATGTGTGAGTAAGACAGGAATAATTGCATGATCACGACATACCATCCCCAGTTTTGGTCCCCCTGCTTTCTGTGTCCTTGATAGTATGCTTCCTGGAAATGGGTAAGACATCATAAAAACGTTTTGAGAATCCACACGTACAGCGTTGTCAGATCCTCCTTCGTAAAACAGTCTTTCTCATCTCCCCATTCATGCAGATTCATACAGGTGTGATCAGTACATGATACGCCACGGAGGAATGCCATGCAGTACTTGGTCGTCCCATAGCTGGCACGCATGACCTCTCGGCCTCCTCCTGGGCTTGGGGCACCGTCAACGGTTGAGATGCAACGTGCGGCATCTTCGCGCCGATGATACGTAATGTAGAGTCCTACAATAGGCGCACCACCCCCTGATGATGTACGCTTGACAAGTAGAATCTTGGAGATTTTGCCATATTGCCCAAAATAGTCATTCGAGCGAAGGGTGGGGATGAGCTATGTCGAAGAAGAGGATTATTGGATGAGCCAAGAATTAATTCGATAAGTGTAACATACCTCCTCCTTTGCAAATCGAGGACCAATACCGACGACATATACAACGTTGCGCTGTACGACGCGGACATTGGCGAGATGGCGCCTACCAAGGGCGTCAAGTTCTTTGCGCTCGCGTTCACGTTGCTTCTTCTGCTGGGTCAGGCGTTTATGGCTATAACACGCCAGGAAGGCCTATATTGAATTTGTGAAGTAAATTGCGAGGGCGGGACGCACTCTTCTTTCGCAATAGGTTTGAACTGAACAGTTTCATCGGTGTACTCACGGCGACAAGCGGGGCAGCGGCCGTTGAGATTCTGCTTGATATGATGCCAACAGAATCTACAAATCTACATGCGACTGAGAACATTTACCTAATAATTGATGAACGAGAGAATATACCTGGTACCCGCAGACGCACGGCTTAAAATTAAGGTCTGAAATATCCATCTCTTCAAGACAAAGCGGACAATCTGCATCATCCTGGGATCGGTGGATGAATAACGTTTTATGTGATCATCAACAAAAAAAAGTAGACTTACGGCGTCATCGTCACTCCAATACGCGTCCTGCACACCGGCGAGGACATGGGACTTGGACTGGTGGGCGGAGAAGCCAGCGTGAACGACGGGGGCGGGAAGAGACGGGTGATGGTGCAACCTGGTTGTAGACATCTTGAATATGTGCAATTCAACGTGCTCGTTGGGTTAGACGACGACGAAGGTGATGACAAAGGGTTGAAATGGATGAATGAGTTGCGTTTGGGGCGTTGAGCAAACGCGACCATTACAATGAGGCTGCAGACCTTTCCCACGCTCCATCTATTGTTAGTTGTTTGTGTTGTGGCGTCCCGGAGCTCAGAAGGAACCAAACTAGGTTACTTAGCGCACTTGCAGAGACTGACGCCACTGACGCATCTACAGGTGCGACTCGTTCAGCTTCGAGCACACGATGGCCTTGACATTGGTATTCGCATAGCGTGTTTCTCTTCCTATATCCGATTTATGATAGGTATTATCGCGGCTCCGGCCTTTGTTTCTTCAACCATTGAACCATCTAACAAGTGCTCATTTCGTCATATCCAGGCTTTCATGTATGACTATGTTTCTTACTTGTAGAGGGCGAATACATCAATATGTGTGCGCTCATAAAGCCTTATGCAGGTCGCTCAGGTCCTTTAACGCATCTGGTCAAATGTGGAAAATTGTATTGGCCTATCAAAGCTGAGCGCTGAACCTGCTGATTCACCATTTTGCCATGCATACTGACACCATACAAACAAATTGCGAAGAGAAGATTATATTATGCTTGCACATCTATGTCCATGCGAGGAATACTTGGTTTGCAACCAAGCTGTTTTCACTGCTTATGGGTAATCCAATCTAACAGGATCTAACCTCCGCATTGCCTTTCATGCTGAGGAGCTCCAAGGGTTCGATTTAGTCCGAACTCGTGCTTAAAACATTATTTGAATTGGGCAAGGCAGCTCTTGGACAGGCCGGCCCCTTCTACTTCTGCTGGATTTTCTTGATCATGGTGAATCTACGCTCAGACACCACAGGGCCCGTCGACAATTTGAAACTCGTCAATTATTTCAGCATTCAGGAGTCTTAATACAAACGTTATCAGAAGTGTCTATGCCTCTGGTCGTATGCGATTTCGTGTGGTTTTATATCGAAACTCACGTCTAGGTTTGTATATTGATTACTCTGCTGCAGACCTGCGCACTTCCAGTGAATTTGCTGGAGGTACGATATGCATGGAAGAGATGATTAAAGAGACAATTGGGTTAGTGGCCGATCGCAACCAAACCGTGGGTGTATTTGCACAGTATCACTCCGAATTTGAAATATTGCATCAAGGAGATACCATAATCTAGCAAATACAAGTTGTCGAGAGAGAGACAAGATATTTACCATGATACTACCTTTAACGCCCGAGCAATTTGCTCCACGGTTACCGATTCATACATCGGAAGGGTTGCAAATGTGATATTCATGCATTCAACAAGCGTCAGGTTGTTCTTCAATCACTGGTGGTCGGCGTTGAAAGCTACCGCATGATTGGCAGGACAGTCCAATTTTCATGATTGGGGATGGACACAACTACTGACACGTCTCGCATCTGTTAATTGTAGACACTCGAGTTGAGGTGTATTAATGCATTCCCTGTTTATATTTCGAAGTGGTAATGGACGGATGACACTTGGCGATGGATGGGACTGACATATTCTAGAGCTCCTGAGTCAATTCCATCTGTGAGCTGGTTGATCATAGTCAAACGGATAAGGTACTAATCTCCAGCTCAGGGATGGAAGCTTATCCGCTGGACACGATGCCTACACAACAACGCCATGGAGTGAAAGCAAGGCAGGCCTCCTGCCAGCACCCGGTACTTAGAAGTTCGGGAGTTGTCATCATATCATTTTTAACAATGACAATGACATCCTTAGAGGATGCTGCAGACCGTCGCCGTGGAAGAATGGGAGAAATACTGTGATGTTGGGCGCCATTGATCGACTGGCTGTAAATCCCTAGTTATATGAGGAGAGTTCAGGGGTGCCCTCCCTTATGCCAGCTCATTTAGTCGCAGCCTAAAATGGTTTGGTAAGCAAAAACTTAAACGCGTTAACGCGTCTTAGACACGCGACATTTTCGACAACCTCGAGGCGCGGATTCTGGAAGCAAATTTACGAGGTCAAAAGTAATTGAGACAAGTTCGCTTCAAGGGCTTTTATTGTGTGGAGATATATAGAAACTGAAGAACAAACAGTTGTGTTATATGTTTGCTAGACTTCAAGTTCATTGTTTTATTCGACCGACTCGAATGAATAACTTGAAAGTACAAAGGACGCACTTGCCCCGACACGTGTCAATGACCGGCATCCAAGCTCGCATTCAACCTTCATCAATACCTGTTCTTAATAGCGTACCTATCTCAAGCCACAGCACAAGTCCAGAATCTACAGTCATGACTACAGACTTGAAAAAGCACTTCACTTCGAAGCGGTTTGTAGATGCACCCATCTCACAGCTATCCAAGGCTGGAATCAAACATGAGTACGTCCCATAGTCTTCGATCCTCCCCACGCTGACGTCGCGTAGGTTTCTTACAGATGTACAAGGTCAGTCTCATGCACACTGTATAATGCAGCTGAGTTGATGCAGTAGCATATGCCAGATGCCACACTTGAAGTGGGTGGCATCGATAATCGGTCTACTAAGCTAATGGTTGTACACTGTAGGATGCTTTGTCGGGCTTCGATCTCCTCGTGCAGGCCAAAACTGGAACTGGTGTGTAGTATGATTAGATCGTTCACTCCCAGACTGTTGAACACCACGCATAGGTAAAACTACAGCGTTTCTTCTCCCTGCCATAGAGCGGCTTGCGTCCTCCAGATCAGCTTCCTCCGATATAGGCAAGATTCTTGTTATAGCGCCCACACGGGAGCTGGTGCTTCAAATCGAGGAAGAGGCAATGTCCCTTCTTGCACACCACCCATACGGTGTGCAGTCTGTTATCGGAGGTACAAAGTACGCATTCTTTCCCATTCTTTGCCACATATCATGATATATATTAACACTTGCAGCATAAATACAGAGAAAACTCGTCTTAACTCTCCCACCGCTCGCGCCGACATCCTAATTGCCACTCCCGGTCGGCTCCTCGACCATCTGACTTCGGGGCTCGCCCTCCGCCCAACTGTGCTCATTCTGGACGAGGCAGATAGGCTTCTCGATCAAGGATTTCGCAAGGATCTAGAGCGCATTCTGGGATTCTTGCCTGATAGACGGGGAACAAGGCGACAATGTATGCTATTTTCTGCAACTTTTGACAATGCAATCAAGAAGGTGGGTGGGTTTTTTGTGTAAGAATAACGGGCACTGATCGTTTTGAGGAGTAGATTGCAAAGATTTACCTAGATCCAGATTATAAATTCATATCTACGCTCCACGCGGACGAGATCAACACACACGAACATGGTGTGTGCATCTTTTCCATAATCTGTCAAACAAAGTGACACATATGTAACACAGTTCCCCAGAGTTATCTCATAACGCCCCTCGAAGATACCCTTCCGACACTTGTTTCCCTCCTCAAGCAGGCGGGTCCGCAAGCGAAAGCAATGTTGTTTTGTACAACGGCACGTGGAACGGCCGTTGTCGCGAGTGTCTTGCAACAAGTGTCTGCTGGGCCACAATCTATGCTTCCCCCAATCTACCAGATCCAAAGCCGTATGTCACAGGCTGCGCGTACACGCGCCGCACAGGAGTTCCGCGATGCCCCGGAGGGTGCGATTTTGGTTACCAGCGATGTGACTGCAAGAGGGATGGATTTTCCAAGGTGGGTCTCCTATCAAATCTCAAAGTATCATCAGTCCCTTCGTTGGCCAAACAATCATGCTGTTGTCTGATCATTTTTCTCCATGTTGATATGTTTTATTTCGTATCTTGCCCCCTGCAGTCTACTTTCTCTTCATCGCAAGGTGTGCTGACATTATCCTACAGCGTAACACACATCATCCAGTTTTCCCTCCCTAGCTCGCCCGCACAATACATTCATCGCCTCGGCCGAACCGCGCGCGCAGGGGCTGCCGGTGAAGGCATATTAATCCTCATGCCGGATGAACAGTTCTTTTTACGGCTGCCAGAGATCGCCTCACTTCCGTTAAAGCCCTACACACAGCTTGAACATACCGGTAATTTGAAGTTCAAGTTGGATGACCGCTCCATCGGCCAAGCATATTCCGCTTGGCTTGGGTTCTACAAGTCCTGGCTAAAGCAGCTGCGATGGTCACCTACGAAGTTGGTGGAACAGGGCGCGGTATGGGCGCAGTGCTTAGGGTGGCCGAGTGTGGCGGAAGTCGGCAGTGGACCTAGTACTTCTAGTGGTGCTTCAGCGCAAAGAGGCGCAAGGGGTGGAAATGCAGTGGCAACATGGATCCCGCCACCTATCGCGAAGCGCACAGTAGGAATGATGGGTCTGCGTGGAACGCCGGGGCTGAATGTGGTAGATCACCTGGACGACGCGGGCGATGGCCCAGCTCGGAATGCGGGAGGAGGGAGACGTGGAGGGGGAAGTGGACGCGGACGCGGGAAGCCGCTTCCAAACGCAGCAAAACCGCACATAGAAGGAGGGAGCGATAATACGACTGCGCGCACACAAAGGATCAGAAGGGGCAAGGCGAAGGCCGGACAATGAACTTGTCAAATGGTTTATATCTCTTGGGAAGAAGTTGGTAGTTAGAGCTGTTAGAGTCTGACATTGTGCCTATACCTCAATGCATCGTTAATCGATTGTCTTAATTCAAACTGCGGCGCTGAACGACTCAAATATATATCGCAGTACCGGCCTCCTTGAGCGGATGAATGAATTCTGACCATCTACGCTCAACCTAAGCTCAATTCCACTGATAGGTCACGTGCCACGTAGCCAGGCGCGACCAACTTGTATGTCGCGTCGACGCGTCTTACTCAATGCTCTCAATTCGTCCTATGACTTCAGTGTCACGAAAGCGCGTTGCGGCTAGTTCTGTGAACTCCAGCTCTGCAAAAAGACGGAAGATCCAGGCTGAAAGGTACACCATTTTCCAAGTACTTCAGATAAAGTGTAGTTAACTTCAAGTGCTTGTAGTTCAACGGTCACTGCCGCAACAATCGTAGAAGTATCATGTCAGGGCAGTGCACCTGACATAAAGGCTGTTATAGAGAACTTGGAACACGAGACTATGGGAAGTTCTTGGAGGACTGCGTTAGACAAGGAATTCATGAAGCCGTATTTCCAGAAGGTGTGTCTTTACTCATCCCCTCTGGTAATCTCCCCTCTGAGTACTCCATTCGCTTCAGCTCAAAGAATTTCTCATTGCGGAGCATCTTACGCACACCGTATACCCAAAGCGTAAGATACTTATCTCGTTTGTCGATACGACGTTACAAAACCCTCTATAGTGAACGATGTCTACTCTTGGTCACGATTGACGCCACTTGACTCTGTGAAAGCCGTTATATTAGGCCAGGTGCGCGTTGCGTAATTTTATACGCGTTCCATCACTTACCATGGCACTCGACAAGGATCCGTATCATAATGTTGGACAAGCGCACGGTACGTATGTCTAGTTCACTAAGGATATATTTTGATACAATGTTTTAGGGCTCTCTTTCTCCGTCCTCCCTCCAACTAAGCTCCCTGGCTCCCTGAGGAATATTTATAAGCAACTTTCGAGCGACATCCCCACTTTCAAAGTCCCCACGTCTGGGTTTGTCGCATTACTAGCTCCGAGCTTGCAATTCGCTTACTCTTCACACAGGGATCTGACGCCTCTAGCAAAGGCTGGAGTTCTCTGGTTGAACACCTGCTTGACTGTACGGGCGCATAATGCCAACTCGCATTCAAAAAAAGGCTGGGAGACCTTCACCGATGCTGTTATCCGAGCTGTCCTCGACCGCCCGGACGGAAGAGGGGTTGTCTTCTTTGCCTGGGGCTTGCCTGCCCAAAAACTATACGACAGACTTGGGATTGACGAGGTGTGTGCCAGCCATTTTCTATTTTCTTTGCGGGAAACTGACTCAAGGCCGAGAAGAAAAAACATCTGGTGTTAAGGTACGCTTTGACTTCCTTTATTGATTGACACATTAAAATTATGTCTCAGATCTCCACATCCTTCTCCTCTTTCAGCTCATCGGGGCTTCCTTGGAAACGCTCACTTCAAGAAAGCTAATGAATGGCTGCGGAAGACACACGGAGAAGAGATTGATTGGGTGGCTCTCAATTCCGTTCCACCTTCAGAGGCAGTTCGCCACATCTGAACGACATGAATGGTAAGGAAAGCAAATGCAATTGCTACACAAAACAGAATCGTTGCTTAGATTACATGCATGTAACAGATCCTCCTCATCGATGCCTCTGGTTGTTCCAAATCTGACTTTGCCCACCGATTCCGAACTGTCCCATATCAGGAGGGGCAAAGAATGCTGGATTAGATATGGGAAAGTTCACAGCATTGAACGGCGATTGCGCAAAATTCTGATTTATCATGGGGAACTGTGCTATAGACGAGGCCTGTGTAGCAGGAACGGGCGAGCGTGTTGTGTTTGGTCGTACGCCTGGCTGGGGTGGTGGTTTCCAGTTCTGACGTGGCCAATCAGCATTGTGCGGAAAAGAAAAGAGTAGTAGCAAACACTTACATATTGCTTCCCTTCACGATACAGCTCTTCCAGCTTTTCGTCAAAGACACCGCGCTCTTCAAAATCATGATAAGCTTTGTACAACCTAAGCGCACTCCGAGCGTCCTCGATCGAATCGTGTGTGTCAGTTTGAATGTGTTCATGGAGGACGAACCAGGACAGGAAACGCAGTGATAATCGTCGCTGGCGGTTATGCAGAAAGTACAAGTCAACTGTGTCTATGACTTGCTCTGGGGGTACGAATATATCTGATCATGACGACGGTTAGTAAGTGGTCCTCGTTTAAATGCTGGAACATACTGATTATGCGGAAATCTTTCGAGAGTCCGTGCCCAATGAATATACATCCCCGGTCGACAAGCACCCTGAGCTTTTTGTACACAAGTTTTAAAGGTGTCAATGTATACCGCGACAAATGCGGATCAAGGTCACCAACTGTCACAATGTCAGCCATGAAAAAGAATACTGGACTACACTTACATTTGATCCCAGAAAACTCAGTCAGATAATCGACAATGACCTCGCTCGTATGGATATGGTCATCAATGAACGGGACACCTTCTTTCGGACCATCGCCCCTGAGGACGGACACGCGAGCAAGACTGAGCCGTGCAGGGCGGATGACGCGGTTGGTACCATCCGAACGGTACTCTGTTTCTTCCTGGCACACGAGGATACATAAAGACAGACCAACGGAAATTGTACGCAAAGCATACCTGCTGCATGGAGACAAACTCAGCATCGATTGCGACAAGTGTTCCGGGTTTAGGGAGTTCTTCAAAGCGGAGGCACTCGTGCTGGATGATATTCTCGTCGCGATTCCTATGCGCTAAAGATGAAAAGAGTGAAACTGTCACAAGATGAATGTGACTAACACAGAGATAGAGGTATCCAGGCTCAATATCGACGGGTTCAATTGATCTGGAAGACCGCTGTAGTCGAGCCGTTCTCGGACATCGACACGCTCAAAATATAAGATAGCCGGGACCTGCTTCGTCTTGAGTTTATTGGTGCACAGAAGAGACATCACAATTGACCTTCCACGTGCTTGGAAAGCTCAACGCCTCTTCTTCTGATATGTTACGCACAACGAAATCGTTGAAAAGAAACCAGGCACTCTTGAGATTCGGGCGGCCCTCCGCTTCAGGAACTGTGTCGTTGTCAGTGGGTATTACGTTAGTAACAGCTATAATAAAAGGCCCACCCTTAACAATCGCAACGAGATGCGAGTGTCTTTCTTTCGTCATAATTTGCACTACCATGGCCTATACAAACCGAAAATAAGCGCAACAGTAACAAGTAAAAAAATTAACTCACTCTCAGTTCATACACAACTCCCGTTGCCTCATCCACGCCATCAACTTCGCCTCTCACCTCCACCGATGGGCTCAAAAATCTCGACTGTCTGTTGTCTAACCATAGCTTCATATTATCTTCATTGTAGACACTTGCATTGACCGCAAGTACAGGTGGAAGCTCCGATGAAGGTATTGAGCGTCGGGAACTGAAAGCGCCAAATTGCTTGCACGTCTGACACGTTGCCTTATATGTCATCTGGCGAATTAGCGAAGCGCCAAGGATACTAGCGAAATCTGTTGCAGGAGGGGGATCTGAAGGTGTGAGCTGATTACCTCCGTCAGGATCACAAGCCAGTATGCGTATGAAGTGTCCTCACTCTGCGCGGGTAAACCATATCGACAACATGGGTCATGTTCTCTTTCTCCCTCACAGCTTTGCAGCTCATACATGTGATAACATTCTTCGCGTCTATACCGAGGAGCTGTGTAATAGGCGCAGCTGCAGGTGAATGCGTGTCCTCCTGGAATGGCTGGTGTATGAGGCATGGATTATGTGGGAAAGAGTTTCCTTCAAGCGAAAGATGGTCAACGAGGAAACGGTGGAATGACTGAATCATATGGGCATAGTCGACTTCAGTGGGCTCGCGCCCGTAATCGATCAACTCGATCTGGTTTTGACTTTGAGCTAGCACACCAACGGTCTTGCAGAAATTCCCTCCTTGGCAGTTTGTGCCGCCCGCATCCTCGAGCATCCGTGCCACAAAACCGAGCTCGCACAATAGACAGTGTTCTCTTGGACAATTGGTTGTGATATGCGACTTGGCGAGGCGCCGTATCGGAAACGTGTAGTGCATGACCTGGAGCATTGAATTCGTGTAGGAGTTGAGGATATGTGTTTCAAGACCACTGTACGGTGTTTTATTGTAAAAGCTGCAAAAACATTAATGAAAGCCGTCAGAAGTGAAGATAGAGAGCGCGCGCACCCAAAATCGAAATCCTCCACGCCAAACTTCGAGTACTCTATTTCTACCTTTCGATAAATTCGGGGTACCTCCTCGACGCTGTCGTCGATGCTTAGTGCTTCCAGCTCGAGCTATATCCTGTCAATTAAGCATAATAAAACAATAATCACACCCACATCATCTCTTTTGCCCTTTCCACTTCTGAACCGCCCTTGATCTTTGGCAGTAGTCACAGGCACACGGTTCCTCCGCCCACGGAGCTCCTTCGGAAGAGCCGCATATGCAATATTGTCGTTCATCTTCATAGTACTTAAGACTTGCGGCGGGATTTTAGGCGGAGGCGGACTCAAGATTCCAGAACGTGGAAGGAATTGTGGTGTCCAAGAGGAAAGCAGCAGAGTGTTGTAGTGTGGCATACCAATAGAGTTGAGGGGTCTTTGGTATATTGAAGTCAGCAAGGGGTACGAATGGCAAAAGATAACTCACGTTGACTCTGTCCAGTTGATGTCAGGGGGTGCTTCGGGAGCATCAGCCCATTCGATGGGTTGGCCTTCAAAACCATTGAAAAGTGGCTCTGCGTCCTCTGCGATGGCTGTCATGAGGTGAATGGCACCGAGCGCGTCGCCAAAAGCGAGGAACGAGCCGTTGGACGACACAGCTGTTGAGCTGATGTAGGATGTGGTCTCGAGCTGCGATACATGAGCGATTAAGTCTTGGGAGTATTACTTGCATACCTGATAAAACCCGGAGATATTACTATAATCAGATACGTCGACAACGTTCACCAGACCCTGCGCAGAGGTAACTACGAGGCTAGAAGAATGTTTAGGCAGGATGTCAATGAAGGCAGGACCGTCCTGGAATGGTACGGGAGGGAGAGGGCGCATCGTACGCAGGTCATATACTTTCACCAGGGGATCAGGAAAATCGTGACCGCGCCTGCAATCCATCAGTGGTATTTCCATACACAGATCACACGCTGCTAACCTTATACTCCACCCAATTGTGTAGAAATAGTTTCCACTCGTCTGGAGGTCTTGTACACCACTACTATGTGCTAGCACCGAGTTCTCTCCGTTCTCGCGCAGAAGCGCAGTGCGAGGGTCATATGCACGCACGTGCCCATCCGTGAGCGCTGCAAGTAGCGTGGAATGTGAGAACTGGAGGTGTGTCGCGACGGATGAGGAGGTAGCAACACGGATGGGGTTGCCTGTCATCGCATTCAAGAGAACAAGCTCAGGTGCAGTTGTTGAAGCTGCAAGAACATTGGAAGTATACGTATTGTTCGAGAACGCTGTAAGAGTAGAGGTTGATCTGCAGCTTTCATGAAAGGATACACGGTGTAGTATTGGAAAATCGCGTACCGAAAGAACCACTTGTTCATCCCGCCTTTGGCCCACGAGCCGATGCCTTCACCTGCAGCACCAAGTGCCCTAACATAGTTGTCTCCTGCCACAATCTGCTTGACCGGAAGAGCGCCGCCAACAGGGAAAGACACGGCACGGAGGCCCTGTATTGTGTGCAGCGCAACGACTGTGCCTACACTAGTCCCGGACCAGAGCGTGTCAGAAACGGGGTCAAAGCTAAGGGCAGTGACTGGCTGGGCATAGTCGTGTAGCGTCGTAATCGGCTCTATCATGTGGTACGATGTCGACATTGTGCTGTAGTCATGTACAAAATTGATGTGGTCGCTGTCTAGATCGACGAGCTCGCGGTAACGGAAGCAATTCACCAAATATTAGTTCCCATATCTAATCTCATCCTGACCGGTGATCCCTATAACTTTCACAACTTCAAACACTCATCCATGGAGAATCTACAGGGCTTGTCACCACAAACAAATGTATCAGCAGAAGAGGAGTCAAAGCGGAAGGTAGCTGAAGATGAAATGCGCCGGGATATGATGGCGACCATCCTCGACAGTGCTGCCCGAGAGCGATGTGCGTACTCCTTCCTGTTTCTGGCTTAGTACTCAGTATCGCCATTTTGAATTCACTACCAAGTGTCCCGCATCGCCCTTGTGAGCCCGGATAGATCGCGGCAAGTCGAGACCATCATTATGCGGATGGCTCAGTCAGGACAGCTGCGGGGACGTGTGAGCGAGCAGCAGCTGATCGACCTTCTTGATCAGGTGTGTAATCTTTCTCGTGTAAGTGCGTACAGTGTGCTGGATGTAATGTATTTAGATGGAGGACGCACGGTCCAAGACAACTACGAAGACCACGATAGTAGTGAGTATTCGACCACATCACTGACATAACCTTTGAGACGGAAGATTGCTGATCATGATTACCAACTAGTACCAGCGCAGGCGAGACTTTGATGATGAAGATGATTTTTAGATGTTTCATTGATGTACTCGAGCTCGTCGCTTTGATAACGCGATACATATCATTCATTATCACTCACCGTGCTTCTCGATCATGAGCCATCCTACCCCTGTTAGTGCCCTGCCCTCGCCACCTCGAATACTGCAATACTCGCCGTTAGCATTTCCTGTCCAGTTACCAAAACTTTGTCTCGGCCCGTCCATAGCTGGAGCTTTTTGCTGTCACTGACCACTATATGCTGATGCGTAATAAAACATCATGGCACGGAAGCCGTGACTACTTCCTGCAAGTGTGTAGTTGGCAGCTAATTTGACGAGGTATAATAAACCAAATATGGCCCCCGAACTATGGTCGACGTTGATCTAAGAGAACAATTTATTATCTGCACCCGCTGAACTTTGATTCAAAATGGCCAGGTCATTGGGATGGTACAGAAAACATAACAGGAACTTGGAAAGGAAAAAAAGCTATCTCCTTGCCTTCATTTTCTTGTGTAAAGTCGTCTTTGCCTTCTCGAATCTTGTGCGTTTCTTCAGTCGCGGCTCGTCATTGTTTGCATCCTCAAGATCCCCCTTCCATGTGGTTCGCGATCTGGATAAGGCATCGCCTTTTTTACCCCGTTGCCTGAGTTCTTCATATCCATCGCCAAGCACTCCCGTCTTCGTGCGCCCGATTGAGTGAAGCACATCCGCAAATTCATCCTCCAGGCCCCGGCCTCTCTTCCTACCCTTTCCAGCTCCTGTACCTCCGAGTGCCAAATCCTCTTCGTCCTTTCGTCGCCTGCGCGCCTCGGTTTTCTTCATTACTAGCCGAGTGAAATTATCTTCCTCGAAGTCCTTGATACGTTGTATCTCGCGGGCGCGGTCGGATGCGAAGGAGGGCATCGAGCCCAGACCAGATATGCCTTCGACGTGTGGGCGCGAGGGGTCTTGGTGGAGGAGGGTGGAGAGTGCTTTAGGAACAGGTTGTCGTGTAGAACGCTTGTCGGCGGCTGTCGTGTAGGGCATGGGTGCGAGCTTGGGAGGGCGGTATATCCCATCGGGGTCTTCGACGTTGGGATGGGCATCTCGGTCCTCGTCGGAGTGCCGCTCGTTGCCAACGAGGTCTTGAGGGTTTGGACGGAAGGCGAGGGGATCTGAGAAGTATATCAGCAAGGAGGTGTTATTACAGCATAAAAAACACACCTTCGGCCACATCTTTGCCAGAAGACACTTCTTCAGCCACTCTAACCAGCTTTTCGATCTGGTATCGCATCCTGCTTTCCAGGACATTTATTTTTTCGAGTACCACACGACCTTCTATCAAAGAGTCGACCAAATCACCAGCGCCAGAGCCTCGCGACTCTCGATCGACCGTGCTGAAAGGGGACACGGTCGATGTTCTCTCTGTTAATGAGTCACCAGTTGCTCGCCGTGCGGAGAGCAGGACAAGTGATTGTAAGTACGACAAAAGCAGGTGGTGTTTGAGGGAAAGTAGAGATATTCCGTGCGTCATATCCATGTCGTCTTCAGATTTTGATCTAGAGCAAGGTCAATGAGAGTTGGACTATCATGAATGCAAACTCTTACATTTGTTGGAGCGATTCTCGCACTGATGACATGCTAGAGGTCATTTCCTCGAGTATGCCGCAAAGGACTTGTGCATCCGCCATTTCTGATAGGATGGTGCAGCTCGTTGCTGTATACGCGGTCGTTGGACTAGAAAGTAGACTCCTGAAGATCTGCACGAGGGGTCATAACAATGCGGTTGCGCACTGAAGTTTAAAATTTCAAGTTGTTGAATCATAAAAGGAAATTTTTGTACGACCCTTATATCAGCGCGCTACCAATTGTATTGACGACTTCCCACCTTTTCACAGCCGGTGGCCTTTGAGCTAACGTCAACTCTGACAGACAACGCATTATCATCTATGGTAGCAGCCGACATGTAAACTACAGTACACTGCGCAAGAAAATCCTCCAAATCTCACCTCCTGGTTCGGAGGCATGCCGCGGCGGGCCACGTGTCATTTGACTGTGGGGAAAAGTCAATATCGATCGGTTCGAAGGATGCAAAAACAATGAAAGTTCAGTTAACGGTTTTCTAGGCCGCCGCTCTACTAATTGGAGCGTAGTGCATGACATCTATTTCTTTTCAGAGCCCAGTGCGTTTCATCTTTTATATGGACGAAAGCCGTACAATTTGTTACCACTGGGACTTACCTGAGTGTGTGAGTGATGGGAGTTTGAAAGGAACATTGAGTCAACTCGGATAAACCTTTTTATACGAAGAAGCAATCAACAAACGGATAAGGCCGAATGCACAGATCATACATATGTGCTGCCTTACCCGCAGCTGACTTCCATTATTGTCTTGATCTCCTCGTGTGCACGGCCTTGCTCCTGCAGGCGCCTTGCGCCCTTCTCTTCTTCCTGTACTACTATGAATTCATATCCATCACAGATACCACCAAAACGCTATGATCTCGTCCAGGCATTTGATGCCATGGCACTCGCTGGCAAGTCAAATGAGAGCAAGCGACTGCCTGACCCTCCCCCTGCCAACGGGAATCGGGCAAGTAGTTTTATAGGGGGTTTCAGTCCCGAAAAGTTGGCAATGAACGCGCTACTTGACGCCACGAAGCGACAGCCCACACACAGCGGACAATCCTCTCCGAACAGTAAGGGCGTATTACCCCCACTACCAATGCCGCCTACCTTTGTGGTGGCCATTCCAAGATCTCTTCAGACGGGGAAACAGTCGTTGACGATGCAGCACGCGCTCACTACCATGCCACTGCCAGTCATCACTCCACCATCGCGTCCTGACTCGGATTCCCTCCTTTCCCCTGACATCATGGCCCATCCCTCTATCTCCGTAGGAATGCGCTCGCGTCCACCGCTCGATATCACACCCAAATCTCGACCGCGTGCTATTTCTGTACCTCTTTCCCCATCATCATCATCATCATCATCATCTTCGGCGATCAAGAACACAACACAATGTAGCAGCATGACAAAGCTTGGGAAGCGATGCTCGCGCCAAGTCAAGCTTCCCTCGACGCACTCTCATATTGACCCAATACCTGTCGTGTATTGTCATCAGCATCGTGACGCAATGTTTCATGCGCAAACCGGATTTTATGTCAGACAGAAAGGCATGCCGGATACATTTGTAGAATTTAGTGGTGAGCACCATATTCATCTCGTCTGATACGCTCTTCAACATAGGGCAGATTATATACCACAATACCTCCAACGCGATACCCAGCTGGCACTTAGAGTCGAAATGGAGAAAGCTGCTTCCACTTCGGACGTCCCCGGATATATCTACACGTACGAAATACGAGGTTCGTCGCCATGAGTTTCCGAGCTCTTGATATTTACATCATCATCTTTGGCGTCCATGTTAGACACGAAACGTCCTGGTGTAATTCAGCTTAAAGTCGGGCGCGCTGTAAATCTCACAAAACGACTGGATCAATGGGGCAAACAATGTGGTTCGAAGGTACCAATTGTCCGGGGGTGGTGGCCAGGCACAGTCGAAGACGAGAGTGACGACGACGGCACTAATGGGAGCCTGCTTACAGGAAACATCAAGGCGGGAGAACCGGGGCCATTGTGCCACCGTGTGGAGAGGTTGGTGCATATAGAGCTCGCGGACTTGGTGGTCCACACACCATATCTGGACCCCAAGTTTCCGAAAGTCGACAATTCAGACACCTCTCCTTCTACCTCGGGGTCGCCGAAGAAGGCTACGATGAAGCCCTGTCTTGATTGTAAGCGATTGTCATATTTATTATGCTGGCAATATAGGATTTTTGACGCGGGGTCCAGGTGGTGCTATACACAGGGAAATATTCGCATTTCCACGTCCTGAGAAGGGACGTTACAAGGGGCGAGAGTGGGAACTTCTCGTGAAACCCGTCATCGAGAAATGGGGCAAATTTGTATCGGAATACTATGCTTGAGCCGTCACATGCAACACCCCTTCGGAGGGAGTCAATGGGAAGCCTTATACCCCTCAATTGATATCCACGGCGCAAGACACGCTTTCAATCAGAGCTTTTGGTGTCTACGGTAAAATATTTGACTGTCGAAGGACTTTTGTAATTCTAACAGCGCACATCTTGCCTTTCGGTATTACTCGAAACACTGCAACAGACACTTGTCACAACAGCTCTAGTCTCCATCGGCCTCGCCTTGTACAGACTAAGTACTATAGACGAATGAAGACAGTCGTTCCTTATTTACTCAACTGTCAGAGGTCAGTAAAAGTCCGCCCTGAATCCGACCTACATAATGGCCACACATCTAGCTTATGTATTCCTATGCACGTAATTAGTTGCTCGGCGTGAATATCGTCATACCGAGGACTGAAAGCAGTGCGTGCCGCAGTGGGGGCAGAGAGCAGAGCATGTGGTTCAGTGCCAAATTGCCTGTGCGGGCCGGTCTGCAGATACCTGTTCCTTGGCTAGTAGTAGTCCGTTTCTTGCTTGTGAGTAATCTGAGTCGGCCCGCAGATCCTGAGCAAGTCCGTAGAAAACGTCTGCACTGTCAGGAACCACCTTCCGGGACTAGCGGACCTTCAAGCTTCAAGTATTCCGCAGCTTGATTATAGCTAAGGGCGGTCAGGACAGTCATAGGCCTAATCACTCCCATGGGGCAGATACTAGCCCACTGAAACTGTCAATCACGAACAGCTTTATCCACGCATTCCGCGCGTATTGGTAACGAATGCGCTGCATGCCAGCGGTAATTACTAATACTATATTTAGCATGAACATATTAGTACTATCTTCATACGTCCACTGGCACCAAGTCCCCCACTCAGTCACTCACTTGCAGACTGACACCAGTCCCTCGAATACTATGACCCTAGTATCAGTTGATCCCAATATGTGGCCGCTAATAAATTTCCAGATGATTTTCAGCTATTTTACAGGTTTGTAGAGAACATTCCGATGTTTTACTCAAAGTTTGACCATGATTTTGCAGTTGCAGCCTTGACTGCAGTGTTGTACGATTGGGGTGAGCAAGATATTTTATTTGGGAAATTATCGAAGTTTAATCGTATCATCCAGTACTGGCTTTCGGACAGGAGGTAGGTTGGCAACTCCGTATCACTGTTACCGGAGCAGCCATCTCACTAATAATGATCTGGCAGTTTGAACTTATCTGGGTGAGTAAGATCTCATCGGAAGAACAACGTTTGGTTAAATCGGGCAGAGGAAACGCTGGTCCCTCATGACTTTTCTATATATCAGCGTATGTGCTAGCTTACGCATTGACACTGAGTTGTGCTTACTTCAACATATCCCAGGTGCGCTACACCGGAATAATATACTGTGTGTATGTTCGCAGTGCTTACAAGTTCAAGTTGGCACCGTACTAACGAGTTGTTTCTCATAGCATAGTCCTCCTGAGTACGTCTCTTTGCAAGCGTACAACTGTGTTTATTTTTTCTTCTTCTGATGAGCCGTATCATGTGCAGCGACACTTCCGTCATTCTCGGTGACAGATGCAGTAAGTATTCTGTACAAACATCTGATTCTCGTCCAACTAACTGCACCCCTACATAGGGGTGAGTGTAATCGTCAACTAAATTCTTGAATTGACATAATGACTGAACTAGTTGTGAGTTCGTTCGAAGAATGGAACCCTCCGATGCTCATCATTTACTGGATTTTAGGCACTACTTATTACCTTGTACAATGGTGGATACCTGTCATCGTAAATGCCATGCTGGGCGGTGAGTTATTCGGCTGCAGTACTTCGGCATTGACTGAAACACCATGTAAGTTATTATGATCGCTCGATTAAATGCCATGTATCAGCGATCCCGAAAAATGTTCACCTTTCTCGTCGTAACCTTCCTGGCTAAAATGATCGCCTCTGGAGTAATCAGTGTATTGGACAGTAGTCATATTTCAGGGGGTGAGCTTACAAACAACCTTAGCATATCAAGCTCATGAGATGAATTCCAGAAGAACTCGTTCTGTCCAATATCCATTGGTGCAGTTACCAAGGAGTGGACTTACTTATGAGAGCCGAGAATTGGATGATCATCACTGCATGGGAGGTCCTCACATTGTGTCTTGCAGTCTGGATCGTTGCAAGACACTTCCGGGAACTGCCATCCACAGGTTCGGTCGTCGGGGACTGTTTCACGGTGTTGATCAAAACCCACATGCTTTACTTTGCAGCGTGAGCTTGTCATTTTTAATGCGTTTATCTCTTCCGCCGACGATGCATGCATTAGCTTTACTGCTGTTTCTGGCTTAAACCTCGGCCTGCTGTCACAAAGTATCTCGGTATGTCAATCTCAGTTTGCATTTAACCATCCTCACCGTTTCTAAAGGATTCAACTTCTGTGGGGGCTGAAACGTATCTCGGCGTTCTTCGTGTCTTCTCTTTCGTGCAGATGTTTCTGCTTGGACCACGCCTTATTATTGGCGTCCGAGAATATCACGATACGCTCGTGGCCAACTCTAATGAAGGGATTGGCATTATTACAATTGCTTTCCAGGAGCGCGCAATGTCTTAACTGACGGGGATGCTTAGCAGGTGAACGAATGGAAGTTACAGCACTCTCGGGTATGCTGCAGTAGTTCGGCCCTTGCTGCTTGCTCGTCTACGATGGAGTATTGGCCGGGTCATTGATGAGGTCCGAGATTGATTTGTTGGAAGGTCAAAAGGAGAGAGCGTGGTGCTTGGGTCTTGACGCTTTCGTACCTTGGGATCCTTCTGGAGGATAGTATGTGAAACATTATTACGGAGACATGATTAACTAGTAGTGTCTGGAGAATATAAAATATTGTGACCGCCGTTTGGGCGTTTTGAGCTTCGGGGTCCTAGTAGTAGTTAGGGTGCCACTTGGTAACACCATATCACTTTGTGCTACGCTTGGACTTACAACAGGCGATGCCGTCCTCTCGAAGGCCTCGAGGCCTCACTTCATTATAAGTTCTGACGTGGATGATACGTTGGATTTGGAAAACAATTATCAAGTCTGACTCATTCTTTTCCGTACGTGTACGGTACACACGGCCGCATCCGACTCGGAGTCAACGCCTGATTTTGCTTCAGGTACCAGCCTCTGTACGAATTCTGGGAAAGCTCGCAACGCGTTCTTTGTGCGGCACTGATTTGCCGGTTTGGGCACTTTCTGGAGGCACCAGGAGAGCCGCACCCCACAACTATCAGTCTGACTCCTCTTCGGACCTTGATCTGGCGCACCGCGGACTTGTATCATGATCATGGTAGAGTGTGGTTGAGGTCGGCATTCCCCTTGTGACGATATAATTCTCGGTTGGAGTTGACATGATAATTTGTGAAACTTCTAGATGACCTACCGTTAATTTGGACGTTTAGAAAGTGATGCCCCCTGCTTCACAACTAAATGCCTTTGCACTCAGTGACACAACTTGCGATTTGGAACACTGACATTGCTCATTCCCCTGCATGTCCCTGGCAAATGATATACTCGATCGTCGGGTCAGCCGAAATACAGGATCACGAGACACGGGCAGTGTTATTTGTCTATCAGAATTCTGCATAGCATGAGAAATCAGTCCCAAAGGCTCCTTTTGTCTCTTAGCACACTATTGCCGTATTCTGTCCACCCAGCTGTGTCCACGCGATGTTGGCATAGGATTGAGCGGGCATCATGATGATAAGTTATCGCTGCCGAGATATCTCATGTATCCGTCCAGGTATTTATTTCTTATGGATAACACTATGTGTTTACACCACACCTCTTGTTCTTCTCGCCCCACCATCCTGCCATGGCTACAAGTGACTACCAGGGACACTGCCGGACAAGTGCTCTGGAGGATGACAATCGCGATGATGCGGTCATTATGTCAAGGACCGCTAGTGTGACGCCATTGGCAGGCAACATTCCCTCGACACCAACACGCGTTAAACAAGTATTTGGGCTGGTGACGCCCCCGGACTCTCGGCCACGACCTAACTCCTTTGGAATCCGTCTAACCTCTCCACTTCATACCCCTGTACGACGCTCCGACATCCCAAAGGATACGGAGTCGCTGGCCGTCTCAGGAATCTCATCTGAACGGTCTAGTAATCAGTCAACTACCAACCTTCTTTTGCCTCCGCCAGGGCTTTTGACGCCCGATAACACGCCTCCGCGTCTTAGTAAACCACGATTCGTACCTGTCAGCCATAAGGAAGAGACGACAGACAGATCTGAGTCGAGTCTCTCTCTTCAAACCACATCGGCTGTGGTGGAAATCTCGGAAGTGTGAGCATTATTTCTCGGCCTTCAGAAATTCCTGATCTTAAGTCCACAACAAGTTTTGAATATCACGCGGAAATCATTCAGGACACCAGAAAATCGGAGCCAGTCACGACACAATGCAATGGCATAAAACCGATTAAAGCCCCTGATTCTCATCGCATCTCTCATACTGACCAGCATACCGGCCTTCCCCCTTCTAATTCATCCGTGAAAGTGAGGGCTTTGCAGCGCCGTCAATCCCAAGATATTGCTGCGAGACCAGTAAATTCGCAATACCATGGACTCACACTGCGTTCCGATCAATGCCAACGTTCAGTCGAATCTCCAACTCAATACTACTTTCAGCATGGACCTAAAAGTCCTGGTACCCCTGCCATACTCACCGCACCGAAATCTTCGCAATGTCGTGGACTCACACTACGTGGTGTTCAATGCTCACGTTCAGTCAAACTTCCAGTTCAATACTGCTTTCAGCATGGATCCCAAGATCCCAATACCTCTGTCATAGTTACCGCACCCAAGTCTTCACAATGCCGTGGACTCACACTACGTGGTGTTCAATGCTCACGTTCAGTCAAACTTCCAGTTCAATACTGCTTTCAACATGGATCCCAAGATCCCAATACCTCTGTCATAGTTACCGCACCCAAGTCTTCACAATGCTGTGGACTCACGCTACGTGGCGTTCAATGCTCACGTTCAGTCAAACTTCCGGCTCAATACTGCTTTCAGCATGATTCCCAAGATCCTAATACCCCTGTCATACTCACCGCACCGAAGTCTTCGCAATGCTGTGGACTCACACTACGTGGCGTCCGATGCTCACGTTCAGTCAAACTTCCCGCTCAATACTGCTTTCAACATGGATCTCAAGATCCTAATACCCCTGTCATACTCACCGCACCGAAGTCTTCGCAATGCTGTGGACTCACGCTACGTGGCGTTCAATGCTCACGTTCAGTCAAATTTCCTGCTCAATATTGTTATCAGCATGGATCCCAAAGCAATAACATCCCTAGTACCACACCCATCACACCGACATTGGCAATAGAAGTGAATTCACGATGCCATGGACTCACGCAGGGTGGCATTCAGTGCCAACATTCAGTGAAATCCCCAACTCAATACTGCCATCAGCATGGATATCAAAGAAATAACACCCCTGACACACCCATAGTACCGCAACCGACGACAGAAGTGAACCGACCTCAAAGCAATGACGTCCCCACCCCATCCGCCATATCTACCATCCGCATAACAGGACAATGCAATGGCAAATCCAAGCCGAAAGGATGCCGATGTCAACAGTTGGTCTCGATTGCCCCCAGTCAGCTTACAAACGATACTTCCCAACCAGTTTATTGTCGTTCCCATATTCCAGCTCTAGTAGGGATTGTGAAACACATTGATAACGAGGGGTTTAAAGTGCAGCTAGTCGCCGGTCAGGAAGATCTTTTTGTTCGCTTTTGCGGTAAGGCAATTGTTGCAGATTTCGTTGGACCATTTTAAACGTTCAATAGACTATATTCCTGAGTATCTGCAACGTGATACTCAGCTAAACCTTCGGAAGGCCATGACAAGAAATCTTTCGGAAAGGTCCAAGATACCAGGCTATGTATATGCGCTGAACGTGTTCGGTAGGTTTTACTTTACCCATCATCAAATGTTGGCCTGCAAGCTGAGCCCCTAACAAGACCCCGAGAATGAGGGGAAGCTCTCGTTGAAGATTGGGTATAGCAAAGATGTCAAGAAACGCCACGCAGAATGGAAGAACAAGTGTCGTTCTTCCATAAAAGATGTTCGCGGGTGGTGGCCTCAGACCATAATCGAAGCTAAAGATGATGACGAGTTGGCGATACAGAAGCTCATTAGAGATAATCGCCAGGGCGACAAGGGTCCGATGGCTGAACACCTCGAACGGTTGGTGCATATCGAGCTCAAGGATCTGGCAACACATGCTGCTTATCTGCATCCCGATTTTCCTGACGTCCACTTTTCGGATATCCCACGCCAGCCAAAGGTTGATCTTAAGCCCTGCCGTGACTGTAGTAAGTTAGACCTAGTGCATAGTTGCGGGGCAGGTGCTAAAGCTCGCCAATTCACAGATGGGACCAAACACAAGGAAGTGTTCTCATTCACGCGCGTCAAGGAAGGTGAATTCTTTGGGAGGGAATGGGAAGATATCGTTAAACCTGTGATAAGGAAGTGGGGATTATTCCTCAAGACATATTTTGCTCAAGGTGGTGCATGAGTTTTTCAAATGACTCTTCGACTCAACTTGGACTTTAAGGATTCCGCTTTATATCTAACCTATTGCGGCGCTGCGTGGACACTGTTCGTGATGTATTTTGATCATGCTCTATCCTGCTTCAAGTTTATCGTGCTTTGTGGACATTTATTGGACTCCGGATCCTATGTTGTACACTGGCCTGTAATTTAGCATACTGACTTGTAGCATTGTAGGAGTAAGTACGAATTCGAGATCATGTGAACCCAAAAGCAAAGTGTGATGTATTAGATAATTAGGTCTAGGACTTGGTCAAGCCTATTTTTCACGAAGTTCAAGCAGCACAATTTGCTGGTCCCAAGCCTACCGGTGTATGTGACCGGAGCTGTGTCCAAGTTTTCTATGTGCATGGTTATCGATCATGTCACCTTGAAGTTCTGTGCATCCATCATTTTTTTTTCATTTCTGGCACCATTGGTCCTAGCCTTCCCGCCACTTTCTTGCACCCTCCGTCATCCTTTCGACACCCCTCCTAAACACCAGTACCCTGCACTCGCCTCAAGAACACAATAGCAGGTGCCGACGAGAAACCATTGCGCAGGGCCGCAGGACTGTGATGAAACATGAAGTGAAGGACTCGATGACGCAAACAGGCGGTAGAAGAGGATAGCAAGCGGTGAGATATCAGAGACACTGGCAGAGAGCAGCTACGCACCCATACACTCTGCTATACCATTCGTGTGTCCAAATGCACCCCCGGCATATGCAGAACTTCCCGCCTCCGGTATTTTTCTGCTGCCTCGCGCCCCCAAAATTGGTTTCCGTCCTGTCCCGATGCCTCACTGCCCTTCTTCGCAGTTTACATCATTCCACCAACTTGCTGTCACTGCCTTACAACAGCAACCACGATCTTCCAAATGCCTACTGTTTGTCACGTTTGTTCTTCACGCCCTCCACAAGTCCCCTGATTCCTCTTTTTAAGCCTGCGATCAGGAAGTGGGGTTATTCCTCGGGGAATATTACGCTGAAGGTGATGGATGAGTTTTGCTAATGACTCTTGGGTTCGACACCTCTTTATATCTATTGCGGATACCTGTGGACGCTGTTCGTTCTAATACGTCGCGGGTATACACTTCATTATTTGGGATGTTGTACACCGGTCTGTATTCAGTATTCTTTGTAGCCTTCAAGTTCACCGACTAAAGTTTTTTACCCCGGCGTGCGATGGCTCGCCCAAAAAGGATTAAACTGCATCGAGATTTGACTATAATTTTAACAAAAAATACCAAGTGGGTACTTGTGCTACAGGCTTTGGACTCACTTACTGCCAGTTGCACTTGTTGGCATCTAGAATGCTGTGGGCCGTGGCATTGCTGCCCTATACTATCAACAACACGATCGGTTGCATGGCGATGGTTGACATTGTTCACTTCCATAACGGGATTTGATCATCTTGTTCTCTTTTGTTTTTTTGCGGAACTTCACCTTGGCACTGTGGCATAAATGCCTCATATAAAAGACTTGCAACTGGCCGTGTTATTTTCTGTTTGAGCTTTTCTGTCTTGATCTTTTCCTTCTGATCCTAGTCGCTGTGCGTCTTGAAGCTTCAACTTTTGGGCTTGATGCTCAATTGCTTTGATTTCAATTTCTGACACTTCAAACATTCAAACTTGACCAATCATGATGTTCTCGAGCTTATTCATGGCCTTTGCTGTTGTGTCGCTGGCGCAGGCTGTCCAGTTTAACGTCACTGTTGGTGGAGGACCATTAAGATATGACCCGCAATTTGTTGTACGTCTCTGCAGTCAATTTCGCAGTATTCATTACTCATTAACGTGAAGAATGCAAACCCTGGAGATACCATCATCTTCACTTTTAAACAATCCAACCATACGGCTTCCCAATCTACTTTTGCCCAGCCATGTGTAAAGGCGTCCAATGGATTTGACTCTGGCTTGTAAGCACGAACACGCCGTTGTATAAATTTAGACTGAAATATCATGGTTGGCGTACATAGCATGCCAGTATCATCCAGTAACACGGACGGCCCGTTCCCTGCAGCACAATATACGGTGCAGGATATGAACCCGGTTTGGGTGTACTGCAAACAAGGCAATCACTGCGAGCAGGGCATGGTCTTTGCCATCAACCCAGGCACTCAGTTTGCTGCATTTCAAGCAGCGGCCATGGGCAATACCACAGTCTCTTCATCCTCGTCTGCTTCGGTCACTGCAACTGCGACTACTCCCACCGGGGTCGTCACTGCTACCGCGACTATCACAGGAGGTGGTCAGACTGTGACTACAACTTACGGTTCGTTCCCTGGTAGTGCGGCACCAACGAGCGCAATAAGCACGGACCATAAAGTTGTTGTTGGCGGCTCGACCCTGACGTATACGCCATCGAATATTACTGCACAAATTGGGGATACGGTCACGTTCCAATTCATGCAAAAGAATCACACGGCAACGCAGAGTACCTTTGCGGATCCGTGCCGCTCGCTTACTCTCACGTCTACGAGTGGACAAGTTGGGTTTGATTCTGGATTGTAAGTGTTTTTGTCGGTTAGGGTATGTGTGAGACTGACAGCGCTGTTAGCATGGCCGTTGCATCTAATGCGACGACATTCCCAACGTATACGATCCAAATCAATAATGTAAGGAACTTGTCGTCATATTACTCCCTGTGCTGACATCGAGTGCCTTAGACTGCACCAATTTGGGTATATTGTAAACAGTCTGGACACTGTGGACAAGGCATGGTGTTCTCTGTGAACGCGGTCGAGTCCGGAGCCAACAACTTTGCTGCATTCAAGGCGCAAGCAATCCGACTCAACGGGACCTCATCGACATCCTCGACCACGAGTGCAGGAGTACAAGCGACACAAACGAAGTCGGGTGGTGTGGTGAAGATGAATGATCGTGGGACAAGGGTCTTGGTTGGCATTGTGGGAGTGGTGTCAATGGCTGGCATGTTCCTGGCGTGAGGTTGTCATTATGAGATGCACCTTATCACGATTCTTTCAATAACACTATGTAGCCCGCTGGTATATTGTACTATTCGCTGTAGTCAATGTGGATTGAATTAATATCTATCTGTGTCTTCGATTATGTAATACACTTCAAGTTATTGAGAGGTGAACTGCGGTTCCTGTAGAGGACGCCGGTGGAGGGCGCTCACGCTGCACAACCAGTGCCCTGACGGGCTCACGATTCTGATTTTGGTCGTCGTCATTCCGACAGGTGTCCCAGGTTTCCTTGTACACCATCCTGGTTGTTCACACTAACTTGGACGCACGGCGTGTTCACCTCACTACAAGTTGCTTTGCAGACCTTTTGTATATCCAATTGCTCAGCTGAGCTATGGATTCACCGCCTAATGTCCCGTATCAGGCCTACAAAGTACGTTAATCTTCTTAAATTCTCATTTATTCTCATACAAATACATGTAAAAGTCGAAACGACATTCCCGAGCAGTCTCGTCTATCCATCTGGTTCCCAATGTCTCCCCGCCGCCTATGTCCCGCCCATCGAGCATGGCATCAATCCCCCCTTCTGTTCCAGCGCCTACATTCACTCGTCCACACGAATACTATGAGTCTGAGAAGGTCTTGACAGTCTCCACAGAGTATCCAAATGTCATCACAGTCGTAACAGACAAGACACGAGCACCCAGCGTCGATATCGTACATTCGAGGGACCTTTCTTCCTCACCGACTACTAATGGCTCATCAACTAGTACCGAGTTACCTTCCCCAACAAGCATTGATGTTGCGTTGCCAGATCCTGTCCAGACACCCGTACCCGATGAGGAGCCAGTTCCACGTACAAATGGCAAAGACAAAGAGATGGAATTACCAATTTCATCTCCTGCATCTTCCGTAACAAAGCTTCCTCCTACTTCTCCGAAACCATCCAAGTTCAGGCGCCTTCGTCCTCCCCCTGCAAAATCCCCACTCGCTTCGCCTCTCCGACCACCCGTTACCCACTCCCCCGCACCATCGACATCCAGCCGCCAACTCGACGCACTGCATGCATTGCATTCACCCGTGATGCACAGCCGTGTCACCTCAGTTACATCAGTAATATCAGATAGTGGTAAACTACCTCCGTCAGTCTTACTTCCAAGAGCAAGCGCGCCTTTTGCTCAGAACATCATCAGTCCACCCCCGCGCTCGTCTTCGATGGTCGCACCCCTGCCACCGCCGAAACTCTATTCACCGACACCAACACCAGGACCTCTACTGCCACCTTCTTCATCAGCCCCAGTATCAGCAACAACCTCAACCTCAGGTTCTCCTGCAGCGTCAACTCCTTCCCTCCCCTCCACCTCATCCGCACCTGCATCTTCCTCTGCACAAATACGTACATCCACCCCTACGCGGTCTGCAGCACCCTACCGTCCAGGTTTTCAGCCCAAGGGTGTGTATCGGCCCCGCACGGATGAATTTGCTGAATACCGGACGAAACGTGTTGACGAGGGGCGGATAGAACAGACAAAGCTAGAGCGTAGGCTCGAAAAGCTTATCGCTCTGCATTTTCCTGTGGAGAATTCTGTTGAGAAGGGCGTGGGTGCGAGGAAAGATGAGGTTAGTGTCAATGGAAGGGGAATGGAAAAGAGGAGGGCTTCGTCGTTTTTTAATCTCGACCTTAAGAATATGGATGCGAGTGAACTGTGGAAAGGGGTATTGCAAAGCCAAATGATACAGGGCTCCAACGGTGATACTCGAGGTATATCACACCGCTCAGTTCGTTGAATTGAGTATTGACCGAAACAATCTTTTTCTAGCTGCAGAGCAGCGGATAACACCTTGGCAGGACGATGCTGCCGTATCTAAATGTCCTTTATGCCTGTATGTCTTCCTTTTCATATTTACACCCCCATACCACCACCGTTTGAACATGAGAATCTCACTTACATTCCTTCAGCGCGTCCTTTCATCCACTCACAAACCGTAAACACCATTGCCGCCTCTGCGGTACCATCATCTGCAGTCTTCCTCCAAAGCTCCCGCAACGCCAGAGCCCCTGTTCAGTGCTTTTCGTCGTCGATGCCAAGACGCGGCGCATCGAGGAGGTCGGGGAGGGCGTCGATTACGGTGTGCGTCGTGCGGGTGCTGGCGAGGAGGAGAAATTTCTCCGCGGCGTCAGAATATGCCGTAGCTGCAGGCCTGTGCTCACGCGACAGCAGTATTGGCAGGAGATGGCGAGCGTACCGCCGTTTGTAAGGTTCTATGATGTAAGTTGGTTACTGGAGCTATTGAGCTTGTGCGATACTAATTTGGAAATAGGCATTCATTAGTCTCGAGAAAGAGATCGAGGATGCGATTCCCCAGTTTCAGGACCTGCTTCTTACACTCAGGTATGTATTGACTGGGCTTTGATTCTACACAGAATGACAATAACACATTTGCATCTAGTAATGACGACCAGCCAACTAAAGAAGCGTCCGCAGCACGGAAGCGTCTCCTGGATGCCTTTGCTCAATATGATGTTTTGGCCAAACGGATACGTGACATTCCTTGCAATACAGGGTCTTCCCAGAACCACGTGCAGCTCGCAGTTCTCAGCAGGGCGAATCTATTTTTGCAGAAGCATATGTTCCCATTACAGGTACGTAAAATACGTTTCATCCGATACTCTAAACTGACTAGCATCATGCGCAGTCCCTGCCCAAGCCTAAAAAGCGTGATTCAACATCGTCACCTGTCCCTTTCGAGACACCACTTGTGGACCCCGATTCAGACCTCGCCCATACACTACAACCGCTTCTAGAACAAGAGGCTCTTCTCGAATCCTTTGTCGGCGAGGCGATGGCGCATCGCAAGTTCGAAGATGCGAAGACGCTTAAGGCGAACCTCGCCGAAATCAGAGCCGAAATCGATCGTATGCTAGGTGATGCTGTGCGGTGAGATGGAGACGCGCATGGGGTGATTATAGCCGGGGTAATCATAGCTGGTTGACGACTCATTCATACACGCAAACACGATACTATCTTATGAATCTACCATTACATCCGCATCCTCATTTTATCGCTCTGATAGATCTTATGCTTTGGGACCCTCTTATTTCACATACACACTACCTTCATGTAGGATCCAGCATAATATAGGCATGGAATTTTGAAAGCAAGAGACAATACTAGTCGAATATGTAATGTGAGATATTGGTATGATGATGCTACAATAACTGCAGGTATACGTCATGCGTCGTGAGGATGAGTCATGGACATAACAATTAATCAAAGCTACCAAGGCTCAGCGCTCAGCCTTCATCACTCGTGTCCCGCATACGGGGTATATTGAAGGACTGGGTTGGAAGTGCACTCCGAGGGGTTGTTATGTGACCAAACAGTTTCAATGTCTTCGGCTGCGTAGAACTGCGACTTCTGGATAAATTTGCACCTAGCCGCCCATCCTCAGCGATCAATCCGACTGTGGATGGCGCCAAGATAGCAGTCATGGGAGAATATGGTCGTGGCGTCGTCGATGGTGAAAATGATGAGACATGCAGGAGCATCACAAACTCCTGCGTGGCATTTGTCAACGCCAACATCTTGCCTAAAAGATCGGAGAATACGGCGTGGGACGTGCCGTGCGTTTTGACCAGATTTGACAATTTGACCACAATCTGTAGAGAAAAATCCCGCAGATCAGCATCACAGATCACCCCAAGGAGATGGAAAAGACAAGTGGATCACCACAGGAATGGGACCAAGACAAGGAAATCAGAAAGATGAATCACCTTGACGAACACGTGTGCGTCCTCACGGAGCCCTTTTCTGTCAGCTCCTGGGTCTCCGCACCGCATTGCGTTTATATTAGTACGTAGGCGCTCCGTGGTGGATTTAGCCTTAAGCAGTGTGTTGCGGAACTCTTCAGCTCCTTCAGATAAATTCTCCACAATCTCTTTCAGCATCTCCCATACTGCAGGTGCTGCCTCTACTGCTACTTCCATCGCGTCGAGGGCGTCTTTGTCGACGAGCGTCCGTGAAGGAGGTATGTCAAGTGTTGGGCGTAGAGCAGGCACATGAGGCGATGAAGGTGCAGCTGATGGCGTCAATGATGTTTGGGAGGCTTGCCGGGAGTGCTGCCCAGACAATGGCGTCCAAGGTATGCTAGAATTCACCAATGAGGGAATCAGGCTCGATGTTGATGCTGAAAGCGGTAGCGCCGGGTGACGTTGTCCTGCTCGAAGTGTCGTCGGGGAGTTTACCACCGCGCCAAATGGTACTGGCAAGTCATATGATGGCAAGGATTTGCCAATCTCCACGTCTTTTGAACTGAACGACCCAGCATGGCGCCGCGTGGTTCTTGCTCTACCAAGGGATTGTGTGGGTCGTGATCTGGCGATTGGAATACCATGTGGCGGCAGCGCATTGAACGGGGAGTACGACGGTGGTGCTGAAGAAGGAATAAGCTCGGGACTGGGATTCGGGGCTGGTTGGGGCTTCACTAGATGACGCCGGCGATCCGAAAGGTGAGGTTTGATAGCTTCAATGTGTGGAACCATCGACTGCCACGCACTCGATATTTCGGCCATGGCACCGTAAAAGATAAGCACCAATGACCGCATATATCGGTCATCATCTTTAGACGCGAGGATGTTCAACTGCAGTGACATCATCGCAATAGCTTTGCCAAACATCGCTGCGGTATCTCTACTACTCTCCACAAGCGCTCGGCAAAGTGAAGGTGGCGGTGTCGTTTTCTTGCAAATTGTATCAAACCGATCGAGAGCGCCGTTCAACTGCATCATGTAAGTATACGCAGGGTCGGTGACTTTCTTCAGCACAGAGGAGAGTTGTCGGTCGTTGGTGTAAGTGATGTAGTGCGAAAGTGCCTGATAAACCTGTGAAACAGCGAAGAACAGTGACCGTGCACATTCTACAAGGGAGCGTAGGGAAGATGAGAGATTGTTAATCATGGCTGTGGCAGGAAGTGCCGAGAGGCGCCTGAAGTATGCATGGCGTTCGACTTCGGGAACCGGCCGAGGAACGTCGCCAAAGGTTGGAGATGCAGATGTAGGAGGTGACTGAGTATATGCCTTTCTGCTCTGGAAATGCGAGGAACCGTCAGATGATGATGACGAGCCTTGATGATGTGAGAGAGGTGAGGGCATGGAAAACTCGTCATGCGACAGTAGATCAGGTGCGAGAACTCCTTTGCTTGTTCCCCCAATAGCCTGCTTGTTGACACCATCACTCACGTTGGCTGCACGGAGATCAGGCAGACTCTTCTTCCCAAACAGTGCTGGACAGCGATCACGAGCTGAACCGGTAAATGATGCATTACGGCCATGCTGTGGACCCTCTGGCACGGTTGTACTGTGATCATCTGTAGAAGACACAGACTCTGCAGGAGTAGGCAGGTAGCTCCCGACAGTCATTGATCGAGGTGGGACTTTGAACGGAGGAAGCGTCCCCAGGCGTAGAGGTGGCGGGCGGTCGAAACGCGGCGATGTCGACTTTGTAGGTTCCGGAAGGGAAGCGTCGATAGAGAAGGAACGAGCATGAGGCGTAACACCTGGGTCTGAATCATCATGTATATGAGACCAGGACTGTATTTGGTCTTCGCTGTAAGTACGTCAGTTGGCATTCGGGTATGAGAGAGTTGATCCCTACATGGAGTTGTCCAAAGCCGTATTCGCACTCACGAGCGAGTCGATGCTGGGCTGTTTCACGCCCAAGCGAGGCCGAGAATTATTTCTCATCCACTTCTGCATGAATGTTATCCACTCCCTTCCCCCATCTGGTGTTACCATGACATTCTTCGGCGGCCACTCTATGGGATTGTGATCTACCTTCAAGACGTCCAGCTCACGAAAATCTGCAAAGTATCCCGGGATGCGAGTTATTTTGTTGCGTGACAGACAGAAAACCTGACAAGAGCATGTTTGGCACTAAGAGGAGGTATAGAACCACGGAACGTACCCTCAGGTTGATCAGGGAGCCTGATTGCCCCGGTAGTCTTTTGATTTTGTTTCGACTGATGTCCAGAATCTCTAAGGATGGCATGACTGTTAACTGTGTCACGTTCAGCGACCGTTTAACGCGTGAACTTCGAGGCTGCTCACCACGTCGGGGAAAGAGGTGAAACTGTTGTTCTGCAAATTCAAATATCTCAAGCGGGAGAGTAGGGCAAATGCAGTAGGGAGCGTAGCAAGGCGATTGTACCCCAATGCAATCCTAAAGTAGTTTGTAATGTGAAGTTGCGGCAACAACGCGTCGCAGCAACGTACCTGAATACTGAACTCTCGTCATCGAGGGAGCCGTTCCTGCCCATGGTTGCCAAGTGTTTTGCCCCATCCTCACCGACGTCTGTCAGGTTCTTGTGTGTGAAATCAAGAGTAGCGCCGTTGTCGGATGACTGTCGAAGTGCTTCCGCGATGTGTTCTTCCGTTAGTGAAGTAGAGAGCAAAGGAGATAAAGCACCATGTCTGCTAGTACCCGGGAATTGAGACGTGCGCCCAGCGGCACGGTCAACGTCCGAGACCAACATTTAGAGGATAAAGCAAGAGGATCAGGGTCAACGGTCAGCTGGACCTTCTAGGGTGTCGAACAAATAATATTATTGTTTCCAACAATGATTATTCTGAACCAGGCAGTTGTCGGTACCATCCGGTCCAATAAATGCTGTACACTCACGCGGCCTATCCGACGCTTCCACCGTGAAAAGTCACAGCAGATCTCATTCTCCGACTTTCGCATTGCTCATAATGGTCACCATCAACATATATATGTACACAACGCCATCTTAAAACCACAACTAAAACCACATCGAGATAGAAAAACTCGTCTCTTCACTCCGCATCGCATGCCACCATCCAGGAGGAAAAAATAGCACATCACCGGGGGCCAAGGTCACGCACATAGCTCTCTGCGGCACCTCTTTCCAAAAATCAGGGAAAGCATCTCGCGACGCTTGCTCTGCCTCCGTGGAATCAGGAAACACATCCACCCGAGATGTATTGCACATCGATGGCTCCGTAACGTTGGCCGCCGGATTGCGAGACTTATCAGCAGTGTCAGATGTCGATGTGTCGAATGGATACATCAGACCGCAAACATCAGGCGGTGCGAGCCAAACAGTCTTGCGACCGACCACTTGGACTAGCGCGAGAAGATTTAATATACATGTAAAATGGAGTGCAAAGAAGTCATTCACCATAACAATTAAAGAAGGGGTCCTGTCAGATAATATTAGTAGACTTGTGCATTGATCGCATATAATCTTGAAGGAACTCACAGTATGGGCCGGGGAAATGGTACCCCTTGGGCCAAGCCATGCATTGATGATCAACCCATCCGTATTTCCCGGAGGTTTGTAAGCAGGATAACAGGATGGGGGGTCAGGGCATGCATAAACATATTCGGGAATACCAATATCCCCTTCAAGCGCCGGGAATTGCATGAAGAGGTTATGTTGTGCAAGATATAACACCTCGTTCTGGGGTTGAGCTGGGTGTTCAGGAAAGTCGAGAGACTGTAGAAAACAGTCCCAGCTCATCAGTCTTTGCGTCCATTCTTCAGTCCTGTAGTCTTTCCCAACTTCGACAGGCACAAGACGACCAGGGCCCGCCACGGAACGGAGATAGTCAATAGACGCCCACGAACTAAGGGCCTTCCAACCTTGTACGTAACCATGACGTTGGAGTACAAATGGTTTTTGTGACCACTGCCTCCCGAGGATATTTGGTGGGGGGTCAATGCAAGGAACACAAAGGGAAAAGGCGCTGGAGTGGTACATTTGTGTTAGAGGTTGTTTGTGAGCAGAAGAGGTTATGAGTGGTTTCAGCGTCAGATAGTTCTCTTGGATATCTTTGATGAGTTGATGGATGGAGTCCAATCTGCCAGGAGCGCCTGCTATAATGATAGCACGATCCAAGATAGCAACAGCCTCTGTAGCTGCTGCATCATCCTGTACCAAATCAGAAACCTGAGATATGGCACATAAGAGGCAGGCGTCTGTGTATAGCCTTCGCCAGCAAAGGGTCTCGGATGGCGGTAAGCGGGTCATTTTTTGATACGCCCTATCGAGAAAAGGTTTCATTGATGTCCACGAGTCAACGTTATTATGCAATGAACGAGCCGCTGCGCAAAACTCGAAGTAAGCCAAGCCGCAGAGCCGTAAGTCTAATTGTGATCGGGACCAAGAAAATTGGTAATTTTCGACTTCTTTTCGAAAAATGAAGCTTACCAACTGTGCACGGGTGACTTTGGTCACTCAACTCTGCCAGGAGTTGATCAAAAAATTCAAGACTCATGAGTTGACAGGGCCTGGTAACCTGCAAACAAAATCAAAAGACAATCTTATGCGCGCCTGGCGGCGGCTACATGAACGTTTTGCTCTGCGGACTTCGACACTCCACGTGTGAAAGGCATCGAAGTGTCACAAACACGCGAACATTTACGTGACAGAAACCATTTTCCGTCACGCGTGGCTGAAGATAAAAAGGACAACGGGGAAGGAGCGGCCGTGAGAAAATTCCCCAGACGATCATTTCCTCTCAAAGTAACCCATTGCATCCGGCCCGCGCCGAACGGCGTTGACCGCATTCCTTTTTCGGATATGACATCGAGGTACCGCCTTTCCTCCGCAGCGTCATTGCATACGAATATCTGATGCTGCTTCCAGGTTGGACAGGCTCCTTCTTCTTCTTGATACAGGATCTTCGTCCTCCGTGAGGAATACAGCAGCCAAACAACTTGCCCAACTTGCAGCCAAAAGTGTAATCAGTGATGTTGCAGTTCAAGACGATATTAAGTCAACTCGTCACCATGTCCCTCTCGGAGACTCCTCAGCGTGGTCTGAGTTAATGGCCGTCGTGGCTCGAGTCCGTATAGCGCGCTCCACTTCATCCTTCTTCATGCTAATCTCGCTTACTCAGATCTTACCTTATTTGCATTCAAAGAGTCACGAAACAAGGTCGGCCGCATCGAATGCACTCTCACAAATATTCTCCCTTGTGCCAGTATGGCAGCCACAAGCTGTAGACGTTAAACCTCCCCCAGATCTAGATACTTTTCCCCCCGAATTTCCTGCATTTTCAGTACAAGAACTTATGCAGAAAGGCGTGCTACTTCTTGCATCATCCGGGAAAGAATTTTCAAAGCCAACAGGCATCCTTGCAAACGCGGCAGAGGTTAAGAGAGCTCGTAAGGAGGCCATGGGTAGGCTAGGTCTCGACTTCCTTGAGAGTGTTGGTGCTGCAGATGACATGGACCTGGACAAGGAACTCGCTGTCGAAGGGGAAACTGAAACTGATCATGACAACGAAATTTACCCTAAGAGAGAGGACACTGCTACTCCTCTAGACTCCCCGATGGAGGTCGAGGCTCCAGTGAAACGCGAACGGTCGCCACCTCCATCACTATCTCGTCCAAAGAGTACCACTCCTGTTGCGCCATCACCCGTAGCAGAGGGAGAGTGTCTTAATGGACTTTCAGCACGCGAACGAAACCGCTTGAAACGTAAACGGAAACCAGGCAACTCTGCCTTTGTTGCGGCACCTCCTCCACCCCCTTCCGGCGCCAAGTACAATGCAACTCCTGCAGGGCCATCAAATAAGTAGGTCCAATCGCAACAACAGTTCCTTGTGTATCTCACTATCTTAATCGCTCAGAGCGCGGCTGGTATCAGCCGAACCGCAGGACGCGCCAAGGTCACGATTAGATAGCCCTGTTGATACTGCCAAATCATTCGTTCAGGAGAAAGTTATCATAGACCCATCAAAGGGTGGTGCTGTGTCACCGAAAGCAGCCCAACAATCACACGCGCTGGAAGTCATTCCAGGGGCTTGGATGTGGCAGGGCATTGTAGCCCTCCTAGAGGTCGACCTTTTCTCTGCAAATTGGGAGTCGAGACATGGTGCTGCCATGGCTTTGCGCGAGTTGCTCAAGGTCCAAGGATCATCAGGTGGCATGAAAGGTGACATTTGTTGTTCGTGACGGCAGCGAGCTTGATGTTAACGACGGAGTTCAGACAGTTTATCCGCAGAGGAAAATTCCCTTGCGCACGAGCGTTGGTGTAATGACTTAGCCGCAAAACTTTTGTGCATTTTCGTCCTCGATCGTTTTGGGGACTTCGTCTCCGATCAGGTTCGTTTTTTTTTCTTTATGCACTCAAGCATAGCACACGTCCTGAGTGAACTCTAGGTTGTTGCACCTGTTCGTGAGACGGTGTCACAAACACTCGCATCTCTATTGCTACATATGCCTCAGCGGTCCGTGAAGCACGTCCATTCCATACTATTGCAGATGATTCGACAAGACTTCCCGTCGGGGTACAAGCCAACCAAAAGCAAGAAAGGTGATGGTAGCCATGTATGGGAGGTTCGGCACGCAGGTCTTCTGGGTATCAAGTACGAGGCTGCCGTGCGAAGTGATCTTTTTGAAACAGCTGGCGATACAGGAAAAGAGATCCTGCAGGGCGTTGTCGATGCCGCAGTGCTGGGGTAAGCATGTCACATAGTATTTATCGTCACCTTCCTGACGTCTGGCCATGCAGTCTCAGTGATTCGGATGATGATGTTCGTGCTGTGGCCGCATCTTGTTTGCTTCCAGTTGCGGGTCATCTTGTTGAACAGCTTCCAGAATCTCTGGATAGAGTGCTTTTGGTTCTCTGGAACTGCCTGCGCGGCATGAAGGATGACTTAAGCTCAAGTGTTGGCGCAGTGATGGATCTATTGGGTAAGATTCTAATTGCTGTCTTACAGGGTAGTACTCACGGGCGGTAGGTAAACTCGTAACTTATAGCAAGGTCATCGATATTCTTGCACAAGCTAGTGTATCGTAAGCTTCCCTTACTTGTTTTCGGTCGGATATCTAACGGCCCCGATTAGCCTCCCGCTCACGGAATTGGCACCCACACTCTTCCCGTTCTTCCGACATACGATCCCTAATGTTCGTCTCGCCGTAGTCAAAACTTTGCTTTCCTTCATGACTGTAACTTCCCTTCCCCGCGAATGGATCGTCACGCCATTCCTTCGACTTCTTTTCCAGAATTTGGTTGTGGAAGAACGGGCGGATATTCGCGCTGTCACCTTGACAGCCTGGCGGATGGCGCTCGAGGTCGTAGCGGATGTGCCTGGATGGATGAAGAAGTTGGTGAAGCAGCAAACTGTCCTTGATTGGTACTCAACCATGATGACGCCGCTTGGCGCTCCTATTGATTGCTCAACATTCCATTACCCTGCTTTCACAGAAGATGATAGTGATACAGGCCCCCTGGAAAGACATAATGTTGACAAGAACATGCTTGCCCAGGATCTATCATTGGTCAGTGCGGAAGTAATCATGCAGGCTCGGATCGCAGCGGCTACCTCTATGGCGTATTTAATAATTTATTGGCCTTCGAAGGTACCGCATTTTTCAGCGCGTGTCAATTTTCTTCTGATGATTCATTTGCAGTCCATCGACGAACTTTTCCAGCCCATACTCGTGCATTACTTGCAATCAACCAGCATGCTCCAAAAATTCCTGGCTGCCCTCGTCTCAGAGGAATGGGCCCGTGCATATGATGCAACGTCTCCTACTACACTCATCATCGAGGCGTTTCCTCTTGCGGCAGAGCTCAGCACGATGTGTTTGGCTTGGTTACAGGGCACGCCTCCGATCGCATATCACGAGATGGCGTTCACGCTACACCGCATCCACTCAGAATGCGCTGCGCTCCTTCGTTGTTTTGCAACTGATTGCAAGATTCCCATATCCTTGATTCCGCATCTTGGTGACGAGATTGATATCACTGGTACAAAACCAAACAGCTTCACCATCGAGACTGCAGAAGAAGCGGTTGGTCCGATGTACATGAAATTGAAGGATAGCCTTGGGCGTACGAAGAAACGCGAGTTGGGAGTTATCGCCGAGAAGAGACAGAAGGTCGTGATCAGCATTGAACAATACTCTCAGGTCAAGACACAGCACGACACTCGTGTTTCAGCGGCTTTTGCAGCCGCCTTCGTTGCATTCCGAAGTACCCCAGATAAAGTTAGTCCTGTGGTCAAGGGAATTATGAACGGCATCAAGGTACGTTGATTGTTGAGTTCCGATTGCCAACAAAAAAGCTCACCTTGTTCCAGAACGAGGAAAATCTGGATCTCCAAACCCGCTCAGCTGTGGCAGTAGCACTATTCATCGATTTCTGCTTCCAACACAATATCACGCAACCGCCCGACAAAATTGTCAAGAATTTGTGTACATTCTTGTGTCAAGATGTGGAGCAAACACCAACCTTTGCCTATTCGCGATCTGTCTACAAGGGTATCCTATCCCTCACTTCTTGGTCAAAGCAAACGACACAGCAAGCAAAGAACGGCAAAGATAGTTCGAAGGGCGCTGATAGTGCCAAGTCGAGCGATGACGCTGCAACAGCACAACTATCAAGACGAGGAGCTTGCCTAGCATTCGATCAGCTGTCATCCAAATTTGGATCCCAGCTCCTTCAGGTGATCCCGAAGATGTGGATTTCCATGGCAGGAGGCTTGCTGAGTGCCTGCACAACAGGTGCGAAATTATTTCCGAGTTTCTCATTTTCCTGACCCCTACTCAGCGTTACCACACGAAGCTGACGCCCTCATGGACAAACAATATGGACAAGATGTAATTGACTCACTTAGTGTCCTCGAAGCCGTTGTGCCTTCCTTTCACCCGGATCTTTGGCCCAAGCTTGCAGAGTTGTTCCCCGCTATCGCAATGGCGTTGCGTAGTCGTTATGCCATTATTCGACAGGCAGCTGCACGCTGTTTCGCTACCATATGTAATGTGATGACCTCCGACGCCATGCTGTTTGCCATCGAGAAGATCATTCCGTTACTAGGAGACGCTATCGTGTTATCAAACCGTCAGGGTGCTGCAGAAGCCATCTATCGTACGTGTTCAACTATCTTTAATGTTCTGTCTGTCATACCTCGTGCAGATATCGTCCAGCATCTCGACATCAAAGCACTTCCCTACGTGATCTTTCTTATTGTTCCTGTTCTGGGGCGCATGAGCGATCCCGATGATGACATTCGCTCTGCGACCACCAATACATTTGCGTCCTTGATTAAAATGGTTCCCTTGGAGGTTTGTGCTATTACCTGGTATACATTCCTTACGCTTACATATTTTTCAGGCCGGTCTGCCTGATCCTACTAGTTTCCCTGAGGAGCTGCTCAAGAGGCGCGAAACGGAGCGACAATTCCTCACCCAACTTCTTGATGGCAGCAAAGTTGAACAGTACACCATACCTGTTCCTATCAAGGCGGAGCTTCGCAAATACCAGCAAGAAGGTGTCAATTGGCTGGCGTTCTTGGCTAAGTATCAGTTGCACGGGATTCTTTGTGATGGTGTGTTTGAATTTCCTTTAAACTTCCCACCTCATTTTATCATATTCTAGACATGGGTCTTGGTAAAACTTTGCAGTCCATATGCATACTAGCCAGCAAGCACGCAGAGCGAGCTAAAAAGTATGAAGATACAGAATCGTCTGATGCTGTTCATCTTCCATCGCTTATCATCTGCCCTCCTACTCTTACCGGTCACTGGTACTACGAGATTCTAAAATACTCTGAGAACTTGCAACCCATTCTCTATACCGGCAATTCCAAGGAGCGCGCAAGACTTCTTCCTAAATTATCCAAGAAAGATGTGGTCATCACTTCATACGAAGTTGTGCGGAACGATATTGCGAGCCTAGAAGATTACAACTGGCTATACTGCATCCTGGACGAAGGGCACGTGATCAAGAACGCGAAGACCAAACTCACAAAAGCTGTCAAGGCTATACATGCACAGCATCGTCTCATTCTTTCGGGCACTCCAATCCAGAATAACGTGTTAGAGCTTTGGAGTCTTTTTGACTTCTTGATGCCTGGCTTCCTTGGGACCGAAACGTCGTTCAACGAGCGATTCAGCAAGCCAATCCTGTCAAATCGTGATGGAAAGGCGAAGACTGGTGAAGCTGGTAAGTGATACGTCCTGAGAACTGTTTCGCTGTTAACCAAATTCTCTATAGCTGCTCTTGCTCTCGAAGCTCTGCATAAGCAAGTCCTGCCCTTCCTATTACGCCGGCTGAAAGAGGATGTCTTGAATGACCTACCCCCGAAGATCATTCAGGACTACTACTGTGAGCTGTCAGAGGTGCAAAAAATGCTGTACGACGACTTCTCCAGCTCACAGGCCAAGACGAATGTGGAGGATGCCATCCAAGGAGATGTCAAGGATGCTCCACAACAGCATGTTTTCCAATCACTACAGTACCTCCGCAAACTTTGCAATCATCCTTCACTGATCCTGAAGACCAACCGAGACGCTGTCATTGCAGCACTTGCCAAGATGAATTGCAAAATTAACAGCTTGAACAATATTCAGCACGCACCGAAATTACTTGCTTTACGGTATTGTCTTTCTCTGTGTGTATAGTTGTAATACTTAAATGCGGGGCAGGCAACTACTGACAGATTGCGGTATTGGAGGCAGTCCTTCGGTTACTGGTGAAAGCGGGAAGAACGATCCTGCGGAAAGCTTGTCGGAGTCAAGCAGTGCATTCTCCCAGCATCGCGCTCTAATCTTCTGTCAGATGAAGCAAATGTTGGACATCATCGAAAATGATCTCTTCAAGCAATATATGCCTTCCGTCACATACATGCGACTCGATGGTGGAACCGACCCTAACAAGCGTCATGCTATTGTTCAAACATTCAACTCGGATCCCAGTATTGACTGCCTCTTATTGACAACGCACGTTGGTGGGCTTGGTCTGACGCTCACTGGAGCAGATACTGTAATATTTGTGGAACATGACTGGAATCCCATGAAGGATCTTCAGGCTATGGACAGAGCTCACCGCATTGGACAAAAGAAGGTCGTTAATGTGTATCGCTTGATCACGAAGGGCACACTGGAAGAGAAGATCATGGGGTTAGTTTTTTTTTTTTTTTTGTATCTTGTCCCTGACAACGTTCGATAGTTTGCAACGCTTCAAGCTCAACATTGCGAACTCGGTTGTGACGCAGCAGAACTCCGGTCTGGCGTCGATGGATACAGATCTTGTTTTAGATCTTTTCAAACGAACAACGGAAGATGAAGACGCGACGGCAAAGAAGAAGGCGAAGGCGCCAACGGGTCCTGTTAGCCAGAAGAACCTCCTGGCAGGCCTCGAAGACATTCCCGCAGAAGATGAGTACGAGGGACTTGATCTGTCGAGTTTTATGGGCTCCTTGGGCATGCAGTGAGGTTGGCGATTCTAGACTCGGCATTCATATTGATCGAACACTGGCTTGGTTTTCACTTGACTACATATGTTGCATCTATAGTAGAATGTACCCATACTCCACCGATAATGTATAGTGTAGATTAAATTACGAATAGGTCTTTCCTCTGACTTAGACCTGACTCCAGTGTAATAATAATTGACAGTGATCGCAGGTGCTACGGCGTGACTTAAGGAGGCGTGACAGTGTCAAGTTGCTTCTTGGCCGTGGTCAGCAGTGGCGGCAAACTCGTGCAACTTTTGTCATGCATGTCTGTCTCTTGCCAGCAGAAATCCTACTTGATATATTCGCAATTATCCATGAAGACTATATCTCAGTAATCTCTCATGGCACACTTGCTGCTCTTGCAAGAACCTGTAGGACATTCAAGGAGCCCGCGCTTGATACGCTTTGGAAACATATCGATGGATTCGATCCACTCATCTTGTGCTTCCCTGAAGGTGTCCATGATAGAGATGTGCTGGGCCTAGGAAAGTTGGTGAGCTTAGACATTTTCAATCATGATGCAGGTCGACATATGAATTCCCATAATTTTCAAATAGACGTTCATCAGACCTCCCTTCGCAAGAGAGTGGAGCATTTTTTCTCAATATGCACACCGTATCCGCTCCTTGACCTTTGAACCTTCTGAGTCAGATGTCATAGACGACCGAATTGTGCAGGCGCTCATTTCTGCGCCATCACTCACACTGTTGCCGAACCTTTGTAGGTTGCATTGGTTCAATGACCAAGAATGCTTCATTCCACTATTGCGTTGCCTCCTTGTGCCAACTATCAGATCGTTGGAGCTGCGCTCTAGTAGTTCAGGAACCTTCTGGGTACCCTCCTTTGCCAAATCAGCCTTGTTAACTTCCCTTGGAGCTCGGTGTCCATCCATTCGGGAATTCAAGTGTGTATACCAAGGTGATTCTGAAGACAATTCAGACATAATATCCGACGCCGTATGTGGTTCGCGGGAGCTTTTCCATCTTGAGACAGGGGTTCTTAACACACAAGCGCTATGTCACTTGGCTTCTTTGCCATCATTGAAGTCTCTTTACTTCAGGACATACAATATTGACAGCACACAAACCGATGGCCCAGAATTTATCTCCCAAATCAATCTGGTGCATATCGCTGCACCGTCGCTTTTTGCTCTTGCTCACTGTCTTAGAAACATCCGTTTTCTTTGCTGTCGATCAGTAGCGTTGGACATCGATTTAAACCCTTGGGGGGCACCTTATGATCCACTGGTTGTTCCAGAATTCATCGTCTCATTTTCAAAGCACTTCTCTCCTGCTCTCGAACACCTCAGTGTCAGCTTCGAGCCCCCCCTCTTCTCCCTGGAAGACGAAGACATACTCGCTGATTCCCATTTTGCACTTGCCTTTGATGTGATTGCCCCGTTATTGTCCTTGAGTCGCTTGACAAAGGTAGACCTCGATTGGATCTGCGCTTCGGCCATTGACGATACATCACTCAAGAGAATGGCGCAATCCTGGCCTCTGCTCCAGGAATTTTACTTTGGAAGTGGGTGTCGTTGGCTGGTCCCACCATCTCTCACCTTCATAGGATTCATATACCTCATACAACATTGCCCGGCCTTGCGCACCATTGACATGACCTTCTGCGCATGCTCGGTAGATACCGATAGCGAGCCGTTCACCAAAACCATTCCCAACGAGAATATCACCAGCATTTTTGTGGGCATGTCTCCGATTGTCGACCCCGTTGCCGTGGCCTGTCAATTGCATACGTTAGTGCCCAACTTGTCCGGTGTGGACCGCTTTGGACCGCTTTTGGACGTGGACCCCACACCACAATTTCGAAATATGGATGAGGGTTGGGCTAAAGTTGATGAGTTTCTGACGGTGCTCAATACAGCCGCAAAAATGAGAAAGAGCGTAGGCTAAGCGATTCATGAGTGTCCTGATGCACCCTAGCGTTTCGATTGGGTGGTGACACGAATACGAGATGGAACCATATATTCCCAACCTCTACTTCACCTTCTTACTACTTTCCTCATTTTGATCGTCTATTTGCACCATCAGAACCACACTTACCTATACCTAGCGTACACTAACATTTCAACGAGACAAGCCCTCGTTCATATTTACCGACTTTCATTCCCATAATCTTGGCTTAGGAAGGCTCCTGTTTTTTTTTCGTTCACGCTTTACCCATTGCTTGAAGCAAGTGTTCCCTCAGTGGAGAAGGCTCAGCTGCCAGTAAAAACAGGCACTCGACGCGACGATGAACCGCCCAATGAGTGAGAAAGCTTGTAGATATACTGAAGGCCTCGTGCAGCAGTACATATTGAATGGTTGCACGAGATCAAGTAAGCTGTGTCGGAAATCTCGGAAATTGATTTCAACCGATTAGGATGCTTTGTAATAGTCCCAATATCACACGTGATTGGCAAGCCATTGCAATAGAAGCCACGGTTTGGAATACATATTATAATGACGCCATAAACGTTACATTTACACCTCTAATGCTCATTACATTTTCCAATTCCACTATGTTTTCAATTTTTTTGGGTGTCATTGCAATTAATTTTCAATATAATGGTGATCTTTGGCTTGCGCATTACGATGGGTTTGCATTGCACATGTCAATTATTCCCATAGTATTCTGCCAATTACAACATAAATTTTATTGCGCATTATAATGGATATATAGTTGTACATTATGATCAATTTCGAAACATCTAACAGTCGCATGAATTCATTATACTGGCACTCGCAAGTCCTGCGGAGACCCTTGCGCATACGAATGCCCCTGACGAACTCTTCGATCTTGCTTCAAGAGGAGCTGATGGATTTCATTAGTATTAACAGTCTTCATACGTCACACAATTACGCACATCCATTCATGATCTCCTAGTGGTCGAACACAATGTCACTCTGGGGGAAGGCTTGACCAGCTGTCTGTGAGCAGAGATCACTGTTGAAGCCGAAGGACTCCATGACGGGGAGGTACGCCTTGATGGTGAACATGGGCGTTCTTGCTCGACTATGAATGGTATCAGCACCCTGTAAAATTATGAGGCAAGCGGGACGTACTGAGATACACCGGCTCCTGGAGACCAGGGGTAGCAAGCAAACATGCAGCATAGCAGACACGATGACACGTAGGAATGATTTGTCCACCGCCATGATGGATAGCATCAATGTGCAGCTGTCAACTTCGCATAAGAAGATGTAATACAAGTAGGTATGAAGTGAACTTACAGTGACATCAAGGACATTGAAACGGATACCACACATGTTCTCCTCAGCACAGACACCTTCCTTGGTTGCCCACTGGAAGGCAGAGTCCTTGATTTCGTTAAGGTACTGCACACCATTGGTAACATCGATGAGCAAGTTGGGGCCAGTGGTATCGGGACCGAAACACCAGATCTTTCTTGCATCGATGACATCGTCACAGGAGTTGACAGTACCAGCCTCAATTTCCTTGGTGAGTTCCTCATCGAGAGGCATTGCTTTGGTGTAGAGACGGCTGTGTTTATTCTGCGACTTGGACAAGGTCGTGATCGTGGACTCAGCCTTGACAGTCACGTGGTAGCCGTCGACGACAGGGTCAGATACCTTGAGAAGAACACCAACGTGGTCTTCTTGGAGATCCTACAATAAGGGTCAGACTAACGAGATGGACCAGCAAGTAGATAAATTTTTATAGCTGTTTACCTTCAAGCAAATTTCCAATTAAAGTGCAGCTCACTGGCACCAGCGACAATGTGCTCACCAGTATAAGCAATCCAAGCCTAGACACAGAGGTCAGACTCCAACAGATGCTCGAGACCTTCGACAAGCTTGGGCAAATCTGCAGCGTCGTTGTAGACATTATAGTTTAAGGGAGATGTGGACTAAGTTCAAAAGAGAAACCAAAATGCCAGCGATGTGTGTTGCAATGCTGACATAATCACTGCACAGAGATTGCGAAGTTCATGGTGAACTTGGTATACTTATTTGATTCATTGTATTGGTACTAGCTATCATCAAAATTTTAAGAGCAGACACTTGACATCAGGACCGCTGAATCTAAGTGACTACTTGAAGAGAGATAAATTGTGAGTAACTGTAGCTGTATCAATAATCAGGAGAAAAGTTGGGATATGTATTAGTATTAACATTTCTTCGAACGGCCACGTCATTTTGGGGCCTCAGCGCCTCCATCCTGTAACACCTTTGACTTCTTGGACTGACCAGCCTTAGACTTCGTCTTGACAACCTCTTCGACTACTGTGACCTCTCCAACAATCTCATCTGGTCCAGGTCCATGATGAACTTGAAGACTGGTGATCAGCGAAGAGTTGGTTGCTACACTGGCAGTGAGGGTTGACGTCGTAGTGATAGTTGACAAAGGAGTAGGAGCCTCATTGGAATCACGTAGCGCTATATTGCCTGTAGCTTTAGCGAGGTCGTCAATACTAGCATTTTCATTGTCAGACGGAGACAGATCATCTTCTGTGTCTGCTGCTAATCCAAGTCGAGTGAGACACATTTCTTCTTGAAGATCATCAGCAGAATCCCTACTGTTAAGATCATGAGAGGGGCGAGAAGTGCGCTCGAAAACGAAGGTATTGATATGCTTGATGATCGTCTTCAGGCGAGGCTTCTCCCAGTCACAGATCAGCAGTTCTTTAAAGAACATAAAGATCATGCCGTAGTTGATTCTGGAGGTCTTCCCTTTGCCTTCTTGGGGAAATTCCTGGTCGGGTGATAATAGAAATATGTTCTATTAGAAGTGTACAGAGATTGAATCAGCCAAGATGAGCACAATGAATAAAGGCCTAGACTTACTGCAACAATAGCCCAAGCCACAGCCCCAGGTGTTACTGCTGTGATGCCCCACTTAACTGCGTTGGGTGGAGCACCGCCCTGTTGTCTACTCTCATTGGAGAGTGATGTCCTGCCCTTAAGGCAGCAGCTCAGTGTCTATCAATACAGTGTAGATTAGATGTCAAATGTGAATGAAGTGAATGACGACACACCTTAGCAATAAGTTGCCAGTTACCAAACAGTGTTTTACGACTGCGGTCGACAATATTCCCTGGAAACAACATAGGTGGCAGAGTCAGATATGACTTGCCGGCTTTGCCAGTGGTGCCAAGTAGCTGGCGAATCTCAGTTTCTGTGTCGCGAGCATATGAGATGGCGAAGTAACGCTGAGGAAGCTCGAAAATCTGACCAGCGGCACTCCTGAGCTTGTTAAGCTCGGAGGCACGACCAGCACAGACTGCCTTGGAGAACTGTAGATAGTGTCAATGGTACTAAATAAGACAGTTGCATGATAATGAAAAATAAATGTATTACCACGTTCGAAAACCGATTCATCGGCACCAGGTGATGCAGGTGCTGGGGGAGCATGTCGTACAATTCTGCCAGAACTGCAATCTCCTGCGAACCTGTAGTAGCATACCGAGCAGCCGTATTGAATGATGGTGCAGGGTCAGGAAGTGTTGTTTTGAGCAGGGCTGCTGGCAGAGGGAACATATTGACCATGAGACCGTATCGTTTTGCACAGACCTTGAGTTCTGCTTCGAAGGCCAGAATGTCTTCAGCAACCGCATTGTCCTTCTTGCGGCGACCCTTATTGGCTGATAGTATCTTATTCTGTTCCTCCACAATGCGGAGTCTTTCCTTCAGTGCCTGGTTTTCAAGCTGCACATTCTTGACCCCCTGTAGACATTGATAATGCTTCGGTGAGTGATACGAAAGGGAATCATGTACTTTCATACTTACTTCTGCTTCGTGTCTAGAGTGGTGCAGTCTTCGTTCACTGGCAGCCGCACTGGTAGCCTGACATTGAACAATATCAGAGGCTGACCCTCGAACAACACTATGCATAGGTCCGGGCCTCTCATCAGATGACGATTCATCAGACGATGAAGATTCATCAGCATAACGAGATTGAGACATGATAACAAGTCTAAGGGGAGACGAAATCAGCGACACTTGAACAGTCGAAGTGGTGCTCGTACCAACAGCACAACACCAGCTACAATTTATATGCAGTTTGGATGACAGTGGGAACATGTCAGACCAGTGCATATGGGGCGTGGTATTGGGGCGTGGAGGACAGGTTGTGCGATTAATGATGTATTTGGAACCTTGATAAGCCTCTGGATGACATCAAATGAGTGGCTGTAGACTCGGATCAGTGAGAATGGACTCATACTTATGGTTGGTTTGAAATGAGGATGCTGCAATATTACTCTCATCCGCCAAAAGCAGTATTGTCGGCACGAGTGCGGTTGATGTCAAGAGACATTAAGTGTGTTGGGGCAGACCCGTCCGCTCGGGGTTTGTTAGACATGTTAGCATTGAACTAAACCAAAGATAAACAGAAATTGATCAGTAGTTCCGACTCGAACATCCTGACTCTTACGGTTTGAGAGTCCCTGCCGGACAATGGAAGCTTGCAGGAAGAGTACATAATAAGGGCCCCATTGAGGATACAGTGTGGCATGAATGACATTGGATCTGTTGCATTGTTGGGTCGCCACAGAGATAATACCGAGCTTACAAGTATCCATGCCACAATTCTAAGTCTCCGCCCAAGGTCTGTATGCTGGCGTCCTTGGTAAAGAATGCGCATGTATTGTTTGGATATCTCCTGCAAAGAAAATGAGCACTACTGATAAAAGCAGCGATGCACAAATTGCATGCCTGGATGATTAATTGGAGGACATTGATGACAGTCAGAACCTGAGTAGTCTGCTTGGTCTGTTTTCCGTCAATGAATGCTTGCAAACCACTGTAATTTGACAGTAGTAAGTGGAAAACTGGGGGGGAAACATGCTCGATAAAAGTACATACCTGGAGGACTCCGCGGGTTGGGACAGACCCATCCGTTAGGGGTTTGTCTGACATTGATGGCCGTCGGAACTTGAGTAGTCTGCTTGGTCTGTTTGCCGTCAATGAATGCTTGCAAACCACTGTAATTCGACAATAGTAAGTGGAAAACTGGTGGGGGGGGGGGAAACTCGCTTGATAAAAGTACATACCTGGAGGACTCCGCGGGTTGGGACAGACCCATCCGTTCGGGGTTTGTCTGGCATTGGTGGCCGTCAGAACCTGAGTAGTCTGCTTGGTCTGTTTGCCGTCGATGAATGCTTGCAAACCGCTGTAATTCGACAATAGTAAGTGGAAAACTGGGGGGGGGGGAAACTCGCTTGATAAAAGTACATACCTGGAGGACTCCGCAGGTTGGGACAGACCCATCCGTTCGGGGTTTGTCTGGCATTGGTGGCCGTCAGAACCTGAGTAGTCTGCTTGGTCTGTTTTCCGTCGATGAATGCTTGCAAACCACTGTAATTCGACAGTAGTAAGTGGAAAACTGGGGAGGAAACTTGCTCGAAAAAGTACATACCTGGAGGACTCCGCGGGTTGGGACAGACCCATGTCATTATCAGAGTAAATAGAGCTTGAACTCGTGCTTAATGCCAAAGGCGAAGAGTTTGGTGAGGGTGTGTACACGCAAGAAGTTCAATGGAAATGGGCCTCGAACGTGCCCAACGCTTGATAATATGCCCTCCTGGAGAGATAGCTTTGCACGTGGTGATGGGACGGGATGCAAAGGCATAGAGAAGTCGCCACTACCAGATTGCGCCGATTTGTATTTGGTGCCCACACACACACGATGCGCAGGCTGCAAATAGAGCTGCTTTGCAGCTAGTATGGTATGATGGGAGTCCTTGACTGGCATAAGCAGTGGTTGAGTGAACGTGTGATGAAAGAAAGGGGAAGGTACAGTGGATGGAGAGGATCCAGAGAGGAAAATGGTCGCCTAACACGATTGGTTTGATTGGTTTCTGAGGATGTGAGATGGAGTATAGACGGTGCACTATGGGTGGTGATCTGAATGGAGATTGTAAGAAGATATCACTGTCGTCATGATCCTGCTCCTGAGCCATTCATCTACTTCATGTGTGGCATCTGCTGGGAACAATGATCACTATCTAAGAGGAGACGGTGTCAACAATGAACATTGGTGACAGATGCTCAGATGACACCCTGACCTTTGGGGGAGTTTGATAATGGGCTGCGCAACAGCCCGAAGATATTGGTGAGATGCTCTGGTCGTGTGCTCTAGTTCTGGATTTTTGTACAGAACCTATGTACTGTGGGACAGACGTCGAGACAAGTGCCGTCATCATTGCCGGTGTACTGTTTTCGTCGTCTTCATCGTTGCTGTCGTGATCATCACTGTGGTCAATGTTAGGGAGGAACAAATTGCAATAGCTGAATCTGACGGCTGAAGAATGAGCGTCCCAGGCCATTATTAGACATTGACATGCTCCACAGACTCAGAGGGTCCAGAGAGGGAGGAAAAGAAAACGGACATTGCATGATGCAGCTAGTAATAAGTATGAGTACATGTCCCTATACTATGATGAACAACATAACAAAGGAATGTTAGTTGGCATGAAGCCGCAATGATGGTTACTAGTCTAAGTGCCCGGCTGCGAGGTGCATTTGCTTCATGCGCAGAAATATATCACTGTCTACAGTGTCCATAACGAGAAAATCACCAGGTATAGTGGGATCGGGAGCAAGAGCGACTCCTCGGATGATTGATTCTGCTAGTATGAACTCACTAGCAGTTTCTCTCGGTTGCGATCTAACACGCCAAAATTTCAGGTGTTTGTCCTTCTGGAGACACCTCCCAATTGGCGCGTCGTATGAACGTACAAGGGCAATGGGATAGGATGTGTCATTGACATTACATGTAAAGAGGAATAGGAGCCGTGCAAAAAACACACCAGTCGCGATGTTAACGATGATGCAGTCATATCGGGGAAGATTGTGGAATCTCGGGCTGCAACAGAGATAGTCTGTGGTCTGGCAGAAGTCAACTAGTGACTCATAGTTAACCTTGAGAAATCGAAACTCTATTATCTGCTCAGTATTAGTCATGTGTAAGCACCGACATTCAATGTGATAGACTTACTTCGTCAGAAGGTAACATGTTCACCTGCTGCAAGACAGTGGGCAAAGCATTTAAAAATGCATTGAGCTTGGTGCGAAACCGCCTGAAGGAAGGGTTGTCAATATGTCATTCGTCGATTGCCTCAAGAGACTTTTTCGGTTGCCTCGATCCAAATCTGATATGGAAATTGGATGCAATGTTAGTATCCGGGCCAGTCTTGTCAACCTCGTCTTCATCCATCTGAGCATCGTATGCAGCTAGTTCATCTACTCGACCACGGATGAACTCAGAAACGAGAGACCAATGGTCTGCACGTAAAATCTGTATGTAATAACCTAGATTAAAACTAGAACCAATGATATTGAAAATAGGACGATGAACTTGTGGTGCTACATTTTTGGAATTGGTTCGTTGTTGATATGACTCCTTTAGAGGACCGTGACACTTCTCATTTGGCTTTGTGTTGTAGTTGCGAGTTGCTCCCTTAGCCTCAATGTCATCGAATAAGTGGGCAGCTGGATGGATCTTCAGGAATGACCAGTTTTTGTCTGGCCATAAAGCTCAGGTATGCACGGATACATCGAAGGAGAAGGTAAGCAATTTTACATTCGTCAGTGTTCGGAAGAATATCATGAGCCGCAAATACTATTAGCTGGTTCGGTAGTACATAGTCCTGTGAGTAGAAGACACTCGCACTTCGATAAAAAGATCATTTACCTTGAAAATGTCTTCATATTTACTGCCATCAGTAAATGTTATAGCCATGACAGCATCGAAATGATTCATATTGCGCCAATGTGGCAGTGCATCAAAACTATGAGTGAGAAATGAGAACAAATTATGTTGCGAAACTTGACAAGTTTACTTCTGGTCAACTTTTACGGCGAAGTCACGTCCCAAAAGACCAATTAGTACTTGTAGCTCTGGCCACATGTGGTCCCCAAAGAGACCTCGGAGGACAATGTGAAGGCGGTCATAGCATAGTGCGCGGTGCACATCAGTAGTCTTGCGATTCATCTCGTGAAATGTGTTCTAAATGTGAGATGGTTATTGCAATAGATCTAATCAAATCAAACACTATCATACATCAACATTGCGAATTGACTGTCCCTTGAGTATTGCCTCCCGCTGTCCTTTGCGGCGCTCTGCCCTTGCCTTGATCAAAAGGTCATTCATTGCCTGGCATGTGCAAAGAGTATAGTTATGGGGCATGACAGAAGACAATTTGTCCTCAGGGATCAGACAGATTGGGCATGGAAAGTTGCTCATCACGCCTCGAGTGAGGGACATTACACTCCTGGACCACCAAAAAAGTTAGATAACATATCAATAAACTTAACAAACGAAACCTGACTGCTCCTCGTAGTCCGCGGATAGTATCAACACCAGTGTATAGAAGAGCCTCACAACATCGTCCCAGCAATTCGCCCAGTGGCCATGTTTCGAAGGCGGTATGATTGATGCAAGCACTTTCTTGAAGGCAGCATGCCATACAGCAACTTTGAAGTTAGCGAATTGTTGGGTACCTTTGTATTTCGGGTCGTCTTTGACCTATGGAGTGATGGTTAGCTCTTGATGCAAATCTGTGATGAACGGCCTTGAAACGTACCAGTGGGAGCCATCCAACCACTCGTCCCCCACCCACCCCATTTCCATTTCTGATGGCAACAGGAAGGTTCGCTAGCCGAGCGATGACAGGATATCCCTTCTCGCACCCAAATGATGATAGCTTCGACTTGTCGGCATACAGGATGAACACCAACGGTTTTGCTTCTGGAGGGATCTGGGACTACATAATTTTCCTACACATCAATGGTATGTCATAATATGACACGGAAATACGTACCTGGCATTCCCAAAATGCATCTGCAGTCCATGGCTCATTGATGAACCTAATAAACGAGTCTCCATCAAATTTCGATAGCCGCTGGGCATCGAAAATGCAATGAGGGCCAATGTCAGGGTGTCGCAAAAGATCTACTCCCCAATCCCAAAGGGAGCGAAAATAAACTGTATATTTCACATCATTTCCATCAAGTGGTACTGTAATAGTATCCTTTTCGAACTGAACTCATCAGATGACTTGTGACAACAAACATAGATAAGACTTACCGGCGTCAAGCGATGGGACACTGCTTCCCATGTATTCCGAACATCGGCGTAATTTTTAAGAGTGAAGTCTTCGGTCCTACCACACTGAACCAACTGGATGAGGCGCGTCGTTTGCTCATGAGTGAGTGCAGTCTCGTGCGCCAACTCCGCAACCTCAAAGTCAAGTTGGCATCTGAATGGGAGCCAAGGGTGGCGATCTGGGCAGGGTGGCTCGTAGTGATGTTGTCGTGTGAAGTCAGAGAATGCTTCAATGCGCATTGTGATCCTCATGTGCGGATGAAACTCAGTGCGGATATCATCCACACTGGTATGTTCAGGGACATTCTCGGGCTCAGAGCGATCTAAACAAGATCTCAGCACACCGTATACTGACCAACTGATAGCAACTCACCCGATAGCATGTCAACGTTGGCGTTATAATGGCCGACGTAGTCATTGTCATGATCATAGCCATGGTCCTCGTTCCAGGCTTGTCCTTGTACGGCCAGGGCCGGCACAGCAACTGTAAAAAGTAGAGTTATATTAGCAGAATCATATTAGTATTGATCCGCTGACCTTGTACAGGCGGGATTGAAGCCCATAGCTCTCCATCTTCTTCTGACTCTCTTGCTCGTTGCTCGCAGGCTCTTTGGTGACGATTGAAGCCTTTGGGCTTGAAACTGCATCCACAGGTATCACAGACTTTCTGTCTGTCATCCGGTACATATTGCAAATATGCAGACATGCTGCAGTGGTGCGCTGTGCGATGCTGGCAGGAGTTCAGGATGGTATACACGTAGAGTACTGGTAGAGTACAGTGAGAACAATACAAAAGATGTCGTTGGATGAAACTCACACGCAATTGCAATGCGTTAATGAAAAATGTGTCCACGGACTGCGTCATAATAAGTCATTATGTGTCAGATGATAATACTAATGACTTACTACATAATCGCCACGCAGTACATTGACGGCTCATTGTTTGATACCCTGTCGGCTTGCGAGTGCGCTGAAATGCAGTGTGATCGTGATCGTAGGTGTGAGGCGACTGAGAGAATCCTGAATCAGAGAATGAGTGAACAATGTCATAACAAGAGCAAGCAAACAGAGAATAGCGAGGAATAAATGAGCACATATTCACTGTTCCACTTACTGATGGCATTCAGATAAACTAATTGATCCTGGACCAGACATTGCAAGAATCATCTGAATTGATTACCGCCGCGTTCGTCACTTGAGAGCTGATGCATCGATAACCCGATAGAGGCGCGCTTATGTGTGACGACGAGTCTAATAAGGAATGGTAGCGGCACTAGGTACTGGAGTTAGAGGCCAGAGGACCAGGGATTATGGTGTGGATAGTATTTGTTGCATGTTGGCGGCTCAGAACAAGATCGATCAGCTGTGGCAGTGCGATTTCAATCGATTTGCAATCAATTGCGTTTTCACACTGTTATATTACATAAAATAGGCCATGCTTGCATTGGAACTGACTCAAATTGTGAAGTCTATATCAATATTATTAAAATATTATCATATCTACGTCGCATTTGCAAAACTTTGAGCTGTATTGCAATTAGGTCACGTGTATTGTAATGTCCAATTCAAGACTTATCTCAATCACCGGCTATTGCAATGAGGGTGGGAAATTTCGAAAAATTGGTCATGGGAAGGGGAGGCGAGCCGAGGAAATTGGAAGGGGTCGGCCTTCGGAAGTCGGAAAACCATCCCAGGGGGAAGCCTCTGGCGGTACTTTCAGTACTTTCAGTTCGCCGAGTTTGCTGTATTTCCACTGGCTTTCGGTCTGGCTTTCGGTCAAGACGATCGAATACATAGTAGGTGAGACAAAGTCCCAACAAGAATTAAATTAAGGTGTTCAAATAATACCGGCACAGTTGATATATTGAACGTTGAACGTTTGAATGCCCACTGCTTGCACTGATCATCACAAAGTTCCAAACGGAATTCAAAGTGGTACGTGACTTGGTCCTATCTTAGCCCATCTAATTTAACTCTTCACCCGTTTAATTTTAACCGGTGAGAAACACGTATCAAATCTTATTTTATTACAGTCAATCTAACCTGGTTTCCAGTTGCCTGATGCTCAGTTGCGTCAATGCCACCTCTAAACATCGTGGTAGGCTATACTATTCTTGTACTGGACGCTACTAACATCATCTTACCTTCCTTAGGACTGTCATCCTACCAGCTCTGGACCGTTGTCCTACCACTCACCACTCCCACATCCGCTCGCACGTCCCTCTCGCTCAATGCCACCTCTAAACATCGTGGTAGGCTATACTATTCTTGTACTGGATACTAACATTCATCTTATCTTCCTTAGGACTGTTGTCCTACCAGCTCTGGACCGTCGTCCTTGTCGTCCTACCACTCACCACTCCCACATCCGCTCGCACATCCCTCTCACCGCTCGCACTCACCTCACACATCCGCTCGCACTCAACCATGGTGCATTGTTCAATGGTGCGTTATTCTCTCACTCGTCTACCTACTCTACCCTTTCTTATATACCTACCGTACCTCTTTCTTATATCAATCGAATTCTTTTTTACATCACCCATACAATAACTCACACACAAATGTCTACTTACTCTCGATCGAATTCTAACTCACATTTACTTACTCTTTCTATATATTTCACTCGTCCTCGTCTTTGACATCCTTGTCCTCATTCTTGTCCCCGTCGTTTTTGTTTTCTTCTTCTTCCTCCTCCTCTTCCTCTTCCTCCTCTCCATCTCCGTCCTCACTGTCACCATACTCACCATCACCATACAGTGTCACCCGCCTTCGGATTTTTGATGCGGCGCACTTCACAGCGGCGACCCGCATGGCCTTGGTAATGTTTTCTGCCTGCTTGAAGGTGCTCGTGTGTTTGTACATGTCTCGGATCATGCCTGGCTGGAAGCCTGAGCGGTTTGCAAGTCTCACCACTTTCTCTTCGAAGCTGAACTGCGTGAACTGTGCGATATCCACAGTGTGGATTTGAGGGTCTATGTGAGGAATCCTGGTGTTGGCCTCCAAGCTGCTGTTGATGGTGACAGCTTTCTCGGTATCTTCGATCTTGCTTGTCTGGCCAGCGCCAGCACCCGTTTTCGAGGAAGTATGCAAGTGTGGGGTCATTGAGTATATTACTGTGTACTAGCTCTCATTAGCTTGAATTTGCTTCCCTGAATGGACGATAGCTAGGAAAATTAAATGTTCTCAACCCACCAATTAGAAAATAAATCAAATGGTGATTCAGTGCGGCAGTTAACACAAATTTGAATATTGGCAGTGTGGTGGTTGAAGTAGTTAAGATAAAAGAATCCCGACCCCTAAAACACGTTGTCATTCCATCCCCGCCACCCAAGTACACACATTGCACTCATGTCGGTCTTCGAACTGAAAACAATCCTTACTCTTCTCAAGAACTCGACAGCCATCTCTCCTCTCGAGAAAAACACCTTCGAGAAGAATTGGAGGGTTAGTGTGAGTTTATTCTCTTGAACGGCTTGAAGTGCGCGCACTCGGTACCTCCTTCGACTAACCAAAAAAAAAGGTAGAAAAACATATCAGCACATGGAATGAGGCACACAGCCATATGAACAACTCACGTCCGCAGTTTCAGCTACAGTGGGAATCTGAGATTGTCGAGTACGTCCAGTTCCTGTGGGAGAAGACGAGAAGACGGTCAAAGAAAGGCAAGACCAACAAGCTGGGAGTCAACATACCGTTGCTTGGGCCTTGGTTTATGCCTCCATCCTACCTGCACATCCAGAAGTGGTCAGGTGGTGGAGCCATTGATCCGACAATACAGTACCTCACGCCACTCAATATTGTGCACCCGTTCTACTACCCACAGCTTGCACGGTGTCTGAGATGCGGGTCTGACAAGGACACGACTTGGGAGGGATGGATGAGCAAAGGACCTTGAGAACTCCATGGTATACTCTGTGAAGAGATGGCTCTCGGTGCACAACTGCGGTGCAACCGCTGCAAGGAGACATCAAAGTCGAAGCCGAAAACCAGAAACAGCACCACTCACCATTTGGACTTGGTGAACTCAAGCATCGAGGGCTATTGCTTCACGACGACCAGTGCCATGTATTGGAAGTCCTGGGAGCACTGGAGAATACCGCGTGAGTCTTGTGCACCGGCAGAAGACCTGTGTCAGTTGATCTGATGTATTCAGACCTCGGCAGGGGGCATACTGATCTTTTTCTACTGGTGTGCATTGACACAGGACTTGTTCGACCTGCTCGTCGAGTTACGGCCATCTTCGACATCTGCAGGTCTTGAAGAACGCATCCAACGTAAGTATCGTGCTACGTCATCGATGCAGCAGCTCAACGCACTTATAGAGCTGCATCTATTCGAATATAAGCGCCAAATGCTGGAATATCTTGAAGCAGTCAGCACTTACGAATCTTCAAACAGCTCAAACTCACGCACGCTTGGACTCGGACATTACTTTAACCATGGCGCCACTGGTAGCATGACCGCAGGATCTGGGCTTCAAGCGTTCTCAGAACCAGATGACCAGCTCGGCTACGATAACAAGTCGATCCCAAATGAAATAATAACCGAGGTCTTCGTTGATTTTTTGACTCGCACCAGGCAGGATGAGAGTGCGCTGTATTTGAAGTCACTATCTGGTAAGTACAAGACCAAATACACAAATAGACTTACGCACTCACCATTTGTTTGTCAGCAATATGCAGTTCTCTCGACAACACTTTCAAAGCATCAAACAAGGCCACACTCACAAACAAGGATGGGCAAAAGACAAGGGAGATCAAGGGCGGGATACTCACTGTGCTGAATGAAAGCAACGAGATCATTGCTTGGGTGAGTACTTCCATCTGACTTTGAAAAAGTTGACGCTGATACGCTGTAGAGACTCGCGCCTCTCAATGCAGAATATACGGCCCTATTACCCACATAATTCCCTACACGTTCCAGCTCTTATCCGAAGGATCAGTCATACATGCTCTCACGCACGCGCCCTACGTACGCGCCTCGTTCACGCGCCTTACACGCACTCGCGCCTTTCACGCGCACTCGTGCGCCTCCCCTTAGGCCGTTGTACCCTTGTCCGTCTGTCTGTCCTATGTCCTCGCTGATTTACTGGTACGTTATTCTTATCCCTTTCACTGAATTGACGTACCTTCGGTCCGATCTCCGCGCTTACATACAGAAAGTCTATCATAGGCTTTAGAATATATTTAGAGTTGATATGGTTACTCGGTTCGGTACCACGCTCGGAAGCGCGCCACATAGCATAATCTCCCTTCTTAAATAGAGGGAAAGTTCCTTTTAACTTACTTCCTTCCCTTCTCCCTTATCTGAGTATACTGCAAATTGTATAGTGCACCTTAGTACTTGAAATCCGATTATACTTCACTATTCTACCATCGCTTGCGCATCTGCTATACTTGAACACTCTCCCCCATCACTCAAAAGCACGCTTCCGCATACGCGCGCGCCCCTCGCATCTTTCGCTCGCGCGCGCCCTTCACGTGCCTTCGCATCACTTACTCGCGCCTATGTGCGCATTATCTTCTCGCGCCTTCGCGCGCCTGTTACCACCCGTCTAGTTGACGAAGACTCCCTCCATTACATTAAAGAGGAACTTCTCTCAGTAGCTGTCCTTTGGGTCGAGTCGTATTCTCATATCCTGGTCTTACTGTAGAACCCCCGTTAGCTTTAGCGTTTCACCTATAGTCAAGATTCCTCACCTTCAACGCCCTGTTTGCAAGTGTTTCTGTCAGACACGCGCGAATGCCGAGATCACGGAGCTACTGCGTGGCCTCAAGCGGCGCCATGATGTCCTCAACCTCCCGCAACCAAAGATGATGGTCACCAACAACTGCTGCCACATACATGGCGCGGTGGCTTCTGCCATGCCTGAGACAGAGGCTAAGCTGGATGTCTGGCATTTTAGTGCAAGGTATGTAACTTCAGCATGAGCTATACTGCTCTCACTAACAGGAACCCTCACCAAACGAAGATACATTGCTGCAATCTTGAACACCAGCAAGAGCCCATTCCATAGTGCCATCGCTGCCGATATTTTGGGTGCGATCCTCAAGAAACACGCAGAACATGGATGTGGAGCAGAGTACTGGGATTGTGGTGAACAAGAGCGGCGCCTTGTTGCAGTGTTTGACAAATGGGCTGAAAAAGGTGTGTGGTCAGCAGCGGCTCAGAAGGTAAGTCTGCCTGCTTCATTAGCAGTGGAAATGGAGTCTCACAGTGTCATATCCTGCTAGGTACATCAAGAACAACTTAAACACGTCCAAAAAGGGTGTCTTGAGCGCTCAGATCAAGACATCCGGTCTGATGGCAGCCCCATTGAGGGCACCCACAAGGGCTGGAACTCGTTGCAGCGTGCCCAACCGAGTGGGATCGTGATGCTGTCTGCGCTTGGTCACGACTTTGTCCTCCGTCGAAACATTAGGGTCGCTTCCAGTAGGCGTCAAATGACGCCCTTTGTCAAATTCACTCACGGCTCCCATCACATCCAGCTCTCTAACCACATTGCAAGACTCTACAACGGACTGCGTGAGAAGGACACACGGCTGCTTCCTCTACCAGAACTCCCAGATGTGGACTCCAGCGAGACCTTTGGACTTGTAGCGTCAGATAATACAACTACATTTGGTGGTTTGCTCGTCAAGGAAGAGACTGCAGACGCCGAACTCACACTCACACATAACTTTGAAGTTTGCACAGATAGCTTTACTGGTGGGACTATAGATTTTGCGACCGAAGCCAGCCGCAGCATCATGATCGAAGACTGGCAGATTGATCCGGCGCTCCTTGACCAACCTGCTACACAGCTGCTGCTGCCACATGCTACCAAAGTCATACCTGCCTCTCCAACCAAACGCAAGGTCTCTTGTGTCTCCTTTGACGCCAATGATGAGTTGGACAGCGGCAATACTTCAAAACGACCACGGACTTTGGTTTCAGCTGGCACCAAGACACTCAATGGCTACTTTTCTTCTGGTCGCATTGTAATGCGACCCAGAGAGCTCCACAGGCCTGTCACAGAGGTATGTTGTCATACCACCATCCTTGATCAATGATACTCACGAAAACTTCCTCCCAAATTCTCACAGGGTCATCCAGCAGTCACCAGCACTGGCATCAACAACTCAATCACACCTGACCAACATTACACACGAAAACTTCCTCCCAAATTCTTGGAGGATCGCCCAGTGATTCCTGGTGCTACTGCAGAGGTATGTCCCATCCCATCACACCCGACCAATGTTACACGCGAAAACTTCCTCCCTAATTCTCACAGGATTGCCCCAGCACTGGCATCAGCAACACCATTATCCCCCAGCGCTGGCATCAGCAACGCCATTACTGGGGGTCACCCAGCAGTCACCAGCGATCACCCAGTGATTCCTGGGGCTACTGCAGAGGTATGTGCAATCACACCCGACCAACGTTACACGCGAAAACTTCCTCCCGAATTCTCACAGGATTGCCCCAGTGCTGGCATCAACAACACAATTACCCTGGTCTCAGCACTTATTCTCCATTGCTACAGGTATTGATCCTCACTCACTGACCCTTCAAAATTCAGACGAGTTCTACCTGTTTATGGACATGCGGGCCGAGTTCAAATGGCTGTCATATCAAATGACTTCGAAGCGCTGGGTGCTGGCAACAGAGGAGTACAACCGTCGTCTCACACAGACAGCTGGCCGGTCGGTCATTCAGAAGAACCCACAAGCCCTCCTACGTGCGCTGGGTGACATCGAGCCCAAACTGATGAACCGCATCATCAGAGATGAATATACCTGTGAGTTTATCGATATTTCTCTTGCATCACTCTGTATTTTCTGACATCTGGATTATGAACACACAGCAAAGAGGAACAATGAGACATTTTGGCGCCACCATTGTTCTGTTGTACCTCTTGTCAAGCAGGAGCGAGGGAAAAAGGTCAGTTCACTCAAGTTCAACACCAAGTTTCATGCTGAAATTTTCGCGGTTTAGCCCCGAAAGGCGCAGACATGCTCACGCTGCCAAACGATCATGTACCCTGGCCCCGAAAACTTGCCACTCAACCACAAGCGGGGCTACTGTGCTGATGGCATCAAGCAGGTGTCAAAGAACAGCGGTGAAGATCTCCCTCCCTGGCCTCAGCCTCAAGGTCTGTTCTCCAAAGGCCGCACATTCCATCCGCACGCATTTTTGTTGGCTGTTCAGCATGTCTATGAGTATGTTTCCTTGCAGGGACCGGGAGAGATGGACTTGCTTGAAACGGAGGCCTTCGTGAAGCTGCTTGTCTCACGCACTGAGATCCACGAGGATGGTGCAGTGCTTTTCTGGCTGTTTACAGACTTCATCGTGGACCCATCGACCCCTCGTGATTGCATCATTGTCCACAACGACAAGCAGTGGTTGAGGATCAATTTCCTGCAGCAGCCGTAGTTTCGTTCAAGATTGGTGTTTGCATTTTAATTCATTTCATGCCTTTGTCTTCTTACAGATCGTTTACGCACCTAATAGTTTACTTTTTTCAATCACAATCATCGCAAGGTCTTCGCGCTACGAATGGTACTGTCTATTGCTCGAAAATCTGCGCGTCCCAGTCTCGTCCTTTGAGCTGAATACCTTCGTCTTAGAGGCAAAACGTTCGTCTTAGGGCAAAACTCCAACGTGTCACGTGACGACAAAAGTCACGTGCTTAGGAAAAGGTCCAAACGGTCTGGCGGAGTTGCAAAAACGGTCAGACCGTTTGGACCGTTTGTAATCCTCCCCTTCCCATGGCGCAGCTGCCCAGTCTAGACTGTGTTTCCGCTCGAAATTCTGAGGTCACGTGACTCGGAACACGTACTATAGTATATGCCGCTTGCACGACTCGCAGAAAACATCTCACCGAAAAACATTTTAAATCAAATCCAGAGCTTTCGACACTCAGCAGACGCCGAGACACGCGCATCAGTACAGCCGTATTAACATGACCGAACCCCCTCCCCAAACTCGCATTGTCACCTCTCAGTATGGGTTTTTTCACGCCCGCGAAAACAATAGGTTATGTAATCAACTGCGGGCTCGTTTGTCACTCCAGCATACGAAGTCCCTAGTAAGCGCGCAAACCACGCGAGCCAGCGAAACCCTTCCCCCACAGTCATCCCTTACTTAATAGATGGAACCTGAGGGGTTCGCTGGTCCGAAGGTAGTCCAGCCTTTGACGCCTGAGGCGCTGGCAACATTCAATGCTGCGCAAGCTCGCACTGGCGTAATCTACATCTCACGAATACCTCCTGGTATGCGTCCTGCAAAAGTACGACATTTAATGAGTGCCCATGGTGAAGTGGAGAGGGTTTATCTCCAACAAGAAGGTGCGTCTGCTCTTCACCATGTTATTACACACTAATTGGATTTTTGTCCAGACGCTAAACGTGCATACCTCCGCCGAAAGTATACGTCCACCAAAAAGCCGCATTTCACTGAAGGCTGGGTGGAGTTCAAAGATAAAAAGGTCGCAAGATCTGTAGCTGAGATGCTAAACGCGCAGCCGATCGGCGGCAAGAAGGGTACTCGTTGGCGAGATGATGTGTGGACTATGAAATATCTCCCAAAATTTAAATGGAACATGTTGACTGAGCAAATAGGTGCGTGTTTTCACTTCATCCATGAACACGCGGGACACTCATTGCAACCTCAGCACATGAAGCTGCTATTCATACTGCTAAACTGCGCGTCGAGCTTGCGCAGTCGAAGACGGAACAACGCGATTACCTCAAAAATGTAGAACTTGCACGAGTATTGGACAAGCGTAATGAGAAAAGAAAGGAAAAGGGTTTGGGGCCAGTTGAGCTTAAGCGCCCAGCTGAAAGTAGTAAAGAAGAGGAGCCTCGAAAACGATTGAAACACACGAATGATACCCAGCTTGATAGTGTACTTGGTAGCATATTTTAGTTTAAGAGTTTTATCATCACTCTAACGTTAACGTTAATTGTTCAACGTGTTCAATTAGTGCACGGGCCAGCCGGCGGCACGGGATAAAATTTAATCGGCGCGTGAATGGGGAAAGGAAGAGAACATGGTTGACGGAAGCAACGACTTGCATCGCGACATTGTTGACAAAGGTTTGAGTTGGTCAACTGCACGGTTGGTCTCAAAAACTCACAGTCTCGCGATCCAAGAGGTCTGTCTGTCCTTCTACATCATGCTCGGCTCTCTCCTCAAACCTCCATCCTTGCCGTGGAATATCGTCTCTGATTTCTCTCTCAGTTCTTACTTCTAAAGATATTATAATGTCTTCCTGGCCTGCTCCTGCTTACCCTCCGCCTCGTCGTTCGCGTTCTCGCTCCCCTCCTCGTGGTGGTCATCCTCGACCACCATATCCAGACGCTGGGTATCCTCCGGACCAGCACAGAGGTGGAGGTGGCTGGGATCCACATGAAAGGGATAGAGAGAGAGCATGGGTCGAGTATGAGCGAGATAGAATCGCATATGACCACACTCGTCGCAGAAGCCGCAGTCCGCCACCGGACGACAGTATGAAAATTTCTTTGTACTTCATCTCATGACAGTACATTGACTAGTCCAATTTATATAGGCAGAAAACGTCGCAGGTCCGTTTCACCTTACGACAGGGAAAGAGAGCGATATGACCCACGCCCGCGTTATGGCGATGATTATGGTGTTTCGGCTGCGTTAAATCATTTTCTCATTTCTGACCTCAATTTAGATGCGCATTCGCGGGTATATAGCTACAGGTCTCCCCCAAGAGCTCAATTTGCGCCCCCATATCCTCCTCGCAGGGCACCCGCAGACCCGCGTACACTCGATCACCCAGCAACCCTGAAGCAATATGCCGAATGGTTTAGATATGCTTTCCCTCAACAAGCTTCTGATGAGGATGCCGCCGACAAGGCAGCAGAACAAGAAGCTGGCGATGGTTCCAAGCCTCGAAACGGCATTCGTTCTCGTTGGGAGAAATATAAGAAGGATTTCGTCGCAACTCAGGTTAGTCGTCGTCAATCTCTCAAGCGTACTGTGTGTACTGCGTGGCATATTGTGTCCTTTGCCGTCATGAGTTTTGTGAAGCAGCAGCTGAACGTCCTTTGTTATGTATGTAGTTGCAGACCATGTTTGATCACCATAGGAAATCCCCATGGTTTGCAGAGAAGTATGACCCAGCTCCGGAGTTCATTGCTCTACGCCGTCGTGTTCGAAAGGAAGGTTGGAGAGGGCGATTAAACACGTTTCTGCTAGACCTCGAGTCGGGCAAGTTTGATCCTGACTTGAGCGAGCCTGAAACAGACACAACTTCTCCCGTTAAGGAGACAGTCGAGGCTGGTGAGGATGCGAAAACTGGTGGCGATGATGACATGCAGTTCAACCTCGACGCTGAGGACGATGCTGGTGAACAAGAGCCCAGCCGCGCTGAGGCCAACGGGAAAAATGTAAATGACAACAAGCGCAATAATCGCGGCGAAGAGATTGCTGTCGCTCCGGAAGGCAATCAGGTCATGATTCGGACTATTCCGCCTGATATCGGCCGTGTGAAGCTGGAGGAGGTAAGTGTGGTCGTTCTATGGTGATTATAAGAGCTCATCAGGGCTTTGCAGGCATGTTGTAAGGTGCCAGGATACATGTATCTAGCGCTCGGCGATCCCCTTCAGAAACGCAACTACTATCGCGCTGGCTGGATCAAATTCAGTGACGATGCTGATATGACGGTTGTTATGAGTGAGTTGACTGATAAAAAGGTGAAGATCTTAGTTCCGTACCGCGTGTCTTTCGTTAACACGACGCGATAGATCGAAGGCTTCAAGCTTCATGTTGCTCACACTGTTAAGCCCTTTGTAAACAGAATTCGCTATGTCCCAGAAGTCGCCAGTAAGCCAGACCGCATCGAGAAAGACCTTGCGAACGCAAAGCTCTTGGCCTCTATTTTAGAGGAAGAAGCTTTAGCACTACGCCAGTTTAATCCAGCAGGGCATGAGTCCTCGGCAACGAACGGAGATGCAAAACCCGTGGATGCTGTGATGAGTGATGCACATGCAGACCATGAGGACGATCCGGAACCAAAAGAATCCGGATCTGAGGCTATAGAACGGAGGATAGAAAAGATTATGGCAGACCTTCGCGACCAGGGGGCGGTTGATGAAAAAGTCGTGGAGGCGAAGAAAGTATGTGGGATCTGACGCGCCCTATTTCATTATTGCTGACTTTCGTTCTCGGCTTTTTTTAGGCTGTTATTTCCCTGGATTTATATCTTGCCTACCTTCGGGCAGCGTTTCACGCATGCTACTACTGCGCTGTTGTTACCGATCATCTTGAAGAATTGCAGCGTAAGTGCTTGCAGCACGTGAGGAAACCTCTATCCAAGTCACTGCTTGAGGAGGTAAAGGCTGCTGAGGCTGAGAAAGAAAAAAAAGAAAGGGACGATGAGAAAGAAAGTGATGCACCTTTACCCCCTAAGCCAACCGAGAACAGAGATTGGAAGCGCAATGGTAAGCTTCCGGCATTTATTAAAGTCAGTTTGGCTAATTACGTGGAGCAGATGAGAGATGGCTGGAGTGGTTTGATAGCAAGATTGCGCTACTGATCAATCGCAACGACCTGGACCCGCGTGAATATGGTGGCAAAAGTTACGACGAGTGCGTGCCTCCTCTGATCTCAGATGATTGGAAATGTCATTCTCGTTGCAGGGAGCTGAGCAAAGCTGTCGAGCAATTCATCAAGCAGGAAGATGAGGGCAGGTTCCGGTGCAAGACTTGCCAGAAGCTCTTCAAGGCTACCTCGTTTGTCGAGAAGCATGTCGCGAACAAGCACCCTGAACTCGTGAAACAGCTCGATGAGGTACGCATGTTTAATTTCGTCTTCTTTCGGCATCTCACGGTCGCCGGATTTTCAGGTCCCTTACTTCAATAACTTCGCGCTGGATCCACATAGAATCCAGCCGTTCACACACCCGCCTCCTATTACCGGGAACAGCCAGCCACCTCCCCAAGCATTCGGTATTCAAGGACACGCGGTGGTATACCCGCCCCCGGACTTTGGCCGGCCGAATCCATATCTTACTTATCCTGCTGCGTTCCCTCCGCCACCTTATGGAAACAATGGTCACTGGGATCATTTCGGATATCAATACGGGCCTCCAGGTCTATTTCCTACTCCTACACCTATCCGAAGGGATGAAGCGACCACTGCTCGCAGGCTCAGTGATCGTATTAGCGGCTATGCACCCAATCTGGAGCAGCCGATAGAGGTTACAATTCCCGCTAATGCTGGACTTCCCGCTAAGCCACAAGTTACTATGGACCTTGGCCAGCCTGCGGCGGATATTGGCAGGAAAGGTCGCCGAGGAGCCACGAGCTCAGGTCCACCGCCACCTCCGCCACCCGATGCGAAGGAAGATCCCCGGGCTGCTGGGGGCAAGAAAGTCAGCTACCACGACATGGACTCGGTTGCTGAAGGAGATGTCGAGTTGACTTACTGATGTGATGATGCATACGTGATATAATTTCTCTACGCTTCGCAATATATTTTGGTGACTATGTCGCATGTTGGAAAGCGTCTTCCTCAGAGCGCGCCGAGGAAGAACTCGTGTACTGGATGTGGCAAACACTTATAATATTGAGAGATCGTAGAACAAATTAGAAAGCCCAAAAAGGTCCAGGTCGTGCTCAAAAAGGATGAGTGTTGCGGTCAGTGTAGCACTGTGTAGCATTTCTCCCTGACCCTTGCCTGTCCCTGGCTTATTAACTCCCTTGTTTTGTAAACTACCTATTTCTGTGTTCCTTCTGCACAATCATTCCAGTTCGAAACTTGCACTACAAGCCGGGTGCTGTCGCACAACTCCTGACTCTACGGCACCGTGATCATCAATGAGTGGGGCCAAACCTATTATTGCTCATCGTCTGCCGGTATCCGTTCTTGTCAATGAAGAAGGACTGATAGCGCCAGAAGCCATTGGCCCGAGCAAGTTTGCGGTAACGTGGTCTGCTGAACCTCCCCCTCCTGTACTTGCACCTCTTGTACAAGCTGCAGAGCGCCAAGTTGTCCTCAGTTCATCTGACGGTGAATCTGATTTTTCGGAGAAAGATCTCTGCTCGTTGGGAGAAAAGCAATCACCTGCCGAGCTTTCTGACGAATTCGAAAGTTCGCTGAGTCAACGTTTTCGGCCTCAGCAACTCGCTCCTCACCATCACGATGAAAATCCGATTATTCCACGACTTTCTCGTGCAACCTCCATGCCTTTGCCATCACAGCTAGAGCATCTAAAAAATCCCCGCAGGACCGCGTCTACTTCACCTGAAGTGCCTAGTCAACCTCTCTCCCCAGATGCCACTGCCGAATCCTCTCGGTTCCACGAACTCTCGTTAGAACTCGCGGATTCTGTTCAGATGGTCGTTCAGACCCTTTTACAGGTCTCTCCAACGCAAATACTTGACCCGGCGAAAGAGCAATTTGCAGCTTGCTCTCTCTCAGTCCCCACCGCCTGCATGTCTGCTGTATTCACGACGATGAAGAACCTCAATTACATTTCTGCGAATATGCCAGATTTATGTGCCGACACGTTCAACCCTGCTCATTCCAGCAATTCTACTTTGACAGCCCGCCGATTGACCCTGCCTGGACCACCTGTCACTGCAGCCACGGATTTCGATATTGGGGAGATGCTGCAAGGAGTCGGAGATGCATCGAGTGGGAGAGCCGCTGAAGTTGGTGTAGATCTGGTCTTATTCCATAGCGATGTTGGGATGAGGCATATTGCGGTCAAGGGGGTAGAATGTGGAATATCTAATGTGCTAACGCATGTGAGTGGGCGTGTTGCAGTTGAAGTCCTAGTCTCACGACCTACAGGTCGTCCGTCAAATCATCAATACCGCACGCCGCGGTGACTCAATTGATTTGGGCCTTAGTATCGCTTCGTCGAGCTATTTGGGCTCAAATATGTCACCTACTATGGAGAAACCAAGTTCGACAGCAAGGGGTGTCTCTTCTCCCGTCCCCATAGATGAGGATGAAACTTTGCAGTGCACATTCGAAATCCATCATCGTTTTCATTCGCCGGATGTGCCAGTGGACGACATGACACCTACCAACACAAACCCTTCCGATGTTCTAGAGCGTCCAGAGCCCAACTTTGGTTCGATGTTGTTCCGAAGGCTACTTCTTCGATGCGGCGCGTCTCTTTCATCCGACGTCACTGATGACATAACTTCAAGAAGGACGTATGAAGTCAAGCTTGAACTTCAGCGTGGTTCAGCAGATACGATTACTGCCAAATCCTCTGCAACATCTGAACAATCTCATGTACTCCTCAGTGGGGTTCGGTTAGGAATAGAGCCGTCTCTTGAAGAGCTTGCTCAATTTGCTGAAACTTTGCGCGGAAAGAAGGTCACCTTGTATGCAAGCTCCACAAGCTCTTTTGCACACCACCTGACGAGCTATCTCACCGCTTGGGGGTTGGATGTCAGTCACATTTCGCCAGAGGCTGAAGTCGATGGCACTCCAGGCGCCAATGAAGCTCCTGCCCCTCCATCTCGAGAGCGCGGATCACAAGAGTCTCGAGCCCCATCCACGAACGGCACTCCACGCTTAGCTCCGTCGTTGTCATTCGTAATGATCGATGACGATGTCTCCGTCCTTCGGGAGAGGTTGCGCAAGTACAGAGCAGAGCAACCGATACCTCTCAGCCTTCACTCTCGGAAACGGCCTTCTCTAGCTGCTCACCATCGCCCAAAGTCGTCACCACAAGTAGCCCGTACTCTAGGCTTAGGATCACAGGCCCTACCGCAACAAACACCCATAGTAGTCGTTCACTTCACCAGCCTAGCCAATTACAAACTGGTCAAGGAAATCATACAATGCGATCTTGCTTCCCACTCCTATCCAGCATGTCCACCCGAAGTTATGATTATTCCTAAGCCCGCGGGTCCACGCAGGTTCCTTACTGCGCTACACACTGCTGTTACTAAGCCTATCGTCGATCCATTCTTTGCCCCAATTGCTACCTCGCCACTCAGCCCTGGTTTGCACAGTTCTCCCTTCTTCAATTTAACTCAGACAAGTCCAAAATCCCCTTCTTCTCGTCCATCGAACTCATCGCGGTCCAATTCCGAGCGATCTATGCGATCTACGAGGGACAGTACAAGTGAACATCACTCACATGCACCTCCATCACCCCTCGGTCTCGCGGATAACATGGAATATTTCCCCGAAACTCAGAGCCCTGTAAGGCTTGGTCAGACGCCATCCTCCGGGCTCGTCATTTCGAGCCCCGACGGACAGCCAACAGGCATTATCTTCCAACCGCGTGCAAAATCTGCGAAGCCTATCACACCATCACCCAATAGTGTTGCAGTCGATCGGGATAAGCCGCAGTTTCTATTAGCCAGTTCCGAACGGCTACGGGGGCCCTCTTCCCGCCGTCTATCGGACGGTGAACAGAAGAAGCAGGGTCAATCGCCGCTCTCCTTTGCGTCTTTGCACTCTAATGTATTGGGAAGTGCATCACCCCCTCGGCGAGAAACATCTCCTATCGAGGGTTTTACCCCCATCTCGACTACTCCCAAAGCAAAGGGGAAAGGATCAATTTCCCTTCAGGCAGATGAACTTACCCCCTCATCACCGCTATCTCCCCCATCGCGTAACGCAAGCACTGTTGATCTAAGGAAGGTTTCTTCCCCTCCGAGTTCTCCAGTAATACCGGATCCCCAACCCAGTGTGCTCACGCGAAGATCGGGAAGGCGAGTAACTCATGATTCAAAACCTTCGACGCCCCCCACTGCGTTGGGGAAAGTAGGCAAGGGTCAACCTGACACAAGCATCATACCTCCAATTAGCGTGCTCATCGTTGATGGTATGGGCTTCAATCTTATCATACGTCGCGCTAATCGGTTGGACCAGATAACCCAATCAATCAGACTATCTTGTCAACCTTCATGAGGAGAAAAAAGATTAAGTATGACGTGGCCAAAAACGGAGAAGAGGCGGTGCAAAAGTGGCAAAATGGTGGTTTTCACTTGATTTTGGTATGATATTCCCTCATAGGACGATTCCATCGAGCTGATATGTTATCTCAGATGGACATTCAAATGCCTGTTATGGACGGCATACAAGCGACAAAAGAGATTAGAAGATTGGAGAGTTTGACAGCTTCTTCGGGCTACACTCCAGGCACACCGCTATCCGATACACTTTCAGATGGAGCATTCTCCGAATCTCGTGCCTCAGCATCGCCTTACCGTTCCGCTGTCATTATCGTAGCTCTCACGGCTTCATCCCTCCAGAGCGACAGAGTGGCAGCGCTTGCGGCGGGATGCAACGATTTCCTGACCAAGCCAGTGTCTTTAGAATGGCTAAACAACAAGATTATCGAGTGGGGGTCGATCAAGGCTTTGCAGATGTGGGCTGACCTGCGGCCGGAGGTAGTGAAAACCATCTCGACTGAACAAACGGCTCAAGCGCAACTTGTGGCCCGTCGACTTCACGTTCCCGAAGGTCGAACGACTCCAATAGGTTCTCTGAGTAGATCGACATCAAAAGCCAGAGAGGAGAAAAGCGATCCCCCTGTTGCACCTGGTTCTGAGCTTACTGCTAAACTCGCGGAACCGAAAGGAGAGGACAAGACAACCTCGAAACCGGCAAATGACTTGCCCGATAATGATTCCCCCGGATCATCGCCTTCTTCTGAATCTTCTGATTCCTTTGAGCAATCTGGTGAGTTCAATCTTCTATTTCTGCCTTTCTTTCACTAAGATCGGTGATTTCAGGAGAGAACTCCGCATCACTCCCTGGTGCGCTGGTTCAAACAAATTTGAAAAATCGACATTAATCATTCTCTAGCCGCTCATAATAATGACACGGATGATGCGGTCACCCAATCTGAATCTATGACTGCCAAGGATGAGCACACGCCTACAGGTATTTGGTTCCCACCTGGAATACCACTGGATTTGGCTCAATATATTTCACAAGACGGGGAGGAATGCCATGAAAGCTCATCGGAAACGTCTTATGCGACTGCAAGTGAAACGTCGACAAATGCTTCTGAATTCCAAGATGCGCCAACATCCCCTCAATGACGGCGTTGGGCGACCTTTGGAAGCTTTGCGAGGCTGGCCGCGCCTATGGTCTTACCATTATATCTGAAGGTTGCCGCGTTCTTCCGCAAATATTTTTAATGATTCGTATACCTACCTTGTCAATTTTTTTGTCCGTTCGTGTTGATCACTAGGTGTTGCATGCTTTATTCTGGGTTTTATGGGGTTATTGGGTGATTGTCTTTTCGACTGATAACATACCACTGCTGGTCTGAAATAAGGATTGACAAAAATAATGTTCTCACCATTAGGCAATAGAGTGATTCGGAAGATGCCCGAATTTGACCATTAATGTGAAGGTGTGCAATGGGGGTGCTTGGCAACATGGTTTTTTACAATGTGATGAGAGTAAAAGATGTAGTGGGTCAAGTAGGTGTGCTGTTTGTAGTCAGGGACGGTGGACCGACTGCGGTGATTCAGGTTCGCGGAAGAGTTACTCATGAGATGAATTTTCTATACGTGGCGAATGACGATCAGTAGGTTCGATGACTCAAGGTAAAGATGTCACGCAGCAGACTTTTTTTCGTAAAATTTGATGTCGAAGCCTGAAGTTGTAAACCAACGAGAGGCTACCCGCGCAGTTCTTGACCTTCTTTGTTCGGCTTCTCGCGGCCCTTTTAAGTTTTACGGAGAAATCAGCCTAAACATACCTATTTGCGGCATTCGCCGTACCGGTGGTTTCTTTCGTACTCCGCGTGGCCGAGAGGATTTGGGTGAGGTCTCCCAACACCTCATTTCTCTACACCAAAGTCCGTCTTTTTTACAAGTGGATTCGTTCTTTTCCCAGTTCTTATTTTTCTTCTCATCGTTCACTTCAACGATGAATACTATGCACGACTCCCACAAGAGGACTTCTATCAGTCAGCTTCTCAATCCATCATCCGACTCCTCAGTCTACTCCCATGCTACTCATCTTCCATCGCCTGTCGCTGTTTCTCAGTACCAACATCCTCCCCACCAGCAACAACCAAACTATAATCAGCCAATAGACTCTGCTGCATCTTTCCATCTCAGAGCTGCAAGTTGGGAGCCCAGTGACGACCCGTCTGTACCTAAACGTAGAATTGACAATGGGCCACCTTTAGCTCGTCCATATCCATTACCACCCCACCATCATATGCATACCGAACCTAATGGTGACATGGTTCCTCGCCAGGGCAGATCAAGGATGGATGACCCTGCAAACTACGCAATGCCACCTAATTCTTGGCCATCTCAAGCAGATATGTCAAATCCTCCCTATGGATCTCCCATCGTCGCCCCAATGTATTCAGACGAGCGAACAGGTAAGTAAGCATTCTAGATGCACCTGGATTCTCATTCAAGCCTTTGTCTACCCCAGCCTTATCGGGCGACTATCCACCAAACAGTTAGCTTATTATCTGTTGACTCATATGACTGCGCCACTCACTTTTACTTTTAGCTCAGTTCCATCCCGCGCAAAACTTCCACCCTCAGCAACTACCACCAGGACATCCTGCTTCATGTAACTATCATCTCTTGATCATTCCTGTTCTCGTTTTCTCAATTTATACCGATCCTAAGCCTTGCAGCATGCTGAAAGAGCTTCTGTTCGTATAGCCGCCCGCTTCACAGCTCCCTTACCAGGGCAGCCGATTTATGAGATGGCTCCCATGCATCCACCAGCAGGAATCTTCTTGTATCATGCCCCTCCACTCCCCCCGCAAAAGCGTCCTTCGACTGAAGACGACCAAGCACCGAAGGCTAAGAAGGCAAAAACGAAAGCCAAGACTACAGAGGGAAACGGTACATATATACATTCCATCTCTCGTGGTATTTTGCATGGTGGCTGATGATATACCCAAGGTTCATCCAAGCGGGGTTATAACGCTAAGAAGCGCAGCGAAGCTGCACAGATTGCAGCCCAAAATGGTCAGTTGACGCATGGTTGAACTACGGTTGCTAACTACCCTTCAGCCCAGTTGATGCCGACTGTTTCTTACGCGTCGACCCCTACCGACAAGGGCAATGATAAAACAGCAGAAGGTAAGCCGCCACTTCCATCGACATCCAATGGTTCTTGACGTTCAAAAGCTCCAATGCGCATGGTGACGGGCGATAATGGACAGAACACCGACACTGCAGCTCAGCTGCATCCCGAATTACAATTTGCTCGGTGCATGTCAAATCGATATAGATCTGAACAGTTCCCACGCTGTGTGTCGTGCACGCGTCGCTGGGCTGGTGACACATGCAGATTCCAAGGCATACGATTTTTCTTGAAAGACAATCAGAGAAATATTGTTGGTGTCAGCTTCGTTGAGAATCAGCGAGCTGATGCACCAAACATGAGTTTCCCCGTGAGCTGGAATGTCTCGCTGACGCCCACGCATATACGGCGAACGAAAGTGAGAAACAATCTGTTATGAGCTTTGACGAAATGTCGAGTCTAACCATTTGAGTAATTAGAGGACGATAGCTCAGGCTCTTCTCCCAACGCTTCTTCAGGAGCTGCAACACTTGAACTACCCAGAGATCATCCGGAGGACCCGAGAAAGCGAAGTGCGCGCCACTTGTGGTCAGTGTCACGCGATGTTTTATTTTTCGCGTTTGCCTAATAATATTTTCATCGCAGATACATGCATGACCTCGATTTTCTCCAGCAGTTGGATGTGCCGATTATGCGGGAGAGAAGCATGTGCAGAATGTTTTGAACAAGTGAAAGATCTCACCGAAGATAAACCTGGTGCAGGTCAGGCTGAGATTGCTGCTCTCCAAGCCCGCCGAGAAAAACATGCTCATAGCAACCCATTTTTCTTGTCCTGCACGCGGCGGAACGAGCATCACGCAAAAGACTTTTCACCGATGTCGCGCTTTTGCAAGGCCGAGCTCGCGCAGGCGATTAAGGACATGGAAGCTATGCTTCTGGAGCCGGATAATGATGCACTCCCTGACGCCGGACCAATAGACCCATTACTGCATGTGGAACAAATACAGGCAAACGGGGGCACTCCATCCTCTGCGCAGGTTTCAGATTCACAGATCGGCGGCGAGGCATCCGCACCGGCGCCAGAGTCATCAATATCCTCTGCTCCCCAACACGGCTTATCACAAGACGGCGTCTTCCATCCTGAATCGGTGCCAACAACTTCATCTGTTTCACGAGTCGCCGAGCCACCGCTATCAGCCCCCATAGTGCCACCGTCCGCTGATCAGAACTCTACTCAGTCAAGTGACATACCTTCACATCCAACCACCACCATCCCAGATTCGCAACTTACAGAGGAAATTTTCCGTCCATTGTGGGCTAAAGGAGAACCACTTGTGGTCACCGAGTTGCTGCCCAAGTTCCAGATTCAGTGGACGCCTGAGTATTTCGTACAAAAGTACACCTCTCAAAGCTGCCTCATTTTGGAGTGCCAAAGCGATGTGAATAAGCGCGTGACGGTAGGCGAGTTCTTTTCATGGTTCGGAAAATATGAAGGGCGGGTGGAGTGCTGGAAGCTCAAGGTGCGTTCATTACGAGTGTGATTCCTGACGCACACTTAGTGCGTATCTCTAGGATTGGCCACCATCAACAGATTTCAAGACAGCATTTCCTGAACTTTTTGAGGATTTCAGTCGAGCTGTACCCGTGCCCAATTATGTTCGTCGCGATGGAACGCTCAACATTGCCTCACATTTCCCTAGCAATACAGTTGCACCTGATTTAGGTAAGCGTCACGATGACCACGAATGAAGATCGGCTAATCATTGAACTTTATCGCAGGACCCAAGATGTACAATGCGATGTCGTCGTTCGAGTCGGCAGGCAGCAAGGGGTCAACGAGACTTCACATGGACATGGCTGATGCCGTAAATATCATGACATACGCGTCTACTACGCCAGACGGCAGACCAGGATGCGCAGCATGGGACCTCTTCCGTGCCCAAGATGCAGAGAAACTACGTACTTTCCTTCGGAGGAAGTTCAAGGGCTCATATCAGCACGACCCGATCCACTCACAGCAGTTCTACCTGGATACTCAGCTACGGAAAGAGCTATATGATACACATGGCATCAAGAGCCATCGGGTATACCAAAGACCAGGAGAAGCTATATTCATCCCAGCCGGTTGCGCTCATCAGGTTCGTCATGTACCTTTTTGCTGTGCTTTGACGCTCATGTCATGATTTGCAATGCAGGTATGCAATCTCGCGGACTGTATCAAAGTCGCAGTCGATTTCGTCAGCCCCGAGAATATTGAGCGCTGTGAGAAATTAACACGCGAATTCCGGGAACAAAACCAGTCCATGGCGTGGAAGGAGGACGTTCTTCAACTGCGTACTATGATGTGGTTCGCGTGGCTTTCGTGCTGTCGGCAAGAGAAAGAGATGAATGAGCCTTGAGACGCATGTTGATGTGGATGTTCTGTTCCTTGCGGCGGTATTCTGTATGATAGAGAGGTTTAGTATTGTATGGGGGAAACCCAATTAATCGTTCAACTTGCGTGCTTTCTATTTTTTCATTTGCTTTCTTGTACATGCGTAATCTTAGTTCGAATTCGTGCTTATCTGCACCGGTTTGTTATCTGCAGAGATTAACTTGTGGATTTTGACGTTTTTAAACTCCGATCACCAACCGGCAAACAAACAAAGCTCCAATTCAGACACATCGCACAAAGTATCGCTGTAACATTCATCCAGATCTCCAATTTTATGTAAATGGAACGTCATTTGTACTCAAGAAACAGAACCCTCCACTGGTGTAGAAGTTGGCCACCGTACCCGTGGACGGTTGGCTCGTTATCTGAGGTGCCTACATGTGATGAGTCAAGAAGTACATACAGTCATTCAAAAAATGACTCAGAGGCTAATATGGTGAAATAATGAGGGCGGCTACTCATCACAATCTCTGTGCTGCTTTAGAATCTAGCATTTTTCTATGAACTTCGTCCCATCCTTGAGGCAGTGTTGAGCTGAACATGGCTGTAAATGGACCAGGAGAACCCTCCCCCCAAATAGTCTCAAGTTCAGGAAGTATGTCAAGGAGGATGCGAGCAACTGCTTCTGGGTCGCTGATGTGAGAATCAACAAGTCTGGGATATTTGACCAGTCGATTGCAAACACCACCGCCTGGTTTATCATTTCGCAATCCATCTAGCTTGGTAGCGTCGATAGCCAGGTTAAAGAAGCGAAGATTGGGGCACAACTCCAGAAGCGAAATGAGACCGTGAAAGGTGATCTCGGGAGTCCGAGTGCTACGAACCATGTTGAAATCTTGAAACGATGCCGTTGCATCTAGGTGCAATGACATCATTGGACCCATTATACCAAAGGGTGGTATAGGTGGGAGCCCGACAGGCAGGGGTTGTACAGGTGGGAGTCCAACAGGCAGTGGTGGCACAGGTGGAAGATCATTGTCATCGTCGTCATCGTCGCCGGGGAGGTCCATGATAGGCAAGGGCTGGGGAGGAACTGGCGGGTACAGATTGCGACAGTCAAATAACTCAAGCTCCTCCAATAGTGGCCAAGCAGAAGCCATGGCACGCAGATCATCATCAACGAGTAAGAACAGCGGCGTCATCATTATACGCAATACACGGAGGTTGCAGCATAGGAAAAGGGGTCGGAGCACGTTAGAGCCGTTGAGGGCACCACTGCTCAGAAAGGCGGGAACGTTCAGGCGAAATTCTTCAAGGTTGCCACAAGACACGTTTTGGCTGATGGGTTGCAGAATGGGCTCGACCGTGTCCACACCAACATCACCCGATCGATACACCGGAAGGAAGATATCTATAGATTTGGGCAAGGTCCTCATCGCTTGAAGGATGGAATTAGCAGTCGCTAGGCTGTTGGCTTGAAATTGGAGTGTGTGCAACGATGGAAATGAGAGCGAATTTGTGGGCAGATTGAGATCAGATATGTTGTCGACGCGCAATCGAAGAATTCTGAGACATGATAATGCAGAAAGGTTGAGGATGCATTCGCAACCCACAGGGCTGTAGTCCAGCACCTCAAGCTTCTTCCATGAGCAGATTACGCGGGATAAGAAGCTTTCAGCAATAGCTTCATATCCTTCTGACAAATAGAATAACAATCCCAACGTATTCAGCTCTGGGCAGAGTCCCCGTATTTTTGACAGGAGTAATGGGGTAGATTTTGGGTTCCACTGAAAGCTTGAAATGCGAAGAGACAATAAACGTGGATTGAGTAGAGGCCAGAGCAGAGCAAGACTAAGTTCATCAGTCCAAGCCAGGTGGGTGAGATTGGGAAGGAGTGGTGTGGGAATTCGAAGAACGTGAAACACTCCCAGGTCATCAGGGACAGCTGTAGCCCTCCAGCCCCCTTCGTATCCAGAAAGCTCTACTTTGTGGACGCGATATGCGTACTTGTTAAAGACAGTTAAATCGGGTCCTGCATCAGTGTTAGTTTCTAATGTGTCCTGTTCGATAAGCGGATCAGTGTGAGGAGTAACACATGGATGTTGGAGACGTGCCTCGTCGTTCAACTTCATGTTAGTATCGTAGATGCACGACACCAATGGGTAGAGGCTACGTAGCTCACTCCAGAGAGCATCCAACGAGGCATCACTGAGAGCGCTGCAGGTTCTGGCGAGTGCTGCGAAAGTCCGGCGACTGATTTGCTGACTATCAGCCTTGATGAACGCGAAGATGTGATCTAAGATGTCTGGAACAAGTAGCGCATGATGCATTTCGACAAATCAATAGTCGCTGGTCACAATATGTTGGCTATAAGCGAGCTAAAGGGAATGTTTTTGTTGAGAGAAGGTCTGCGTGAGGTAACCAGATACATACCTCAGGTCCTCAACGACACGAACAAAGGACTGCTGTACGTAGTAAACGAAAAAGGCAACGTGATCGCGCGCTTGACCGCATTTAGATGGAAAGTCCCCATTACTGCAGCGGGCCGGCAAGTGCTTCGTGCTAAACGGAACTACAGTGCAACGTGGTCTCTACGAAGGGAACTCACTTAGCCATGCTGGTCATCGTGTGGTGTGCAGTTCTTCTCCCACCAACGCATGTGCTGCAACAATCAGATGTTCGTGTGGTCCAGCTTCGGAGCCGGTGTTCAACGTTCAAGTTTAGATTGCCATGACATTCAAACGGTGAGCGCCACTAGCGAAATTGTTAGTGAGCTTCTAATTGACCATTGATCGGAACCGGGTCAAAACTCTGAATGCGGTGAGCAAATCCTGTACATGCATAGTGGGTCTTTCACCAAGTTCAGTTTGAGAGCACTTGGGCAATCTGCTGCTTACTAGGTCCAATTATATCCTGAGACTGCATCTGTTACCGAGTCTTGCGAAGCGAAGCGAGTAGCACATGTTTCCATCAAAAAGTGTGATGCCCCCCGTGGCTATAAAAGGTCCTACCATCACGTCGTCGAGTGCCATCCCTGTTCAACATGATGTGGGCCCTTGCGTCGCTCCTGCTTGCAGGTCTTGCCCGGGCAGCTATCCCCAACGCCATGCTTCGCGGCATGCCTTCTCTCCCAAAGATCCCAGTGCCGGCTCGTTCTATCACTTCGCCGAATGGCACAGCACTCCCACCCATTACGACCGTCTATTACTTTGATCAGCTCATCGACCACAATAATCCAGACCTCGGGACCTTCCAGCAGCGATACTGGATGAACTGGGAGTTTTACGAGCCCGGTATGTCGTGAGCATTGAGGTACAACGTTAACCTGATCCACTGAAGGTGGTCCCATCGTCTTGATGACGCCTGGAGAAACTGACGCGGATGGTCAGTTTCCCATCCTTGATTTGTGACTTCTCTCAAGCACTTGGTTTCTAGGCTACGAGGGCTACCTTACCAATGAAACCATCAATGGTCTCATTGCTCAACAACAGAATGGTGCAGCCGTCCTTGTCGAGCACCGTTTCTTTGGCTACTCCAATCCATATGACAACCTCACGTCGCAATCTCTCGCCCTCCTCACCATCCAGCAGGCCATTGATGATCTCGATTATTTTGCCAATACCGCTGACCTTCCCATGCCTGGGGGCGATGCTGTGAAACCAGGTCAGGCGCCATGGATACTGATTGGAGGAAGCTACTCGGGGGCCCTCACGGGTTGGACGATGGTCAAGTAAGTATCTTACCAGAGGTGAATATCTCTTTCCGTTAATGATTCGCGTAAAGCAAACCGGGCCTTTTCTGGGCCGCATATGCATCTTCTGCGGTCGTAGAAGCAATCACGTATGTCATTTTATTGAAATCACCGCTCGTGTCTCATTAATGTGACTGTTTCTCCGCCCGCAATAACCATCTTAATACATCTGCATTGCAACATCTCACTGAAATGGGGTTTCATTCGGCCAAAACAGTGACTATTATGGGTATTTCACTCCTATTCGCGAGTACATGCCACAGAACTGTTCCTCCGATGTAGAGGCAGTGATTACCTACCTGGATGGATTGTACGCGGCTAACAACACAGCTGGAATCCAGACCCTCAAGGAGGCATTCGGCCTTGGCGATGTTGTACACGTAGATGATTTCGCCAGTGCACGTAAGTCGCCCTTGCCCATCGTTCAGTCTTGAATCTTTGCGTGGAACGAACATAGTGGTCCGAAGGGTTTCTGATCCACGCAACATATGTAGTTAATATTGCCTTCACTAGCGCGCGGAGTTCCTCTTCTATATGGTTACCTTTTGCGACATTCTTTTTCTTAAATTGTTCCACTGCCTTCTTGACTTGACTGACTCTGCTTGGGCCAACAGTTCAATACAACCTGTTCGATTGGCAATCTCTGCAACCTGATGTCGGTCCAGGAGCAATGTTCTTCGATTTCTGTGATGCACTCGAGGTCAAGGACGGCGTCAGTGCCGGACCTGAAGGATGGGGTCTTGAAAATGCCATCTACTCTTGGGGCAACTTCTGGAATACCACTTACTACAACTATGGTAGGCGGTCCCCTTAATTTCCGATTGACGTGGCTAAAGTTGATAGTAAAGTCTGTGGATCCGAGGATGCTGAGTACGTATCCTTGGGATGTATTTGTCCAAATTGGCTGACTGCAAAGCTAGAACCTGTCTTGGGACGTATAACACGACCCAGTCCTACTATACTAATGTTACCATAAATAATGCTGAGAGGTCGTGGTTTTGGATGGTGTATGTATTTATTCTCATCAGTTCGAATATCCACTCTGACAGCGATTCCAGGTGCAATCAAGTCGGATGGTACCAGGTTGGTCCTCCTGAAGGCCAGCCAGCAATTGTGAGCCGCATCCTCCAACCCATTTACGAAGAGGTACGTACGTTGTATTCGAAGCACGAGCATTCTTCAACATGATCTTCAGCGCCAATGTGTGAACATGTTTCCTCAAGCCTTCGCATATCCACCTCAGCCAACCACTACACAGACCGACATGATGTATGACGGTTGGAACATCGATGTTCCACAACTCTTCTTCGCCAATGGCCTACGTGACCCTTGGCGCGAGGCAACTGTCTCTGCTGATGGGCTATATAAGGCCAACACTACCAGCATGCCGATCTATGAGGGCGATGGATTCCATTGCTCGGATCTGATCACGGAGAATGGCATTGTAGACCCGACCATCGCGGTCGTGCAGGCAGCAGGATTGATGTACATGAAGGAGTGGCTTGCTGAGTGGACGCCGTCCGCGTGATAATAGATTGAATCATCGGGACTCATGGTTAGACAAGCTATTTATATTATAGTACTAACTTATGTTTGGGGAGAAGTGTCAATGTCAATACACAGTGCATTTCATTCCTCAAGGACGCTGCAGCCACTCCGTTTTTTCTGTATGTGATCAAAATGCAAAGACACTCCTCACACTCTGTTCCCTCAATGGCTTGGCACTGACTATCTCAGGTGCGCATCAATTCGTGTCCATTAACGTTCATTCATGATTTTCCATCTACAGCGGATATCAGCGTGCGGCATTCATTACACAAATTTCACACTAATTCCACATCGAACCGATATTAATATTTTTTCCCTGGAAGCTTCGACCATTTACGTGCGGCGGTCTGCACGCGGCCATCACCTCGAGGACCGCTTCACTACTATTACAACATAACCCACGAGTCAGGGAGCGTTGCAGATCGGCTCTGCACCTCGCCCTGGATCATGAAGGAAATGTAGAATCCGACATTTTCCTACTACTTGTTGATCCTAATCGAAACGACCCGCTTTTCGTTTCCAGTATTGACACATCACAACGAGCTAAAGTTGAGTTGTTGCGATTTTGTGGGTCTTATGTCGTCAATCGAATCACGACCACGTTGTCTTCTGGCCCCTCGCTACATCACCAGCGAGCATACCGATCAACGTTGTCACTTTGTCTAGCTGTAAGACTACATGCATTTGGCGGCAGCGATTTGGTCAGAGGTAATATTATACGAAACTTGCACGACACCCAGGATGGACAATAATCCTGGGTAGATGTCATCCAATGCATATGATGTTACTTACTGCACTTCATGCATAATAATAAATGGTCGGTCGCATCCCGAACTTCCCTGGTGACTGGTACAATTACACAACTACATTAGAAACGCACACTGGTCATTCATCATATAGTAATCTGCCTGCAAGATATCATGTATGAAGACTGTTGAGCCATTATATAGACTCCGAGCAAGAAGTTTACACGTAGTTATACATAAATGCATCTGGATCAAATCTCGCTAACAGGCTGTGGTGTACCATGTCTCGCATTATGTCTGAAATCCATCATTCTCTGACGAACGAGGCTCCACCTTTGAGGCGTCATGTTGTGTGCGGGCAGGTGTTGAGGTGGGACTGGCAGTAGAGCGTTTGGCCCCGCAAGGGGATCAAGTTCAGGAAGTATGTCGAAGAGGATACGAGCGACCACCTCAGGATCGCCAATGGGCGAATCGATAAGCCTGGCATACTTGACCAGTCGATTACAAACACCACCGCCTGGTCTATCGCCTTGCAGATCATCCAGTTTGGTAGCGTCGAGCGCTAGGTCAAAGTAGTAAAGATTTGGGCATCGCTTCAAAAGCGAAATGAGGCCATGGAAAGTAAGTTCAGCAGTTCGTGATCTGACAGGGAAGAAAAGGTCTGGCGGCGGAAACACTGGAAATACTGGAGGGGGAATGGTAAACGCGGGTGGATACAGAAATTGATTTGCCTGACCAGCGTGTGCCAGAGGTAGCGGCATAGGTATATGGTGGGGTATGGTGACAGTAACCACCTGAGGTTGAGGAGCTTGATTTGGCTGACCAAGACCCGTAGTAATGATGGGTGGTAAAGGCAGTTGAGGATTGAGAGGTTGTGGCGGGGGAGGTGGGGGTGGAGGTGGGGGTGGAAGGGGAGGGGGTGTGTGAGTTGCTACACGTGGTCGTAAATCGATCAGCTCGAGTTCCTCGAGCAATGGCCAAGCGTAAGCCATCGTTTCCAAATCGTCGTCACCGAGAGTGAATGGCGATGACATTCGTAGGGATAATGTACGAAGTTTACGACACACGAAGAGGGGTCGTAGGATCCCGGAGACATTTTCAGGATCATCTCCCAGAAGGAATGGGAGATTCAGGCTGAAATGTCGAAGTTCGTGGTACAATGCATCTCGACTGACGAGACCCAAGAGGACCCCAACGATTTCCGGACTGCAAGTTCCTCTGCGGGACCGCCCTGCAAACACGTCAATCTTCAAGGATTTAGGAAAGCTTTTCATCGCTTTCATAAGAGTGATAGCAGTGTCCAGGGTGTCGGTTTGGAACTGGAAAGTATGCAGCGATGGAAATGAAAGCGAGTCTGGAGGTAGGTCAATGACAGATGCGGTGTTCACTTGCAGACGGAGAATTCTGAGAGATTCCATCCCAGACAGGCGTAGAACACCTTCAAAGGTCATGGGGTTGCAGTCCAGCTCCTCTAGTTTGGGCCAGGAACCGATTACCCGAGATATGCAATGCGAGCTTTCAGTTAATTCTGAGTCTATATGTCCATCCCAAGAATGAACTTGTAGCGTCAGTGATTTGATTTTTGGGCAAAGTGCAGGAATTTTGGTCAGGGCAAATAGAGTGGATGCTGAGCTCCAGCGGTGACTGGGTATTTTCAGAGACAGCAAATGTGGACCGAGCAGATGACGAAGTAAGTTGAGACCCATCCCAGGGGCCCAAGCTAAGTGCCTGAGGTTCGGTAGGAGGGGGGAGTTCAATGTATAATAGAGCAATGCGCCTAGATCCTCGGTGAGAGATGGGTAACCACCGTTGCGTCTCAGGAACCTTTGTTGTCCGGAAAGGTCTAATTTGCGGACACGATGAGCATATTTATCGAAGACAGAGAAATCTGGCCTCGTGTCATCGTTGGCTTCAGTCGTGAGCTGTGAGATAGAATGTGATGATTCAGCTTGGAATATAGCAGACAAATGCAATAGACATACCTCGTCGCTTGACGATACAGTATTTGCTGCGTAAATGCATGATGATAGTGGACGCAAACTATCCAGTTCGCTCCACAGAACGTCCAGAGATGCCTCGCTCAGGGCACTGCAGGTTCTGGCTAACATGGCAAAGGTACATCGACCCAATTGCCTATCTTCCTTGATAGAGGCGAAGATGTGGGCCCGAACGTCTGGAATGAGCAACGCATGATGCATGTCGATATCTGAGCCAGAATCAATGGGACAAATAGATTTCAACGTTCACCGGTGAATACGAGAGTGTTAAGCCGTTGAACTTCTCAGGTACCGTAAGTAGCCGTTAATAGGCTACTTACGTACGAGCGGCTGCCTTTGTATCCAAATCAATACATGAGCTTAATAATCACTGCGAAAGCGCCGTTGCAGAGATACTTAGCACTTGTAAGTAAGTATACCGTATATGAAGAATAGTAAATGTGCGAATCCTAGTACTGTAAGGCTAGAGTGGAGAAAGATGATCGTTCGGCGGGACCGAAACTCAAAGCTGGTTAGGATGATGGAAAGGGACGGGTAAGATATTTGCGTTCCAAGCCGACCTTTGAATCAAACCCTGGTTACCAGAACAGAGAGAGGGTTTTGTACGATCGGAAATCGGAATATCCAGGCACCGCTCTCAAAACTCTTTCCTTGTTTCTCGATTATTCTCGCTTGATTCTCGTTGATCATTCGATTGTGGAACATTTACATCCGCCTGTTTATTGAAGGAAGGGCAATCATTTGGCGAACCAAAGGATGTAGGGAAATTGAAGAGTGGGAAAACCGTTGACGAACGGAATAAGAATTCAGAAGATGAATGATTCGGCAGAGGATTAGCGGCTCACCGCCGCTACGATTAATATTGAGCATGGATTATAAGGCGAAAATATATCGGACTGAAGTGAAAATGGTGCTGTAAGAACCTGCGCTGCTTCACAACGCACTTGTTCTTACCCCTCCTCCCACTGGCAGCGCCAGACAATCATCGGCAGGAGCATGTAAATAACAAGGAGTAATCGATTCTGCATGTGCCCATCAGCATCCTTATGCTCAGCTCACCTGGAGACTGACATAAGATGGGTGTAACCTCGTCGATGTACATCGTCCGGATCCTACTTCTGGGTTTAACGAAAGGGGGCTAGGAATGATGGAAAGTACACGCCGGCGCTTCACATGGCGACCAGCAGTCCGACCTGCCAGTGGCGTGACTTATACTATGCACTATAAACAAACAATTTCGATCAAAAGCGCAACGTTGCAACGCTAGTTAATACTACATACCCATGAAGAAAAAACGGTACAACTTGCAGCCTTGATAGCCGTACGTTTCACAGCGCGTTTCCTTTGAACAGGTGCCACTCATCCGAGTCAACAACGCCGGGAACTCGGTTGGTCGTCAAACGTTGAAACTTGAGAGCCCATCAAAGTTGGGACCATGACTTGTAACTTATAGCCGCTAAGAAATACGCTGCCAGTTAGCTATTGAAAGGTAGCTGGGACACCGACGGGAGACGTGATGATCAAGCTCAGTGCCACACACGGTGGGACTTGACGCGGACGGGCTCTCCACTTATGTCTTATGTAAGTGCGAGTAGTAGATCTATACAGGCAGCCCAATCGCGGGCTGCTCCGGCCCAACTTGAATTTGATATTGGAAGTGACGTCCGGTCTTATGTACCCCACTCAATATTAATCCTTGCCACTGATCGGTACTCCTTGCAGTAAAACAAGTTCAACATGTGCGTTTGTCAGTTTCGTGCCTTCTCGTGTAACTTATCGTCTAACAACAGAGTAGGATGGCCAGTTAAAGGCGGTGACAGTCAGGCAGTGCTTCGCCATATGCAAGTTCTTGCAAAGTGTAAAATGCCCTCCTCTTCAGCATCGCAGTGCTCAAATTGAGAAACTGAACTAGAGACTATGCCACGGTTCGGACCGACCCAATATTTTGGCCATCTCGTTAGGTTCCCATTGATCTCCCAATGATAAGGTCACGTCTCGTTAATTTCGTTGAGTGCATACACATCCTGCTCAGAACGTAATAAGACGTATTTCAAGTAGAGGGAACATTTTAGAGGCCTCGAGCTGTCCAGTGAAGGAAGCTGGACTTCGTGGGCTAGATTATGGGCCTTGTGACGGCAATACGAGCGGCGAACATCGAGGCAGAGGAGGATCAGATGGCAAGGAGTTGTTCACAAAAAGACTCCCACGTTAGCAGGGAATGTTTCCCACGATAGACT